AGGAAAGCCCAAAAGAGTTTTTTCCCCCCCCGCTTAAAACCATACGAAGTATTTTGAGCATACATAATACAGACTAATTTCCTTTGTTATACGAAAAAATAGTTCGTAAAATACGAAGTATTTTCTTTTTTATTAGCTTATGCATACTCAAAGTACTTTGTTATAACAAGCTGCTTTTCTTTGTAAGGCCCAAAATAGTTTGTAAGGTTTTCTCAGTGTCAGTGTGGAATGAAGGAAGGGAATGAAGTGAAATTGTTCGTTAATTTCTTTTTCATGCCCGCAGAAACCACTCTGAGCGTGCCCGTCGTCCTTGCCCTCCTGGTCTCAGTCGGCGTCCTGATCCTCGGCATGGCTTTGACGAGTTAGTCCAGCAGCAATCCAGGATTTTTCCCAAAAGAGGGAGTAACGTGCACGCTTTAAGCCGTACGAGGTGTTTAGAGCATGTAGATTGATACTATCCAGTTTGTGCGAAATGATTAAAAACATACTTTGTAATTACAAAGCTTCCTTTTTTTTGCAAGGCCACAAAGAGTTTTGCAAGTTTTCGAGTGAGTGCATGGGGCAAAAGCAACGATTCCTGCCCAGCGTACAGTAGGCCCTATCTAGTAACGAAGGGGCATTCCCCCCCCCCCCCCCGGTCCACGCCTGTCAGAGCTCTACTGACACAACACAGTTAAGCAGCGACAGCACCCACCCCAGTCTCCCTCCAGCCAGGACGAATCGGCAGTTTCCAGTACCTTTACCTGGAGAAAATGCGTAATCGGACTTACAATTTCGCCTGTTCTCAAACTAGTCTTCGGGGCTTTTTTTCTAATTCCGTTCTAAGTTCTCATTGTGTTACTGAAAAGTATAAAATATTTGATTTGAAAATATGAAGTCGGAATTGGCCCCCTCACCATAAAACAGACGAAGAGGATTTTAGTACCAATCGGAGTTGCATTTTCAAGAAGTCTCCTTTGTGACTTATTTAAATGTAAAATACCTGTGTATTTTCCAAATGCTCAAATTGAACACACTATGACATTTGCAATGATTGTTACAGGGCATCGACTCGCATGCAATGGTACAGGCATTAACAGTGCATGAGTGAATTATGTGATCACTTATGGTTTGGAGCATAATTTATTGCAAATGACTTCGGCTCAACATAACATTGGCATCTTAGCAGGAAGTGTAGTAGGGGTCGGACACGAAGTAGACGTGCATGGTGAACAGGCCGTAGGTGTTGACCCAATCCTCCAAGCATGCGGGGGAGTTCGGTGCGATTTTCTGCAATACACGACTTGTGATAAAATTTGTTGCGATAAGGGCACAGCGAAGTTTTTCTCAAACTGTCAGGAAATGTAAACTTAAGGATAATTTTTGAATGGTGGTTTTAGTAACGTAATGCCATTATTTGTTCTTGCTTCGAAGTAAGTTCGGATACTGACCTTGGCCACCATCGCTGGCGGAGACTCGAACCACCCGCGGCCGTCGGTGCTGACCTTGCCGTACTGGACAAAGCCGAAGCCGTTGAGCTCCTGGGTGTCGGGGCCGTACAGCAGGAAGTAGGGGCGGTGGTCCTCGCACTTGCCGTCCTTGCGGAGCTCCTGGAAGTAGTGCTTGCCTGCCAACAACATCCAACAAAATTCAATACTTGTCGGCGCGGACAGACTCTGCCTCGTTTAGGAAAAATTCCTTATGAACCGAACTGTCAGTCAACTCTAGAATCTGAAGAGTGCGCAACTCTAGAAACTGGAGAGTGCGCAACTCTAGAAACTGGAGAGTGCGCAACTCTAGAAACTGATGAGTGCGCACGGCATGCTCCCTCCAGGGAGTCAACTACAAAGCACTCTCCATCCTACAGTGTGCTTGCAAGCTCGCTCTACCAAGCCAAGGAGCATGCTTGGCAAGCGCTCCTTGGTAAAGCATGCTTCAAAGCGCGCTCTCTATGATGAAAGCGTGCCTCTTCATTCCTATGAGGCCTCGTTATAGCGACGCAGCACGCTTTAGCCCTGGGGTGCGCTTGCAAGCAAGCTACACCGCTTGCCAAGCATGCTTGCAAGCACTCCCCAGGATGGAGCGTGCTTTGTGGTCAACTCCCTGGTAGAGCATGCCATGCACACTCTTCAGTTTCTAGAGTACGTTTAATGCATCCTACTGCATCAAATATTCATTGTAATGCATACGTATCTGCGTATGTATAACTCGAGGGGGAAAGCACTCGCGTAATAGTAGCGTAATAGCAGAAATTCTCCAAATTAGATGTATTTTAGGTTTTTTTTGTTTGTTTTCAGCTAAATCCTTAAAATTTTGAGGCGGAATAGAAACAATAGTCTGGTAGCAGGTTTTAAGAGTGATTTCCCCCTCGGTATAACTATGCACAGAAAAGTCCTCAGGAGCAAGCCGTACCCATGCCGAAGAAGCAGGACTGCTCAGTGAAGCCAGCAGACTCGGCCTTGGACTGGTGGGTGGCGACGTGGAGTCGGTTCGTCTCGGTGCCGTTGATGTCGGTCTGCAGGATGTAAATGCCGTTCGGGGCGGTGAGATCATCCTTGCTCAGAGTGCGACCACCGGCAAGAAGCTCCTCTGCGAAAACAAATTTATGATTGCGTTAAAACGAAAAACGGAAACCATGTTTGTGGTCTTTCAAACATTGTCTCCAGATTCAGGGTACATGAATTGACAGTGAATGACGGTGAATGTCGATGATGACGGTCACAACTTAACTTTACACTCGTTTCAGATTTGTTCGAATGTATTTCATTTCCTAAATCACAATTGGTACCGCTCACTTTGAAATGCCAAGAGAGGTGCTGTTCCGGGCAATGTGGGGTCCGTTTAGTTCCGTCCCACGATAAACGAAAGTAAAGTACCCTACACACTAAATGTCATGGGACTTTTTGTGCCCCATGAATGATGCAATTTTAAGCACATCCGGTGGTGATGCAATTTTGTGTCCGCCAGGCGGGACAAATTGTTTAGTGAAAGTACAATTTGCAGCAGGCGTCGGACAAAATGTGTCGCCAGACGGGAACAAAATTGTATCAGCGTCGGATGTGCTTAAAATTGCATAAATCGTGGGACAATAAAAGTCCGATGACATTGAGTGTGTATTGGCACAAAAGTTGTTTTTTGTGGAAGCTCTGGTATCACCCTTAGACTGGAAGAACACGGTGGCAGAGTAAACGACATCGAGGTCCGTTGGGTTCCAGTTCAACTCCCACTCTGGAACGTTTTGAAGGTCGAAGCCAGCAGCGTCGATCTCGCCTTTCTCAACCTGCAATGAGGGAGTAACGGGGTTGGTCCACAGTGCACCGTAAACGATTATCGCCAACCATTGCCAAAAGCTACGGAAATTTCGGTAAACAACTTGTGGTGATTCTCCGTAGGACCTTACCCTTACAGTGCTCTCTGTAGGACTACACAGTAGTCCAGGTCCTACGGAGAAGACTAGGCAGTCCTACGGAGAAGACTACGGAGAATATTAATATGAGGGCTACGGAGAATCCTGGCGGAAAAAAGTTACAGAATTTTCCGTACTTCTTTAGGCACAGTGAATGTTACCATGCTCGTCGATGGTGTGGTGGTGATTAAGAAAATTCAAGTGGATTTGTCCAATTCAGCACTATTTTTCGTCATCTGCTACGGTTTTCACAGGGATCCGTAACTTAAAAATTAAATCAACACTACTTGTAACGGTAAAGGTTCCTAGTCATAAGTTTTTTTTCTTGTTCGTTACAATGTGAGTAGTGTCAAGTCCGTTTGAATTCGATATCACGTCGTATTCAATTGAAAGTCACACAATCCTCGCAATCTAACGAATATGACATAATGTGTTTCTACCCACACTGCTAGAAAAAAGCAGCAAACCTTCAAAAATTCTTGGCAAAATTTTTATCACGAAAAAAGTGTACTTTCGAAGTACAACAATCGTATAAAGTACAATAGAACCGGCATTACAAGTGGAGTCCAGGCCTCGTTGCACTTTGTACAATTTGCGTTCTAATTTCAAGAAATGTTCCTTCCGAGCGTTGAACTCACCGACAAGCGGATGCCGGCCACGCTGCCCTGGAGGTCGAAGAGCACGCAGACGCGGTAGTCGCCCCAGCGGCAGTAAACGGTCGTGTTGTCCTGCGGCCTGTCATCACTGAAGAGCCAGCGGTCCTTCTGAGCCTCCTTCAGGGTCCGGGGCATCGTGAAGAAGCTCAGCTTGTGGAACGGGTCGGGGATGATGCTGTACGTCACTGAGAGGAGGACAACCGAATTTATTAAAATCGGCTGTGGTAAAATTGACTTCTTCGGACGGATGCTGCATTTAGTTGAAAGAAGTGTAAGGATCGAGCGGCGTGAGTGCGTTTTGGAAGTCGACTATGGTCATGTGAATTGAGAATCCAAATATTTAACTATTACAATCTGTGAAAATGTCAAGAATCTCGTCTGAGATTGCAGTAACAAAATTCTTATTAAATATAGTAACTTAAATCGCAATGAAATGTCATACACTTTCATATAAATTTTCATGAAATGAAATTTCATGGCGATTTTGTGCGATGAGGTTTTTAAACAGAAAAGTTATAATAATCATATTTATATGTTAAGAAATTATAATCTGAATTTAAGAGTGTATATAAGACCTGAAAATTTGAGTAATAAGGGGTAAAATTTGGGAAATGCGAAATCGGTGCGAAATTGAAAGTATCATTTGACTTGTTGAAATAAGTGTGACCCACTCCATTGTTCCGCTTCGCGACGGGATGCGTGAGATTGTGGTATCTGAACTAACCGACAACGGATTAATCTGTTAAGTGCCTGTATATGATGGCATTACACTCCCTTTGTGAGTTCCCCATGACATAACGCCGAAAGGCCAAAGACCTCAAAGCTTACCAATGAACTTGTTCTGGACAGTGCCTGAATGGAACCCTGCGAAAAGAAATGGTTTAGGTAATACATTAATGTAATGGGTTGACGATGGCCAAAAATAGAAAAATAAAACTAGTCCGACTTTGTCATCTCCGAAAACGATCAGTTGCTTGGGGAAGACAATTAAAGCAACGACTCAAAGGGAAAAGATCACCGGCCGGCACAGCGATGCACTGTTAGAAATCCAGCCGTTTTAGAACGGAAAATTCGTGCAAAGTTTAAAAACGACTACTGATGTTCTCAAACGGCAAATCTCTGTTTTAAAACAAAAAATAATAATTCTAGAACAAAATTTTACCATTTGGTGATGAAAAATGCGCTTTCAAAACAAAAATCTGTTTGGAAACAGAAATTACGTGTTCACAAACGAAAAAACATCATTCGCACAACGCCCTTTTCTGTTATTTCCATTAACGGTAGGCATTGTTTTAAAAATTTGCGTTACTTTTTCCGTTTGAAAATGGTGCAAGTCATTCCTACCTTTGCTCGTCATTTTCACCGAACTGGTTTCAGTTACTGACGGCATTGCAATTCGAAATGGTCATCCGACATGTTGTATATCATATGACACTATCAGGTTAGACCAAATATTCCTCGTTTCCCGGCAACAAGCAAAAGTATTTTGGCTGCTTACGGCTGAACCGCTCTGTTTGAGAACGGAGGATTTTTAACAGTGTGCGACTGCACTGAGATTCCAAACGCTAATATAGGACATATGGTGCAATGCACTGAGATATCGCACCATACGTGCAATGCCACATAGCCATATTGCACCTTACGTGCAATGCGTTACGAACATGCATGGGAATGGCGAGGCAGGCATTGCACTTCATGTGCGATGCAAGAGCATTGCACCAATTGACGCTATATTCATAGTGTTTGGGTTCACAGAGTGTTCCTTATATTTATCTTCTGGCGATTTTCTGCACTATAGAATACTTTTAATTTTTATTTTCCTTCAGAATCAATCATATACAATCATAACAGTCATTGGCACATTCACGTCCAATGCCCTGAAATGCGAGCTTAACAATTGTTGAAACGTGACCCGGCCGTTTACTTAGGATGTCTCATTCACTTGAACGCGGATCGACGTTAAGGTAAAAAATCAATTGTGGGTCACATTTTTTAAAATTCCGAATTAAGGCCTTTAATTTTGACCTTGTGACAAAAGTGCATGTGCGGCCTTTAACTATGGTCCTTGGACTAAGTTTTGCAGCATAGCAGCCTTGTCTATCACCCTTATTTACTAAGCTGTGGCTGTTTTAAAAATAGTCTGTTTTGGCCCACAATTGATTTTTGGAACCAGTTGTGGGTCAGCAATGTAGAAAGCTCAAATTTGGATATGATTTGCTTGAATGCAAGAGGAATTCACTTTTGAATTTATTTTTCGGAATCGTGAAAACTGCAGGATCTGTAGCACAATGAATCAATTCTGGGTCATATCAATTGTGGGCCATTTCGTCTTTTTGCTTGTAAATTGACCACTTTAGCAAGATATTTTCTTATTTTCATTAATAAAAGGCCCCTGGTTCTCAAAAAACCAAGCAGGCACGTTATTCACTTAAAGAGGAAAAATACATAAACAGGCTTATTTCACTGTGAGACAGATGTGACTTAAACGTCCTGGATTAGAGACGAAACTTTTATAGTGCATATTCTAGGGCCGCCGGTGTGGTAGACAATCCAACACCACACCCTGTCATCGTGAGGTATTGCTACAGTTTATAATCTATTTCAGTCAGAATATTTAGTCTGTAGGGATTGATTTGACTCCTACAGGGCCGGACTGGCCTCGGGTGCCTGGCCTGCAGTTAGAGGGCGGTCCCCTTCCGGGCGCTATGTAAGCCCCGCCATGCCGCCCCCCCCCCAACAAAAAAAACCTTATGGCGGACTGGAAGTAACAGAGAGTGTTGTCATTCGGGGCTGTAGCCTAAGCTTAACAACCTTCGTATCGTAATACTAAATGTGACAGAGCAGATGGAATTTACTGTGATACATCAGCCATTCAGAAGCCCAGAAAACAAAAAAAATATGAGAAGAACTACCGTAAAATTCGTCTAAAATAATGGGTCGGACATGATAGCGAACGCTACTTTGCCATCACCCGCGCACCATGGCATCGAATGATTTCGGCTGTACTATGGTAAATTCATGTTCCCTGACCTATTATGAACCTAAATCAGCAAGGGCGTCCCGTTTTATCTCGTAATAGCTTCACGGTGGCAATCCAAAGAACAAACGATTTTTCGCCTCGTTGGATAGGCGCTTTTTTCACGACATTTTGAAGGGCCTTCCTTTGAAGCCTGATAGGAGCTGTCACAGTCGTCGCTCGGACATACACGCTATTTGGGGAGACAAAGTAAGCTTGGAGGAAGGTCTACCGCGAAATTCAAATCGATTCAATCTCCGTCGGGTCTGCGGTGACCCGCCGAAAAAAATGACCCACAATTGATTTGTGACCCACAATTGATTTTTTACCTTACAACGAACGTGACAAAATTCACGTTCCATAATAACGAAGTCGTGGTACTTACAGGCTGTGGCGCCGGCGGCCATCGCCACAACGGCGACGACGAGAAGGGCGAGACGCGCCATGGTGTTGTTTGTGCAAAGACAGAACTGCCGACTCGAACGTCCGCCTTGTCTTTTATATGCTTACTCAATCGGGGCACTGATTGTCCGCCGTAAGTAATTGACGCGTAGGGCACGCAAGCAGCGGACTGCTCCTTATCGGTTCATCACTCGATTAGAAAGTAATCTAGCAGTCATCAGATTTGCAAAGGCAAAGGACGATACAGCTGCACAAGAAGCACGATTTTTTGGCTGCGCGATAAGCAAAAAGTCGTATCACTGTAGCAAAAACCTGCGGAAAATTCTGTTACTTTTTTAGGCACGAAGTAGCCTTATAGTATACCCAGGATTCAGCCGGTGCGAGATTCAATTCGTGTGGCCCTTTATGTATTTTGGAAATTTTCTATAGGATTTTAATGAGATTTTACAGACTGGTAGAACTTTGAACGCTGATTCTAATGCTGAAATGTGGTTAAAAAGTTAACGGCCAATTTTGAGAAATTTGCTGTTAAAATCGCTGTTTCCATGGCAAAACTCGACTCGTCAAGGAAAAAGGAAGGGAGTGGGGGGAGGAGCCGGACCCGACCAATAGCTGAGCTCCTTTTCGGCCCTGTACAGCTTACCCCAAAAGATGAAAAAGCACGTTCGAAATGAAAAATCTCTTTGACTGCAGCTAGAAGAGATCCAACAATAGAATTGGATGTCGTTTCGAACGTGGCCATTTGGATCGGCCGGCCGGCCAGTGACTTTTTATTAGAGTGTTCCGCACCAATCCCGCACCGCTGCGATGTTGTTTTTGTTGTTGTTTTGTTGAAAATTTTTGTTACTCTTCAAATCGGAGTGAATTGAGCCATTTAACTGCGTACCTGTGCACATGCATCTGTGAATTATATTTTCCTTAATGTAGTTTAAGAGTCGCTTTAAGACTTTTACTTTCTTTTTGAATAAGCTGGTCATGTAGCTGCCCCTAGCGAGGTTGGATGGTACTTCTGATTCAGTTAGCACCACGAACACTTCGCTCCACCTCGCGACTTTCAGTGCTCATGTTCCTCGAACAAGACTCACCCGCGTTTCGAGACCATCCCTCTCGAGTTTATAAAGTTTGTCAAGCCAACCGTCGTGGCGTTGCTACATTGTGAGTGAGAACTATTACACAGAATTGAAGAAAACATGACTAGAGAACCTTTTGAAACAAGCCAAACAATTCAACGTCAGCAACAATGGAGGGGCAGTTTTAATGCGCGACTCTACTCGTGTTTTCAGCTTCGCGATTTTCGCAAGGGCGCAGACGCCGACAAAATTGTTGCCAACCCGCGAAAATTAATTTACTGCCTTCTTTCTGCTACCAAAATTTTCATAATGATGGACTGCAAAGATGTTCCTTTGTCAGATCACTGTGGAATACATTGGCATTGGAATTTTTCGAATTTCCCGGCATTTTGATTTCTCTTTATTGCCAAGTTTAAATTTTGACGGGTGGCACATCGACCACATTGGTACCACTGCCATTCGTAGCCACCCTTGAGCCACCCCCTACCTATTACATAACTTTTTTGCTTTCCCCACACTCCTACCCAAATTGACTTCGTGACTCCTAGGATTTCTTGAAATCGTATTTTTTTTCTTTGGGCCATGATTCTCCGTGGCCACTTTTCCTTTTTCTCCGTAGGATCTTTCAGCTTTTACCGTGGGGTCTCGCAGTATTCTCCACAGGACTTTCCAGTGTTCTCCGTAGGACTATACAGTCTGTAAGGGAGATGACTGTAGGGTTCTACGGAGGAGACTGTACGGTCCTACGGAGAATATTGATAAGAGGGCTACGGAGAATTATCACAAGTTGTTTACAGAATTTTCCGTAGTTTTTTGCCATAGTGTAACTAGGATTGTTTATTTCTTTGTCGGTCCGGACTTCTCTCAAACGACCCGGCTGGGGTTTTTGCAGGGTCATCCGACATGTCCTTATATCACCAAACACCTAAACGCAATGTTTTATTTCAAAAAAGCGTTCTAGTTGTTGACGAGTGAAGAATAAGTGGACCGCAATACGGAAAATGGCCCCGGCACCGACTACTTAACACGTGTTCGAGTGCATTTATTATAAAGTTTTCTGCAGCGTCACTTATTTTATTTCAAGAGCAAATAGGGTAAGGTTACCAAATATGGATCACTTTTTAGAAATGTCCTGTATTTCGGCTAAGCGATGGCCCAAATTTTCATCGATGCACTCCGAGATAACCACAAAGGCAACCTCCTCTCAGGAGCTGAACATTCAATAGGAAATACTTTGATATTTACAGGGCTATGGAATTTCGCTGATTTTAGTGATCCGTATTTGGGTGTGACTCAAACAAAAAAGAACAACCCTGTGTTTTTGTTCAAGGCGAGACATTTGACCCCTTTCGTGAGGCGGTCCACTTTCAAGTGGACCTGGTTTGGCCGGCGACCGGTTGTGGTTTTTATTGATCGATTTGAACTTGACGCGTGCGCGGTTTGAACTTTTTGAACATCCCGCATCCCGCCGTTCTGCTTTCTTCTTATAGGCTAGTTCAAGTTTTAGCAGGAGTAATTACAGCGTCGTTGTCTCGGAAATTGTCTTCTATGTTTTAGAAATTTGCGATGAACTCAGGAAATTTGTTGTTAATTTACTGAGAAAGGAGGTTAAGTTATGAGAAGTGGCACATTTTTTTATTTGAACCATTTTCCGTTAGCATCAACGGATCACGGTCTTCGATTGTTGCAAATTTATTTTTCAGTCGTTCACTGTTATTCAACGAATGTGACGTCATGTTCGTTAGAACGTGAATTTCGTCACACGGTGTCACATTCGTTTGAAACTGAAACGAACGGCCGCCTAATTATGGCGTCACATTCGTTTGATTGTGGATCGGATATTCATTACGAATGTGACATCAAATTCTAACGAACGTGACAAAATTCACATTCAAACGAATACTATGGCGTCACATTCGTTGCAGTGTTTGTGGAGAACTAGTTTGCGCAGGGGATTTTGGTTACGTCATCATGCCGCGGAGCCTCGCAGGGCTTCAATGGCGTCCTCGGCTGCGCCGGCGACGACCTTGGTGACGCCCTTGCCGACGGCGACGCCCACGGTGGCGGCGTTCTGGGCCGCATCGACGCCGGACTTGGCGGTGCGAGAGGTCAGGTCGGCGGCGCCCTGGCCGGCCCTGATGGCGGCGCGGGCGGCGGACTCGCCAGCGCCGATGGCGGACCTGGCCGCCTCGCCGCCCAGGCGCCTCGCGCCCTCGCCGAGAGACACGCCGGCACCGGCAGCGCCCTCCGCGAGGGACAGGCCGCCGCGAGCGAGGTTGCCCACCGTGCCGGCCACGCCACGGAGTCCCAAGCCGCCAGCCAAGTCCTGAGCACCCGGATAAAAACAGGGATCATCAATACACTTATCATTTAATGAAGTGTTGTACACGGTTAAAACGGACCCTGCTCTTGTCAAAAAGCAGACATAGTCGATTTCCAGGATGTTCCTGGGAAAACCAGGAACCGTTTTCAAATGTTAGAAGGGTTTGTATCCCGTTTAAAAACGAAAACAGCCAGAATCTGGCCGAAACAGTTGCAAATCGCTTCCGAACGCTTCACCAGCGCCGGGGGGCTCTGAGGTCGGGGCAGTCCGACATCCTTGCCGACATCCTTCCGAATTTTCCGGGGCAGGCACCCCGAAGTCCTTCTGAGACGCTGAACGCCGTCAGAAAGATTTCCGGCCGCACCGATGATCCCGTCACAGTACACTTCACAAAGTCGGCAAATTCACATTTTCAAATTAAGTATACGGTAGTTTTAAATTTCGTTTCTGGAATTTTGAGCTCAAATTTTCTAAGGGGTATCAACGCTAAAATTAACAAGTGCCAGATTTTGGTAATTATTGGGTAAAAGTCGGAAGACCCCGTCGGAAGGATTTCAGGGTCGCCGCTTCGGCAACACCCGAAGTCCTTCCGATTTCGGGTGTTTTCATTTTTAAACAGGTCAATGAGAGGCATTTTTTTTAAGAAGTCCGATCGTGGAACACGACCGATGCCGATTTCCTCCATTTTTTGGTCAAAGGTAGTCCTTGTGGGTCTAAGAAAGGCCACAAATTTTTGGGGTCGAAATATGCACCGTTCAGATTCTATGGGCAATTTTCGTTTTCTCTGACAACTTTTCACATAATATGGCCAAAATTGAAAAATCACCTTTCTGAGGCCTCAATGCACTCGATTGAGCTCAAAATGTGGTGTCTTATGTAAAATCACGCGAGGAACACGAATCCGGTGCCCGTTTGTTGATAGGACAACCCAAACAGATGTTATGACTGTTTTTCAGGTTTTGTAGTGGTTTTTACTTTTCTTGGGGTTTTGGTGTTCGGCATCGATTTTCGCCAATCCGATGAGTGGATTTTAAAGATAAAGGACCAATCTATCATACTACGAGATAAAAAGTTTGTGTACGCCGCGTGAAAAGCAGTGGCGCTGCAAAAATTGAAAAACCGTCATTTCTGGGTAGTTTTAGATCAGATAAGCCACCTTTCACGTGACCGTCTCCGCCCCATATTCAGTCTAATTATTGTCCCAAGTGATGTCAGAGTTGGTGTGAAATTTCACCGCTGTAGCTCAAGTAGTTTGGAAATGGCAGCTTTCTAAAGTTTTGCAATCACGTAAGGCATTTACTTTAAGTAGAATTGCGGTAAATGTGAACACTTGTCACAGATCGGGTAATAAATGAGATAGATGAGTGCGTCAAAGTTCTCTAAGCGTAATTTTGAACAAGGAATTCGATTTTGCTGGTACGAAGACCCTAGGCGAACTCTGAAGTTGGAAAAAAGGCCATTTTTATGTGGTTTGCACGAAAACGTAGTTTTAGAGTACGCCTAGGGTCTTCGTACCGGCAAAATCGAATTCCTTGTTCAAAATTACGCTTAGAGAACTTTGACGCACTCATCTATCTCATTTATTACCCGATCTGTGACAAGTGTTCACATTTACCGCAATTATACTTTAAGTAAATGCCTTACGTGATTGCAAAACTTTAGAAAGCTGCCATTTCCAAACTACTTGAGCTACAGCGGTGAAATTTCACACCAACTCTGACATCACTTGGGACAATAATTAGACTGAATATGGGGCGGAGACGGTCACGTGAAAGGTGGCTTATCTGATCTAAAACTACCCAGAAATGACGGTTTTTCAATTTTTGCAGCGCCACTGCTTTTCACGCGGCGTACACAAACTTTTTATCTCGTAGTATGATAGATTGGTCCTTTATCTTTAAAATCCACTCATCGGATTGGCGAAAATCGATGCCGAACACCAAAACCCCAAGAAAAGTAAAAACCACTACAAAACCTGAAAAACAGTCATAACATCTGTTTGGGTTGTCCTATCAACAAACGGGCACCGGATTCGTGTTCCTCGCGTGATTTTACATAAGACACCACATTTTGAGCTCAATCGAGTGCATAGAGGCCTCAGAAAGGTGATTTTTCAATTTTGGCCATATTATGTGAAAAGTTGTCAGAGAAAACGAAAATTGCCCATAGAATCTGAACGGTGCATATTTCGGCCCCAAAAATTTGTGGCCTTTCTTAGACCCACAAGGACTACCTTTGACCAAAAAATGGAGGAAATCGGCATCGGTCGTGTTCCACGATCGGACTTCTTAAAAAAATGCCTCTGAATATTCATAGCGTTTCGAATCTCCGTGCATTGTAAGACATTTGCACTACCGGGGAAAATCAGGAACCGTTTCTGGCGTGGTTTTGAAAACCCTCTTTTAACCTCTCCTGTTGCTTTTTTTAAAGTCATGTTATGCGGGAAAAGACGTGTCATGACGTCGTACTTGTGTGCAAAACAGATGTTTTTGTGGCAATCAATCGATTTACGAAAGCGAGAGTCAATGGTACAACTCTCTGCGATTGACAGAGTTGAAAAATGATAGGAATTCAGAAATTTTGTCATGTAACTTCATTAACATACGCAATGCCCATTGTTTGACCCTTTTCGTCTTTTCCGAGGCTTTTGGGAAAATACGGAATTTTCCGAAAATTTCCGTATTTTTTCCCGGAAATTTTCCGGCATTAGAATCACTCCTCTTTTACCTGAGCAGCAGCGATGCCGGTGCGAGCGAGGTCCCCGCCGATGCCCATGATGGCGCGGGTGCCGTCGAGGCCGAGGGCGGCCACCGCGTCGGCGGCGCCGACGGCCCTGCGAGCGCCACCGGCCGCGAGCGCAGCGCCGCCCCTGATCAGCCCCAGCCCCGCACTGGCCGCTCCGCGCGCCGCGCCGATGCCCAGCCGCGCGGTGCCGGCCGCGGCGTTGGCGGCCAGCTGCCCCGCGTCCCAGCCCACCAGGCTGGCGTCCCGCGCCACGCCCACGCCGCCGCGCAGCGCGTCCAGCGCTGCACCCAGGGCCCGCCGCTCGGGAGGGCTGGGCGCCAGCGGCCGCCTGCACACGGAGAAAATGACCGTATCAACCTTGAGTACATACTTTATATCAATATAACGAACAAAACCCTACATAAATATTGAGGAAATAGTACTTTTTAGCAGATGATACGTTCACGTATCAGCGTGCTTGTACTCTCGTGCAGAGAGTACCGAGTTTCCGGCTAGCCAGGCAGCAGTTGCCTCGTTGCCTGACTAGCAAGCCTAGAAGAGGCCGAGCGCCTCGCTGGCAAGGCAGCGGCTGGCTGGCCTGCCTAGAAGATTATGAGCGGAGGGCCCGCAGCGTGCCGCGCCGTCGCGCCGCGCCGCGCCGCGCGCCGCACATGGATCGGGGCGCCTGCGGGGGCTCGGGTTGCGCGCGCGGCGTATAACCTCGACACCCAGCTCTCTAGTACTCATGAAGTGCGTCCCTCGCGTAGCGCGTCGTTACGAGACGCTGCTAGCACGCATCGCCTAGCTGCCCCCCTCGCCCATTCCCTTGCCGAGACGCCACGTCCCGCCGCGCCCCGCCACACCCCGCAGCAGTCTACACACACACGCACTTGAGCCTTGAGTGCGTAGAACGCATAGTGCAGCGCCCCCCCGAACCCCTGCCCCTCTCGAGAAGCGGCGCGTCGGCAGTCGGCGGTGTGCGCCACTCTTGCTTATCTATCTTGAGGTCGGGTTCGGTTGGCGCGCCGGCCGGCCGGCCCCGCTTGGAGATGTGGCTGACACGCCGCGTGCCGCAAGGCGCCTTGCCCTAGTACCGAACACAACTTTTACGGGTATTGAGTATTTATGTGATTAGCCACCAAATTGTGCATCCTCACGTTGAAACAACGAAAATGATACCCAACACAAGTGGTATCGGACATATGAGTGTCCCACCGTCATTGCGAACATGTTTAACACAAAACTATGGCACGTTAGGATATTCAAAAGTTATACTAAAATTGACATTTTCATGAATTATCATGTGTTAGAAATTTGTGAAAAAAAGAGTTCCGAGTGTTTACTCTTTGAAAGAAATTGACAAAATGTCACATTCATACATTTCAATAAACATTCTCATAAGTATCATCTGCTTTCACGTTAGCGTTAGCGTTAACGTTTTTTTTTTGCTGTGTAAAATACTCTTTAACAATGGACAAAAAGTCAATAACAGTCTGAGAGTGTACTAGTGGAGGAAAGGCATAGTTTGAAGTCTCACTGGAAAAACAAAATTAAAACCATGCCCATACAGAGCGTAAACGGTTTACCCCCGAGGAACGGAGTTCATCTTTAAATGCTCGCACAGTAAATGTCTTGCGGTGAAAGGCTGCGCCACCATATTATGGTGGAGATTTTCTCCATAATACAAACGAAATTCGTCAAAACAGGTATGAGGTATAGGGAATTCTCAATGGTGTGGCAAAGTCAGCTGCACCACCGTAGAACATTTTCACCATAATATAGAGAATCTTCACGGTACAACATTTAGAGGGCTTGGGAAGGGTGTGAATTGCACACTAAATTCTTATGGACTTTTTTAATGCATAATGAAGCATTTTTTATGCATAGTTATGCATGCTTAGAAACGTCCATAAGGTATGTATAAAATTATGCATCACTGTGTACATTTTATGCATCTTCCTGCATAAAATGTTCACAGTGATGCATAATTTTATACATACCTTATGGACGTTTCTAAGCATGCATAACTATGCATAAAAAAGTCCATAAGAATTTAGTGTGTGGCGTATGACTTTCAGGCACAGATCTTATGCCCTTCCACTGCAAATTCAAAGGTAATACTTCACCCTCATTCCAAGAACATGACATCACGTTGAAACGAATATGACAAAATGTGATGTCACGTTCCTGGAAAGAGAGTGTTGAGTATCATTTTTGGTAAAGGTCCTGGTAAAGGACCTGGTAAAAACAATCGAAAACACACGGTCCGACTTGGGCGGGATTGATGGGTCAGGCCACCTTCACAGACCTTTTTGGTAATGCAGTTATAAGTACCTTCGATTTGAAGTCCCAATCAAAAAATTTAAAAGGGACCACCAAATTATGGGTGAAATACACTGCAAATCCAAGTGGGTCACAGGCATGCACGAGATAACGTGGTACAAACTGTCTCGCGCTTGTAAGTGGGACAAATCCAAATCCGTCTCCTACATTTTCTAGCGCAATGCCTTGTAATTTAGTGACTCGATGTCCTTTTTTTGCAGTGAACGGCCGCAAATTGACATCTGACCCATGGAGGTAAATGCTCGACAGAAGTGTCCTTGTACCAAGGCTTTTTAGGGTTTGCGTAGGAAATGTAACACTGCCGCCATTGCGCTTAAAGTCTGTTTGCTACGTGATCCCGGCATCAAATTTGGAACAGATGAGTTGACCACTTACCTGCCAAACGCAGCCTACTAAGATAATTCCTAGTACACAACTCTGCATCTTGTTCACAGGTTCGCAATCAGCGTTTGAAGAAAGCCGAACCCGGCTCTACTTATATCGACCGACGCGGCTACTTTGAGCAGGTGTCGAAAAGGGTGCATTCGAAAGCGACTCTCTCATTTCGGCCACACACGTTACCGAAAAGGGCAACGCGCGTATGTTTCGGAAGCAGCCTGTTCGGCGTCTTGGTAAATAACAAGAGACAGGCAGATGTTAATGACCGCCAGTGCAACGACTTGTTTACTCCGAAGTTTGCCACAGAAAGGAACTGCACTGCGCTGGTAAAGCTGGTGCGGAGTACTGCGTCTCATTCGAGCAAACAATGACACATGCAGGCCTTACACTCCATTCCCGGAACGTGACATCACGTTGAAACGAACGTGACAAAATGTCACATTCGTTTGATTGTGAATTGGCCAAAAATCAGCTTGTTCACATTCAAACGAACACCTTTCTTCATTGTTATCAAAATCTTAAAAAATACCGGAGAAGTTGTGTGTGTGGGGGGATGTGCCTCCGATCTTTGGTACCTTAATTCCAAAACATTTTATGTATGTATCTATTTAGAATTGTTTCTCGTCAGGTGTTGAGAGCTCAGGTTGTGTGAGGGCTTTCAGGGTTAAAGAGGATACTTACTTCAAGTTGATAAAGTTCAGATATTGTCCAGTAGAGGAAATGCACCTGACTCCAGCAGAGTCGAGAACCAAGTGCATGAGGAGACAGAGTACAGTTTACTTGCAATCAACAACACACAGATTCGTATTCAGATGGAGGCAGGTTCAAAGGTGTTATGAGAATATGTACAGTACAGTTATGGCAAATTGCTATATTCAATAGCAGATATAGTTCAAGAAGAAGCTTAAAATTTGGAATGGAATTTTGGACATGTTTCTATTTAGTGATTAGTGTTGAAGCGTATACGCACTCCCTCCCTCATGTACATAACAGAAAGGACGGAACAAGCGCATGATCTCTTGAACGCTTCTAGAAGGGCTTACGCTTCACGTAAGGCGCTACGCATAAATGTTTGCCAGGGCGGAACAAAACCAAGCCACGTTCCTAGGTTGCCACATGGCCTCACTAAAAACTTAAGTGTGTACTGAGTACACACACAGAGCACTCAAGTGTGTGTACTCAGTACTCTTAAAGAGGGCGTAAGTGTTTGCTGAGTACACACCTAGTTTCTCAGCGGACTTCTGAAAGCGTCGCGCATCGGTATTTTTATTTAAAGAGAATTTTAATTTCGCGCAGTATCTTTTGTTTCACATCATATATTATGATTTTAGCAATGTTAAGATCTTCCTGGTAAAATCTTGCTGTCGCCACTCACTGTAAAAGATTTCGGGGGTAAATTTGCGCATTGAGACCGCGCAACGACGCCTTGGTCCAACACCAAGAGGTATTTTTCCTCACTCCATTTGAGGGGAAATTGATCAGCACTAGTCCATGTGCGTAGCGCCAAAAGTAAGATGGCGTATTTTAGGAATTTTTAAAAAAGGTTATTTTTAGTCAAAAACGTTCTCCTTGGCAAAGGCTGGGGGTCCCTAACTGGCTTCTCACTGTATTATGTTGCCATTTACTGCTTCCAACCAATTTGAGCGCCTTTTTTTAAAAACTTGAAAAAAAAATTTAAATTTTATTCAAAATTTCAAAAAAAAATCAGCACGGCTTAAGTTTTGATTTTTTTTCCAAAAAATTTAAAGGAGTGATCGTTGGGTGGTAGGCTTTGATAGAAAAAAATTGGGAGCCGGATCTGAGTTTTGGGCCGTGATGGTTAGGTGGAATGCCCCGAAAGCCAAGTACTAGTATCGCGAGTAAAAGTAAAAACAGTACCAATTTTGTGGCACGTTATCTTGCCAATGTATGTGCCGAGTTCTCACAGTGTAACGCTATGCGTCCATGCAAACTTCTTTAAAACACAGGGACCGTAAGTGTATTTTTTATATTTTTTTTGTTTTGACGGGTGTTGGGGCGGACGCCCTCGCAGTTGGGAAATTAATGCGGGAGCTGCCCCTCTGCTTCCGGCCCCACTTCAGGCAGAAGACACTCAGCGCGGCTCTATCAGATTTCCCTCCCCACCACGGCGGCGTGCGCGTGACATGACGTGATTAGATCTTTCGCGTGGCTCTAGACAAATCCACTTTAAATGCTTCCACGGCTGGGAAGGGTAAATAAACATGGATTTCAGAGTACAAATTGAATTTAACATGAATATTGGATGAATTTTAATGCATTGCAGCCAATTTTTCCTTGAACTTTGGTATAAACTTCACTTTTTTTTGTAAACTTTCATTAATTTTCGACTAAATTTTAAGGATGTTAAAAAATTTGGCCATTTAGTTTTGTTTTACAATAATATAGAGTCGTTTTGCCGCTGGGTTAGGGCACGATTTCTGAACGTCAAGCGTTTCTCTGGACTCCTGTTATTTGCCGTACATCATATCAACCGTTTCGGCCGCTTTCTCTAAGAGACACCACGTAAAATTTGACATCAATTCGCAGCAAGGTTAGATGAGTACCCTCTGTGAACTTCGGGGTTTCATTTCTTTTAGCCTGCACACTATGTTTGCGGGTATCTTCATTGCCCACACTACGAACAGATGTGTGTGTACGAAAGCTATGGACAGATTAATTTCAACAATTGGGACAGTATTTCCGCATTATGCTTAGGTGTTTATAAAATTATATCTGATTTATGAACAAATTTGTGCAACCTTGCAATGCACATACATACTTATGTACTGAAAGTTCCCAAGCATTTGGTTTGTGGTCGTTCTAACTTCCCAGAAGTACGTCGAGTGCAGAGCGATGCTCTACGACGTAGTGTGCTGGCATAAGCGGTGCGGAGACAGGTGAGCTTTCAAAGTTCAAGTGTAGCGTGGCGCGAAGTGAGCTGTTTCGGTTATGGCAAGATGGCCTCATTATCTCTGTCGTGTGCGACTTCAAGCGGTTGCTTGTTAAGTTGCAACGTCACTGTGAAAACAAACCATCAGACGTAGTCGGCGTAGACTAAAGAACGAAAAGCACGAAACTGAATCAATTTCATTGCGAAACAAGAAAACTCCACCACGGGGCCGACGAAAGCTAAGCATCGCAATCAACAAACAAAATTACACAGCTATTGTGCCCCCTCAACATGGGTTGATTCGAAGAAGCCATTTCACGCACTTCCACAAAGTCCCAGGCACTAGTCAGGATTATACTTTACCAAAATAAAGAGTTTAACTCACAGGTGTACTTTGAGCTATCCTTCAGCTGAAGTAGTTAATGCAGCTGTCCGTCGTCTGCTGTAATAATCTTTATGGCGGGCCCCTGCTTACACTTGAGTACTTCAGAGTATTGAAGTGGCATCGCAGAATAGCCGCTCAGCCCCAAAAGTGAGTTTATGTTCGTCAATTTCACTTAAATATAGCCTTTTAGATTAATGTAGCTTATCGGACTTGAAATTTCCTATAGATTCAGGACTGGATTTCATGTATGCCGATCATTTTCAGCCAAGTTCAAATTGAAGAAAGGCGGCTCAAACCCTAATTTGGGAGAAGATGGAATGCCGTTTTCCCACAACTGTGCACTGGCCAATCTTTAGTATGGTTCTTCGAAATAAATAGGCTTCATTGAGGCCCTACTTCATTTTTCCAGAGTGTTAAGAAGTATTTTAGTTCACTCAGATTCCAAACTCTATGAGTATAACACGTATGGCGCAATGCATTGAGATATTGCACCATACGTGCAATGACACAGCCATATTGCACCTTACGTGCAATGCGTCCCGAAAATGCCTTATGACAATGCATGGGAAGGCATTGCAAACGCATTGCACCAATGAGATATTTTGCGTTAGTGAAGAAGAGAAAGAAGAAGATGCGGCGGTGGGGGTAGAACATAACCAACCCTCATTTGTTTAGGCAGTTTGTCTGCTTGCGGGGCGGGGGCGGGTGCACTGACAAAAATTTTGTCGTGACTTAGCGACACATTTATTGCTAATTTTTTTAGCGACAAGATTTGTTGTGGAACGAGTAGCTTGTTAAACCAAACTTGTACTGGAACTAAGGGATAATTTCACAACGACTATTTTGTAATAACACATTAGCAGTCTACTTTCCAATACAAGTCGTTGACCAACGACAAATGTTGTTGGTCAACGACAAGTCTTGTAAGTCGAAAAAGATTTTGTAATGTCTGGGACAAGTATTCATGGAGTACTTTTGTCACTAAATTTATTTGCCTAATTCTTTTTTTAATAATAGTTTTGTTGCTATGACTAAAGAAGACCGATAGATAATAATTCAAAATATGCTTTAATTGAGCAGATAATTGCAAAAGATTTTGTTTCCATACAAATTCTATCGTTAAGGGTGAAAACAAGAATTTTGTTCTTCAACGACAAATTGTCGCTTACAAGATTCAACAACATTTCTTTCGCTTTGGTTCATGATAAAATTCTTTGTTTTGGAACGACTAAATTTTCACTCATCTGATTGTTTCTATACAACCATTTTTTAACAGTGTGGGGGCCATCATGCCGGCGAAACAAATGAGGGTTTGTGATGTTCTACCCTTACCGCCGCATCTTCTTCTTTATCTTCTTCACTATCGCAAAATACCTCATTGGTGCAATGAAAACGTCAAATGCATTGCACCAATTGCTGCTGTACTCAAAGCGTTTGGATTCTCAGCGTTCTCCGGGATTTAAGGGGGAGAAAGTTTATCAATGCGAGCCTGTGTAAATGTTAAAGCCAGGGCCCTGTAACTCTCGGGGCTAAAAAATATGGCGGTAAAACGCAACGGGGAACCCAGTCGTACCAATTATTACCAATTATTATTTAATTATCAAAGGAGGCATCCATTGGAACCAATAATATCATATGTTGGTTTGATCATTCTGCCTCTTCATGGGACTACTTCAATAATTTTTTAATGAAACAGTTTTTGATATTGAAAATTGAAGTTGTTATGAAATAGATCCCCAAGGAGGGTTCCCCAGCTCCTGTCCCAAGTACCAGAGTTACAGGGGCCTGGTTAAAGCTGAGATCATCAGTAAACCTCAAAATACTACAATGAGGAGACTTTTTAAATTGACAGTCATTGGTTAAAAGGTCTCAACAGCTGGACTAAGGGTGAGCAATTCAATGCAACTGTTACTGCTAACAACGTTATGCTTCATAACCCTGTATTACAGTATATTTAATTTGGAAGAAAAAAAGGATTATGTTAAGGAGAATTTATCTTTATTTAAAAAAGATTCCACAAATTAATAAACAATACAGAATACAGCTTCCAAATATAAGCAAACGCAATGATATTCCAGACGGCGTTGCATTTATTAGAACGTGAAACATATAATCACTCCATAAAATACAGTCACAACCGTTGAAATGTCAGTCCTCCACATTCGGTCAAAAAATAAAAATAAACTTTCTAAGTTGAAACGAATATGACATGGTCTGATGAATAATGTGACTCGATTCACGGTGAGACGGCAAATTGATACAATGCCAGCGCATTTTATCACTTGCTGTGCACAAGATTAAGAGAATCAAACATGCATAATGCTTGCATCTTAACGAAACGAAAGCTACAACAGTCAGTGTAAAGGAACAGAGCTACGAAGTTACGGAGGATATCGATAAGTCAGTGCAGTGCATCTGAGCAAACGCAACAATCATAAAAATAAGAACCCTATGATCATCAACTGAGATCTGCCATCGACGCAGGAGCGCTCGGGCAACTCCAGTGCGTGAACTTGGGGACACACGTGGAAGTTCACGACATAGAGGTCATGCGAAGTGAGCTAGGATGCACTGCCGTCGCCGCCGGGCTGCTTGACCCCAGCAACGCGGCGGACTCCGCGGAGTGTTGCGCGGGCCGGAGTCTTCTTCCGGCAGAAGCAGTCTCCGCTGTGACCGCCGCAGCGAGTGACTCTCAGGGCGTCGACGCTGCCCCGCAGGAAGCCCAGCACCCTGGCGCCATGGAGGCCCTCACTCGCCACTCGGACCAGACAAATGTCGAGGGTGCCGTTGCTGTCGAGGAACACGGCGCCCGGCTCGAACAGCTGTCCCGCTCGGCACGACGGCAGCTTGTCCATGGCGGCGGCGAGGTGCGCGCTGGGGTCCAGGTCGACGTGCGCCATCTTGAACGCCTCGTCGAACTCCAGGGTCGCGCCGTCGAGTGCTTCCCACAGGACTGTCACTGAAATTCAAAGAGGGACACAACAGACCAAATTTAGGCGCACTGCGAGAAAAAAGTACGGAACATGTCTGGTCAATAATTGTCCGTACGGAACTTCCGTACATTTTTTCCGAACCAGATTACATGAGTTCTTATGGGACAAGTAAGGACGTTCCGTACTGTTTTCCGTACTTCCGTACCATTTTCGTCGGTACATTTTCCGTACAAAACTACGGAATTTTTTACAGTACGAAAAGAGACGGTACGTAAATGTATCACCATATAGAAAGCGAGGAGTGAATCACTCAGCGTTAGGGTGAGTTTTCTCGATGTGTCAATAATTTGTAGGTAGTTTGGGCACCCCAAGGCGATCATTTTCTACCAATGAACTAGTGGGCGCAAACGTCTAGGTACGGAGATAATTGGTGTTTTGTAATTGGCCTTCGCGCCTGGTAAAAAGTACTAAACTGTTCATTACTGGGTTCACTACAATGTGATGCATGCAACTTGGAATAAGGGTCACGATAACATCTTACGCACGGCGAAAACGGTCCCTCGTCTATCCATAGCCTACAGTAAATGCATTGACGATTTCGACGGTGGAAAAAAGGATCACTCATTTTCGGTCAAATATCGAAGTGTCACCTTTCTACGGTCTTTAATTTCAGTGCCGTAAACTGGGGTGACTTCGGCATCCTGGGTGATTTCGGCAGGCACTAAAACGCACGTAATGATAATTTGCACCTGTTCTAGAAGCACTTCGATCACCACCTTCATGTTCAACAGCAATGCAAACAATGATATGAACTCAATAGGGTATTTTAACGAATCCCTGGACCGGAAGTCAAAAAACAAAAGTAAGAGCCAAAACCACTTCTCCGCATGCTTAGAGTGCTTAGAGTTGCCTCAGAGTGGAGGGGGGGACGTCTGCGCATGCGCAGAAGCGGTTTTGGTTCTTTTGTTCTTCGACTTCCGGTCCAGGGATTCATTAAAATACCCTATTTTTGCTTCAACAAAGGTACTTTCGAGAGTGTCGAAGTTGCCTCGTGCGCCGAAGTATCACCCTCCATGCCATCACCTTTCTACGTTCCCTTTACAGAGAGAAGGCTCACCTAGATTTACAGTGGCACGTTCCATCATGGAGGCGGCCAGCGCGATGCGAATGATGCCGCCCTGGACGCCGCAGCCCTCGCCGTTGCATCCCTCCACCTCCAGCAGCAGCGCTGGGCCCTGGGCGACGAGTGCATTGACCGCTGCGTCCTGACGCGCATCCGCCGCTTCCTTGACCAGCGCGTCGAGCCTCCCCTTCCACTCCGTGACGGCCTCGTCGTCGTCCAGCAGCTGGTGCCCCTCGCGACAGGCGTCCTTCACTTCGGCCCAGCAATCCGCGCACCAGCCGGCCCTGCGTGCAGGAAACAAAAGAAGAGTGTCACTTGAGAGAATATGACTCTGGATTGCTTCTTGGCACTGGTAGCCAACGAATGTGACGTCATTACTCGTTGAAGTGTGATTTTTGGCACATTCGTTTGAACGTGACTCGCCCGTTAAAGTGCTCTCTCAGCACGTTACTGACTCTTTCCTCATTAATTACGTATGCGTATAAACAGCAATAATACTTAGTATTTTCTAAGTTATCATGACTAATTTTCTTAGTGAAATTATGTACAAAACCAAATCGTCAGTACATTACTTAATATTTCCTTAGTAGTTCTTTAAGAAAGGAAAAGTACGTATTATGGTTGCTCACATTACTTGCATAAGTACTGACAAAATGAGCAAAAAGTCAGTAACGTGCTGAGAGTGTGGAGTGTCACATTCGTTTGAACGTGGATCAACATTCAAACGAATGTGACATTATGTTTAAACGAACGTGACAAAATTCACGTTTGAACGAATATGACGTCACTTTCCTTGGTTACAAGAGGGCACACAGCAAATCCGGTGGCGAGGGGAAACAACTCCAAAATAAGTTGAACACCGATATTCATGGACAAACTTGAGTGTCGGTCATTTTGCTTTCATTCACACTGAAAATCCAAACGCTATGCACATGGCGTCAATTGGTGCAATGGTTTTGCATTGCACATGAAGTGCAAAGCCTTCCCATTCCAATACATTAGCATAGTGCCTTTCGGGACGCATTGCACAGAGGTGCAATATGGCTATGGCATTGAACGTATGGTGCGATATCTCAGAGCACTGCACCATACGTGCGATATTCACAGCGTTTGGAACTTCAGTGCAAAGTTCATGCATGGTTAGCGCGACTCCTTGAAAAACAAGGACGGTTTTTGAAAAACAAGGAAAGATGGAACACTTCAAGGAAGTTCCTTGGAAGTGAGCTCCCATTCCAAGGAGGCTCCCTTGTTTTCCAAGGCCAGTCCCTTGTTTTCTTGGACTCCAGACAAATTCCAAGGGCCCGCCTTGTTTTAGGGGCGCACTTCCAAGGGGACGCCTTGGTTGGTCTCTGCCGATTCAAGGAACCGCCTTGTTTGTCCGCAAAAGCTTGAGTTACGTCGTCGACCACGTCATGAGGTCCCCGATGACGTCCCCCTAGGGTTCACCATGACGACCCCCATGTTTCGCCGTGCCGTTGAGGCTGCCGGGTCTCACAGTGGCCAACGCCGAAAACAGTTTTCTTCTACGTCCAGTACGTTCGGAGATACGAGGACGTACCACGAGGCCGCCGTCCAGGCGGAGGAGGAAGTGGTGATTTTTTCGAGGCCAAAGTAGCTCTGGCCACGAGCCTACTTGGTGTCCGGGACTTTTGACTTCGGAATCGGGTTAGGGGGTGCCGGCCCACCTCGAAACCAAATTTGGTCAAGTTGCGGCCAGCCGTTTGTCCAGGATGGCGTCAAACAGCTGGACTTTTGGACTTATTTTGCTGATTGGATGATGTTTGTCGCCATCCTGGACAAACGGCTGGCCGGAACTTGACCAAATTTGGTTTCGAGGTGGGCCGGCACCCCCCTAACCCGATTCCGAAGTCAAAAGTCCCGGACACCAAGTAGGCTCGTGGCCAGAGCTACTTTGGCCTCGAAAAAATCACCACTTCCTCCTCCGCCCGGACGGCGGCCTCGTGGTACGTCCTCGTATCTCCGAAAGTACTGGACGTACAAGAAAACGGTTTTCGGCGTTGGCCACTGTGAGACCCGACAGCCTCAACGGCGGGGAGAAACATGGGGGTCGTCATGGTGAACCCCAGGGGGACGTCATCGGGGACCTCATGACGTGGTCGACGACGTAACTCAAGCTTTTGCGGACAAACAAGGCGGTTCCTTGAATCGGCGGAGACCAACCAAGGCGTCCCCTTGGAAGTGCGCCCCAAAAACAAGGCGAGCCCTTGGAATTTGTCTGGAGTCCAAGAAAACAAGGGACTGGCCATGGAAAACAGGGGAGCCTCCTTGGAATGGGAGCTCACTTCCAAGGAACTTCCTTGAAGTGTTCCATCATTCCTTGTTTTTCAAAAACCGCCCTTGTTTTTCAAGGAGTCGCGCTAACCGTGTGATCAATCCTTGACAACCAGTGATCCTTCAGAAGCAGTTTCACTAAAAATTGGAATTTATGGATATTTGTTTGAAGTTCGTTGAAATTGACCCAATAGTCAACATAAAATTGAGGACTTCAAAAGTCTGTACACTAAAATTCAAAGTTGTTTCCCCACGTCCAGCAAGTATACTTCCTACGAGGGGTATGGTTGCTACACAATTGGAAATCCTTGAGCTCAAATTTTTACCAGCTTGACATTATTTGGCGCTTAGGCCGCCTTCAAGTACAAATTTTGATAAACCGAGAAGTATTGCAGTACCAGGCTTGCCAGTTTGTGACATTCAAAATGCCTTCGACAACCAAACTATGGCCTTGGCTTAGCAGTCCTACGATAATATAACGCTCCTGGTCTAATTTTCAACCCTGCGTTCAGACCCGAATGAAAAAGTTATAACCTCCGCCCAGATTGCGACGGAGTATTTTGTTGAAAAAGGTAAATACTCACGACGATTCATGCTTGTGCTTCTTTTCCGGAGGCTGAGTGCTCTCCATCTCCATTGCATTGCTGCTGCATGCAGCTTGCGTATCTTCCGTCCATCCGGACATGGTGTGGTGAAGGACAGAAGCCTAGAACAGGGAACGGGAATCTATGTGACCCGAGCCACTCGTAGCAGACGAATCGGGGCACAGTGGGCCGGAGAAACTGGGATCATTCCTTGCACTAAACGGTATAAGAACTTGTTTTCCTCATTCACCAGAACATTTCACCAGAATATGCGTTCCCCAATCGAACTTCAAATAGGGCAAATCAGTAACCGAAAAATGTCCACCGTAAGTGTAAAGCATCATTCATCAATTCAAAAAAAACACGCTGTTTCCGGTCAGTACATGATCGAGATAATGAATAAGTCTCCCGATCGTGAGCCGAATACTACCCTAGAATGAGAAACTGTGGATATCACAGTCTTCAATATAGTACGAAGGGCGGGGTAAGTCCAAAAACAGGTGCGCACTTTTATTGATGTAAGTTCCGTGATTCCCTTTTACTACCGAACGAGAAATGTTGAAGGCTTGCCCTACACGGGAAAACTTTACGGTTGCAGAGCCAAAGGAGAGGCCGAAACACGGGGAGAGTCAGATATATACTTTTCGCATAGGGACCGAAACATGTAATTTCCGTCATCTTTAATTAGTAAGATCCGTCATTATTTTGATAGTTTTTTCTAGGGCTAAAAAGTGAAAATAAACGTGACGCGCGCCCAAGCTTGGAGGGCCATCTTGGGGTACTCCAGATGCTATTCAGACCAAAATTAGCCCCGAAATAAATGTTTCATTTTACAAATTTGTGGCACTCAGAATTCGCCCATACTCACGGAATCACCCAGCAATCCATTGCTAGAGAAACGTTCGGTCTGAGTCCCATATGGCGGCTCTGGGGCTAAAATAGCCTCACCAGAATTCTGGGCCCACTGTGCGGGGTTATTGACATCACTGAGAAGGATACTGCAAATAAAAGTGTGGGACAGGCATGCACCACATAACGTGGGACAAAGTGATCCAGGTAGCGGAATAAGGGGATAACTTCATTTTAGCAACTTTTCAGGAGAAACAAAAAATTGTTAGCAGGGAAAACAATAAAAAACCAAGCATAGGAATAGATGATAACAAGTTCAAGAAGCGTATTCGACTTAGGGGTGAACATCGAGTATGAGGTCAAGGAAATATTCAAAAATGTACTGAGAATAAAGTTTTAAACATAATTTTACAAAGGAAATTAGTCAAACTCACTTAGAAAAAAAAACAAGTATTGTTGCTGTTTATACGAATGCGTAATTAATGAGGAAAAAGTCAGTAACATGCTGAGAGTGTAAAAACATAAGTTGAGATATCTCCTATCAACAATATGACCAACGGATTCATGTTGACTTTGGTAGGGTTGTTTATAATTGCCGCTAAATTGAGAGTGTAAGGGGAGTAATTTGCCCCCCGCCCCTCCGTGATACGAAACGTTACGCTGGGCCAGACCCCCCGCCCCCTTTTAACAGCGTAACGTCACGCTACTTTTATCAGGAAGCACCGAACTGACCCTTATTTTCTGCTCGTTCTCCATAAATAAGCTCTTAATGTGTGTAGCGTGACGTAACGCTGGCTCGGGGCCCAATGAAACGCATCGTTACGCAGAACAAATACCCTCCCCCTTGCTACGTAACGTTAGTAATGGACGGCCCCTAAGCATCACGCTCTATCCGAGCAGTCTCCATCCGAAAGTCGAACACTTCCCTCAGGAACCGTTCACAGGGCACTTCACTGAGTCTAGAAACGGAGGAACAAAAGGAACGCCTGAAACCAGCTTTAACGCATGCGCAGGCTAGGCGGTCCCGCACCGCCTCATGCGCAGATGCTGTGTAAGGGGCTAACTTTGGTTCTTCACCTTCCGCTCGGAGATTCAATGTAGTATACTGTTGACAACGCTCTGCTTCGTATTGGCTAAGATATTTTAAAGAATACCTGGTCCGGAAGCCTAAGATCAGGAGTTAGAACCAAAACGGCATCTGCGCATGCCAAGACGCTGGCTGAGAATGAAGGAGGGACGTCTGCACATGCGCAGAAGCGGTTATGGTTCTTACTTTTCTTCCTTGACTTTCGGTCCAGGGATTCGTTGAAACTCTGTCCGAGGTAGATCCCAGATTGTTGGTCTCCTGACGTTATCATGGCGGAAGTGGCCCATTGACCCTATTAAAGTATATTTCGGAGAAGCGCCGGACCGGAAGTTGGCTAAGGTATTTTAAAGAATACCTGGACCAGAAGTCTAAGATCAGGAGTTAGAACCAAAACGGCACCTGCGCATGCGAAGACGCTGGCTGAGAATGAAGGAGGGACTGCACATGCTCAGAGGCGGTTTAGGTTCTTACTTTTGATCCTTGACTTCCGGTCCAGGGATTCGTTAACACTCTGTCCGACGTAGATCCCAGATCGTTGGTCTCCTGACGTTATCATGGCGGAAGTGGACCATTGACCTTAATAAAGTATATTTCGGAGAAGAGCTGGACCAGAAGTTGAGATGAAATCAAGAAGAACAAACGCCGGACTTGTATGAGAATATAACTCTGCGGAAGCGGCAGAACGGCGACGCAGACGCTCATTCTAACACATTTCGCATACTTTGTTCTTCTTGATTTCTTCTCAACTTCCGGTCCAGCTCTTCTCCGAAGTACCCTTTAGAATAACTAACATGCGCTGCCGATTATCTCGGGGAAGCCGCCTTCTGTATTTCACGTGGAAACTGCCATTTCCGACTTCGGTTTCCTAAGTGCAGTATATTGGCCCAAACTAGATGAAGCTATTGAAGAGTATGTGAGAAATTGTGACGCCTGTGTGGAGTACAACTTCAAGCCTGTCTCCACTGAAGTTGGACGATGGCGAAAAACAACTACACCATGGCAGAGATTGCATTTGGATTTTTTCTACTTTACAACTGTCACTGTATTAATCTTAGTGGATTCGTTTTCCAAATGGCTAGAAGTGTGGCCAGTCCCCAGCACAGGGGCACAACATGTAATTCCAAAGCTAAGATTGGCGTTCAGTTACTTTGGTTTGCCTTTGCAGATTGTGACGGATAATGGACCTCTATTCACGGGTGTGGAATTTTTGGACTTCTGTGCATCCAATGGCATAATTGCGTCCAAATCCCCGCCGTATCATCCGGAGTCAAATGGACAAGCAGAGATTGTTGTCAAGATAGCAAAGAAGATTTTGAAGAAGTTAGCCATTTCAAACTCCAGTGAAGATTTGTCCACCAAAGTGGTAAATATGTTGATAAATTATAGGTCAACACCCTCAGTTACGGGGTTGTCACCTGCAGAAGTAATGTTGACATTTGTGCCACGGCACAAGTTAACATTGTTGTCGCCGAGATCCCAAGCCAATGCATACAGACCAACGGCTCAAGTATTTTTACCGGGAGAGAGAGTCAAGATCAAAATGTCGAAGGATGTAACTGCCAAGATCGGAAGAATCATAAAGCAGCTAGGAGTGTCTGTATATGTTGTGGACTTGGAAGGGACACCAACTTTGTGTCACTTAAATCAGCTATCAACAAGTGTACCAAATCCCAACGAGATTGTCCCAGAGAAGACGCCAAGTTCCTCTGTCAGCACGGAAACGCAACTACAAAATCAAGAGGGTCCTTCACTTCAGACAGTGCGCCCACCTGAAGAGCGTCGTTCAAACCGCGTCAACAAGGGAACGCCGGCACCAAGACTAAACCTTAAGATTTTTCATCAGTAGTGTTTGAAAAAGACCTGTTGAAGTAAAGTTGTTGTTAGAAGATGTTTTGGTTTAAAAGACTTAATTGTCACTAGTCGAAGTGCCATTGTAATTCTTAATTGATCTCGATTGTGATGTGATGTGTAAAATTAAAAATGCTAAGTTCTAGGATTTTAATAATTTTGTGAGAATTGAAAATGTTAATGCCTATTAGTTAAATAAATAATTTAGGAACTAGTACTGTTAACTATTGTTGTGCACCCGGAGGGTATTGTGTATTTTGTATTTGTATGTTCAAGTTGGTACTGGTAGTCGTCTTTTGTCAAGTTGTGCCTGTCGATTATTTGCAGTTGTGTGTGTCGTCTTTTGTTGACTTTGAATAAACGTCAGTTCAGTATGGTTCCTGAAGCCCAATGGTGTTGTTCGTTCACCCCTCTGAATTTCCTTCAAGATTTACATAGTAGAAGTATTACCAGAAGATTATAAGTCAAAGACTTAAGTATTGAGAGATATAATAGAAGGGAAAAAAATCACCTTTTTTTAAAATGTTAAAATTTGAAAACTCATACACTGTTAAAAACAATCGCAAATTTACGACATTTTGAAGAACAATTATGTCGTTTTTAAACGACATGTTTTGTTACGACTCAAGTCGTAAATACACGACTTGGGTCGTAAATGTACGACATATTTTGTCGCTAATTTTGATAGCGGAACGATTCTCACGTTTCGGGGTAGTTTTGGCGTTTCTGATTTGCCGAAAGTGAGGAATATCCAATTAAGTTTTTCTGATTATTGGGGTCCTGGATGATACTAGAGTTATGGCAATGGTATTTATAGTAAAGACCTTGTACTTCCTTCCTAATAACATGAGCCATAAGGTATTCCCATACGTTTAAGTGGGTGTTTTGATCACGGAAATTACGTTATCACGGAAGTTACAAAGTGTGAAAATCGGCTTTAACGGCTGACTCGGGCTTGCTGTGGCTTAAAAGTCGTTTCAGGGTCAAATGATACTCTAAGCCTGACATTTAAGTGGAAAATTTTTTCACTTAGTGCTGCTGCAACATTGGGTAAAGGGTGCCACGGAAGTTACAGGTAATTGTTGATACACGCCATTTTATAATGCTCTAGCCCGCTTTGAGACCGTGTACAGCATCTTAGATTTCCGCGACCCATGCAATTATATCCCAGGGACTCCACTTTGATGGCTTGTGTCATGGAAAGTTAAAAGTTTGGCTTGGGGAGAAGTCCAGAGCTGCCTTTTCGAAATTTGTGTAGTGAAATTGAATATAGGGTGGACATTTTTCGTTGCAGCATAAGTACCTTTGAAAGAAGTCTGGCGTATTGGTCTTCGGTTGAAATTAGCTCGAGACATGCCAAGCTTCGAATCCCCATCGACAGTTGGCAGCATTTTCGAACCACACGGCCACACTGAGGGCGGAAAGTTCGAGTATGTTCTCTTTGGACAATCACGGAAGTTACATTTAGGGTATTCCAAACGCTGCGTAGACCAATCCAACGAACGTGAACTTTTCGAAATGTGTCCGTTTAGTGGGCAATGGCCCTCCCTAACATCAGAAACAAACCCCATGTCTATATCTGCGCTCGTTTGGGCACAGTAGTCAGAAGAAACGAAACTACCCCGAAACGTGAGAATCGCTCACGACCGACATACCACTCCTTACTTTTGGCAATAATTTTCCATTGCATTTTCCCTGCAGGGGTTACTTCAAAATTGTAATACTTCTGTTTCACAACTTTGCTTTGATTTTTAATATGCATTGCATTGTTAGGTAAGCCAACATTGCAATAACAGTGGTTGTTGTTTGAATGACAGCCTGCAGTTAGCTTAGGACAGTTGATATAAATGTTATTTATTCGTGATAGCGTTGTCCATCGTTTTTGAGTCTTGAGGAAAGTGCCATCCATATTGCCATCAAGTGACAATGAATTTTTTCAGTGGAGACAAGCGCCGATCCTCAGAGATAAGTGGGAGTGGCGCGCGCTCTGGCGGAGGGCGGCACTCTGCGTGAGTCAGTGGGGCGACGCCGAGTGTGGCACGCGTGACTTTAGTCCAAAAAAAAAAAATAACATCTCGTGATAGGAACATGCCACTTTGCACAGCTTTTTCTCGAAACATTACAAGCGTTTCACAATCATGGGTGATATATTGTCACTTTTAAATGACGAAACTTAAGGACGCTTTCTATCGAAGCTCATAAACTCATTTCCATGGGCGTGACAACTTTGTGACCTAATGTTTTGAAAGAAATTTACATTCAATGTCATCAAGTGACAACCAAAATTTTAACGTAGGTGCTGCTTTTTCAATGTGCTCCATGTAGAAGGGCTCAACACTCTAAATGTCTTACAATGAAATTTGACCTATGTTATTCGTATGATACAGCGAATTCGGCGCAAGCATAATACGAAACAATATTCCTTCGTAATACGAATCTTTTTAGCTTTTTCATTTTAAGATATAAAGAAAAACCTTCGTAATACGAAGAAAAAACCACCTTCGTATTATGCTTGCGCCATTTCCTTCGTAATATGGGAAATTTCTTCGTAAGACATTTACAGTGAACCCCTTTTGTGCAAATGGAACTTCTCTGAACACACCATCAAATGTACGACAAAACCAAACTGCAAGGCATACTTTCAATGACCTGGGCTCGTGAAATTAAATGTCCAGCCCCATTTGATCAATGTGCAACACTTGAGGCCCTCGCCTGAAAAGGGGCTGAATTGTGCTTGGTTGTTTGAACCGGAAATTAACTGGCTGCTTCTTCAGAAGCTGGGAAAGCGGCCACTTAAGAGACTATTTGGGAAGAAACGTGGGCTGATGAAAGTGCAGTTTTGTGAACTTGTGTTGTTGCCTTGCTGCTTGAACAAACTTTGAAGTACTTAAAACTTCCATACTTCACGCCAAAATGACATGTATTCTGCGCTTTCCTTCCGGGAACGTAACGGGTAATTCTTTCCTAAGTCACCCGAGGTCCCGCTCCGATTCAGACGAAACTTTGTGGGTGTTTCCTGTAGGAAAGAGCTTCAGAAAAAAATTTCAGCATTTTTGGTCGGCCCAAAAAGCTTATTTCAGGACCTCGGGTGACTTGGGAGAGAATAACCCTGACATCACGTAGAAACGAAAGTAGCCAAGCATATGCATCTGCTGGTTATATAGTGCTTGCTATTAAGGGGATGTTATGGTGAAAATCTTGCCATTTTCAAAGTGGATCCCACTGTCATAAATTGTTTGGAATATAAAATCTTTCTTCGTGGAGACTAAAATTTGGCTTTTGAAGGCACATGCCAAGCTCTGAACCCAGTCGAAGAGTCTTTTTGAGCCAATTTTGGCTGTGTCTTAAAAAATCTTCTTGCGCATACTATTTTGTCGATAAAGGTTGACCTTGACATTTTTCACTTCTTCCATTCATTTTCAAACGATTCCGGCATGCATAGCTCAAAATTTCCATTATATTATTAATTGTAAGCTTTTAAAGCTGAAAAGTGACTAAAATTTGCCTATTTTGTACACTTTTGATCAATTAAAGTGAAATGCTTGGTTAGAAAGCTTGCAAATAAAAAAGTTATTTACATTTTGAGTTGTGCATGCCGGCATCTTTAACAATGAATGGAAGAAGTGAAAAATGTCAAGGCCAACCTTTTACGACAAAATAGTATGCACAAGAATATTTTTAAAGTTATAGCCTAAATAGGAGAAAAAGGCTTTGCGACTGGGTTCAGGGCATAGAATGTGCCTCCCCATTGAAAATTTTTAATAATTACTTGGTAAGACATCAAATTTTCAACAAATTTTCATAGTGGGACCTATTTAGGAGAAAATAGCATTTTCACCAGAACCTCCCCTTAATTACAAGGAACCTGGAGGAACCTGTAGATGGCATACAGGACATGAGCCCCGTCCTGTTTGAGCCCCGATGGTCTGAACCCCGACCTGAGCCCCAACCTGAGCCCGGGTTGAGCCCCGACTTAAGCCCCGACCCAAGCCCCAATTTCCAGAGCCCGGATTGAGCCCCGACCTGAGCCCCGTTTGAGCCCAACTTGAGCCCCACTTGAGCCCCATAGCAATAAATTATGCAAAAATGCGTGATTTCAGGTCGCGGGGCTCAAATGGGGCTCAAGTGGGGCTCAAATGGGGCTCAAATGGGGCTCAAACGGGGCTCAGGCCAAAAATGGTGAAGTGCTATATCTCCGGAACTATTGGCTATTGGCCAAAACCATTTTAGGGGGTCATTCTAGACACTAATTGGTGGCGATTCACCAATGTTGGTTGAAATCGGACGACGTCAGGTTTATGAGTGTTCAAGTTGGCGTGGAATTACCCAGGGAGCTTTAGCAACAGTGTGCCTCAAGGTATACGCCACCTGGCGTGTACTTGCCAAGTACACTCCAACCTGGAGTTTACATGCCAGGTATGCTCCAGGTTGGAGTGTACATGCATGTTGACACCAGGTGGAGAGTCCTATGTACACACTTGAGTTTGTAGAGTAACGATTCGAGATAAGGCACAACGCTTGCGATGTTCGGCCTTTCGGCAAAGAAATTTGCTTGGACTTACGGGAAAGATTCGACCCAGAAATTTTGGGGCTCACCGAACTGGATTCGAAACATTCTCACATTAAATCGTTGATTTGCACGTCTCTCTGCCAAGGCCCCTGTGCTGGAGCTGGAGGTGGGCGGTTGCAGCGGGGAGGGCATCAGCGTCGAAGGCGGCTCCATCCGCATCGCGCTGACCGTGGCGAAGACCACCGCCTGGGACAAGAGGGCCCTGGCTGCAGCACTGGAAGGCTTGACTCTCGAGGTCGGCCTTGGCAAGGCTTCCGCTGACGGCTTCCCCCGCTACCACCTCGCCGCGCTCATCGGGAAACTGCCGTCCTGTGAGGCTGGGCAGAAGTTGCGGGAAGGGGCCGTGCTTCTCCATGTGGACGGGAGCTTGCAGATTGTCCTGAAGCGTGTCGTGGCGGCCGGGGACCTCGACGGCGCCAAGCTGCTGGGCCACGTGCAGGGCAGCCTCGGCGCCCTCAGCGCCTGCGGGGGCCGCGGCGTTACCAAGACTCCGGCCACTCTACAAATCGAAGAGTGTACATGGTATGCTCTAACTGGAGCATGCCTGCAAGCACGCTCTAGCTAGCGCATGCCTGCCAGGCATGCACTTACTAGTGCATACATGCCATGTACACGCTAACTGAAGCATGCATCTACACCCTTAAAACCTTGCGAAGTATTTTGAGCATACATACGTACAAACTAATTTACTTTGTTATACGAAGAAATAGTTCGTGAATTACGAAGTATTTTCTTTGTAAGCTAAGCTTATGTATGCTCAAAATACTTTGTTCTGACAAACTGCTTTTCTTTGTAAGGCCTGAAATAGTTTGTAAGGTTTTCTCAGTGTAGTGCTGAAGGGATAGGGAGTTGTCTGCATCAGGAAGCGTGTACATGGTATGTATGCGCTAGTAAGTGCATGCTTGGCAGGCATGCGCTAGTTAGAGCGTGCTTGCAGGCATGCTCCAGTTAGAGCATACCATGTACACTCTTCGATTTGTAGAGCAAAGCAAGGTTGAGCGGAGTCCGCTTTGTGAGGCGAGGACGCTAACTCAATTGTGCAGTCGCACCCCTACGCTATGCGTACCTCCCACAGGTTACGCCATTGGATGATGTTTCCCAACCGTGGTCCTGTGGGGGAGGTTGATTTTCTGATCAAAGTATCGACGCGTTTATCATAACTTGTTATGCACCTTGAGTGCATTGATAAATTCATTCTTTTCCGTATTTTTAAGTTTTCTTTGAGCATGTGCTGTTTTGTACTGCCGTAGATGTCGCTTCTGTTCTTGTTTGGCGCAAACGTCAGGTTGTTTGGACCTCAGGCAATGTATCTAGCAATGTCTTCTGTTTGTCCAAAAGCACTTAATTTTAATTCACGACTGTTTGATTTTCGTGTTCTTTAAGTGAACAATTCGCAATAAATGTCTATTTTGTTTAATGTGACCGTCCAGTAGTCCAGTTTTTGCTGTACTGACTTCAAAAGTGACTATTCCTAATTTTTTACCAGACTCATGCATTACCGAATATTGACGAATTTTGGACCAAAATTTTAAATCGAGTTTGACGTTGATCCCAACAGTTTTTTTTACTGATAACGAAAATCACTTCCATTTATACCCCAGAGCTACATTTCACTCATATGAGCCTATACGTTGCACAGTTCGTCTACTTAAGCAAGTCCGAAGTGCACAAAGTAATTCGCATCGCTCAGCCACACTACGCGCCACACTAAACGGCGCGTACCCCTAGTTTTAATGCCCCTCCAAAGCCTTACCCTAGTATTACGCCTTTAAAGAGAGTGAAAGACTGACTGTTCTTTCATTCAGAGTTTTCATGTCGTTGTTTTACCAGGTGAGTGCTGGTCTCCCTATTCTGCAGAGAAACCTCTGCCGTACGGTGCTCCGTCCGTCCGTACTCTATTTTCACTGTGGTGACGCGGCGTGTCAATGCTCTGTGTTCCTCTCACCTCATGAGTCACCACGTGACCATGACCTCTGCACCTCCTCCTCCCCGCCGCCCCTCTTAACTTGAAGTAGCCGTGGCGAGGCGAGCCCACGTCGCGACACCGGCGCGGGGAGGGGGAAGGTTACTTCCACTACAGGCTGATTCCGAACAGTGGTCGCCCTCTCTCGCACTCATGAGGCGTCCAGCAAGGGTGATGCAGAGAGAGACAAACTGTTCGGAATCTGTCCACCGGTGGCGCGAGCCAGATAACAAGCAAATAAAACGGCAGCCGTCGGACTCTGGGCATTGCTTAGTGCTGCGCCGAGCGTCCCAGCAGAACCATGGCCCGACTCTTGTGTGCGGCTTTCGCCCTAGCCCTGTTGGCTGTGGGGATTGCGGCTTCGCGTAAGTACTCCACTTGAAGACATACACTTCGATCGGGAAGTTTCTTCCAAGAACGTGACGTCAAATTCGTCATGAAATGAAAAGTGCCCTCGAAAAAGTCTGCGAAGCTCTTGCTTCTTAGCTGTGAAGAAAATGAAGACATTGTAGAATTACTTCGTATCATGAAGAATTCCTTCATAATACAAAGAAGCAGATTTTACAATCCCTCCGTTTTCTTCACGGCAAAAACGGTTCCTGGTTTTCCCAGGAACTCCCTGGAAATCGCCTGTCTCTTCCCTATGAGCTTCCTGGGTAAACCAGGATCTGTCTCTTCCCTATGGGCTTCCTGGGAAAACCAGGATCCGTTTCTGCCGTGTTCGTAAAACGGAGCGATGCCTCGTAAGTCTGTTTTCGGTGTCACTTTCGTTTGAGTATGAATTATGTCTTGCTCGTTTGAATTCGGTGTCACATCCGTTTGAATGCGAATTGTAATATCTAGTTTCATTTGAATAATGTCAGATTCGTTTGAAAATGATGGCACACTGGCTTGAATCTCTCACACTGAGAATCCAAACGCTCGTTGAGTATGGCGTCAATTGATGCGATGCATTTGAAGCCGTATTGATTCCACCAAGTGGTGCAACGCACGTGAGGTGCAAAGCCTTCATTGCATTGGCATTGGGCGTTTTCGGGAAGCATAGCCGCACGCAATGTGGCTAAGACATTGCACGTGTCGTGCGAGATGTCAATGCAATTCTCCACGTGTTACGTTTTTTGTAGTGTTTGGAATCTCAGTGCACATTGGTTTGCACTCTTAAAAGCCTACAAAGCATTTGCTATACAAAGCATGTAAAAGCTTCATACATGGTGAGTTTCCTCAATGTGTCAATAATTTGCAGGCAGTTTGGGCATCCCTAGGGGACTATTTTTCGTCAATGAACTAGTGGGTGCAAACGTCTAGGTATGGAGATAATTGCTGTTTTGTAATTGGATTTTGCGCCTACGAGGTAGGCACCCGGTGCCACTGAGGGCGGCAGGACCTGTCGAGGAGGTGTCGCGGGACTAGCAGTACTTGCGGGAGTGCCACTGAGCTCGCGGAAGTATCCGAGGAATCCCGCCACGCTCGCAAAGACAGCCGTGAGATCCACTGTAACGGGGGTCACCATGACAGCCTCTTCAGACCCGCGGCAACCCCTCCCAAAAGACATTTGCAAGGTCCGCCGCACCCCTACGAGACTCGAAGCACCCCTCCTAGACCCGCGACACCCCCACGCGAGGGTGAGGTCCTGCGACCATCAGTGGCTACCCTTTTGAAAACATGTTAGAAGTTAAGGGTAATAACTTTAACTCTTATCATAACGTTATGATGCCCTTATGAGGTAAGTTAAGGATCCCTGATTTTAAGCCTGTAGCAACAGACCCGAGGGGTGCTTTACTATGATAATCGTGCGCACTTCGTTCATCACTGGTAATCACGTGCCGAAACTGAACATTTTCGCTGCTTTTAACTGGGTTGGTGAATCCCTCGAACGGACCCCTACTTTCTAAACGTTGGTTGCCAAACTTTGGCTCACGCCTCCAACACATTGCACTTTGCGCCTTCTTCACCTGATGCCATTTATTGTCTTTTTGCAGCGTTTTCGGTGGGCACAGATCCGAACAGGTTCATCGGTGAGTGTTAAAACTTATCTTTCATTTGGCGGCGAGAGAGGTTCTTTCAACACGCGGCGTTTCTCCCTACACATGGACTTACAAGACGTCAACGACTCTTTGCATTCTCGTTCCAGTGACGTTCGGCTTGGTCCCCGACCCCTTCCACTACTACAACTACTTCACGATGCCCAGGACCGTGAAGGAGGCCATGCAGGACCATTTCAGCTCTGTTCGCACCTCCAATGACAGCACTTCCATCTGGTGCCGCAAAAACGACTACCGCGTCTGCGTCATCTTCGACGCGCTCGGCACCGTCGCTGGAATTCAAGTGTCGGTAAGTGGCGGAGAAAGCAGCACTGTAAAAAATTCCCTACTTTTTTCGGAAAATGTACGGACGAAAATTGTACAGAACGTCCGTACTTGTCCCACAAGAACTCATGTAATCTGGTACGGAAAAAAAGTACTGAAGTTTCGAAGTAGGACAGGTACGGACGGTCCATGCAAATTATTGACCAGACATGTTCCGTACAGTTTCTGCGCATTTTTCCTGCAGTGAGGACTCACACTCTAAATGTCTTACGGTGAAAGGCTGCACCAACTACGGTGTAGATTTTCTCCATGATACAAAAGAAATTTGACAAAATATCTGAAAGCTATGTTACGGTTAGAGCCCGTTCGCCGGTTAGGGTCGACCCTAACCGGTTAGGGTCCGGTCTAACCGCTCCGGCCCGGTTAATGTCCGATACAATATTTTAATTTGAAATCCCTCGGGCCCTAACCGGTTAGGGTTAGCGGCTAACATGAAATAAACATTTATTTAACCTTGCCCCCCCGCCCCTACAATTTTTCTTGATTTTCTGGTCGGACCCTAACCGATGCCGGTCGGTTAGGGTCTCCTCAGGCTAACCCTAACCGGTTAGGGCCTGAGGGATTTCAAATTAAAATATTGTATCGGACATTAACCGGGCCGGAGCGGTTAGACCGGACCCTAACCGGTGAACGGGCTCTAACCGTAACAGCTACAATGAATTTTGAATTGTAAGTGACGAAGTCAGCTGCACCACCATACTATAGAGAATTTTCACCATAATATGGAGAAACTTCACCCTAAGACTTTTCGCCAACTAACCCCCTCGCCACCCCAAATGTTAAAAAAAAAAATCCGCGCGAGAGGTCACGTGTACGGAGGAGACGTATGGGACAGTCAATCAGTTACCAGGGCAACAAGGTATCGCTTTGAATTTTACTCAGAACTCTTAATTTGATATTGTTTCAGGTTGCTGTCAAAGAAATCGAGGCCATTCCCCATGCTAAGAACAACTTGCCCGAATGGACTCGTCAAACTTTCCTCGGTGAAGACGTCTTCAGTGCCACTACGTACTTCGTATCTAAAGGTAAAGTGAAAATTTCGTGATAGGGCGTATTCATGTTCAGACCGGAAAAATCACATGAAGTCAGATACCCTGACTAGAATATTCCTTCTCATCTTAAGTGCAATCACCGAAAGTTCAAAGTGGTCAATATTTGGCAACACAAAACAGTCTCACCATGTATGCTTTGTGATATACGCTCTACAAATCGAAAACCGTACATTGTATGCTCTACCTGGAGCATACCTGCAAGCACGCTCTAGCTAGCGCATGCCTGCCCAGCATGCACTTTCTAGTGCAAGCATGCCGTGTGCACGCTTCCTTATGCAGACAACTCCCTTTCCCATTTGCACTAGCAATGTATGCTTCTGCTAGCGTGTATGCATGGATGCACTAGTAAGTGCATGCTTGGCAGGCATGCGCTAGCTAAAGCGTGCTTGCTGGCATGCTCAGGTAGAGCGTGCGATGTACGGTATTCGATTTGTAGAGCTTGTGGTGCGATGTCTCCGTGCATTGCAACATACACCATATTGCAACATAGGGGTATGCTCGAATCGTTTGGAATCTCAATGATAGTACTTTCCGTTATGAGTACGAAATAGGTTACTATGTCCTGATCGCCCTCCGCAGGCCTGCTGGAAAACGGTGGCCGGACCATCTCCGAAAAGGACCACACCGCCCCCAATGGCATCTACATCCTGCAAACGGACAGCGAGGGGAAGGAGACATCTCGCCTGCACGTGCCCATTGAGGAATCTGGGGCCACCGGGGCTGGCTTCACCACTCAGAACTGCTTCTACGGCATGGGTAAGACATCAGCGCCGTGCTGCTTGGAAACCATGCATGGGTTCAAGCAGAATTCTACCGCGGAAATCAAAGTACAAGGTCGTTAGCAGGCTCACTCGTGTAAATTTTGTCAGAATGTCAGAAACATGTCTGAAATCCTGATCATAATTCGCGCACCTCTGAAAGCTGAATTTCTGGAAACTTATGCTGATATTAATGGCCTGAGTTCTGCAGAATGTCAGAACATGTTTTCAGCTTCCAGAGGTGCGCGAATTTTTATCAGGTTTTCAGACACGATTCTGACATTCTCACAAGATTTACACGAGTGCTGTCGGATTTCACGCTGTCGTTATATAGGATGAAATGGTACCGAGGGGGCCACCACTCCCGAAATCCTGTGTACACTTGATTGGCCGAAATCTTGCGCCGAATCGGTCGAAATCTGTTGAAATTCCTTCGAAATCTGGTGAAATCTCGCGAAATCTGGCATATTTTTGACGGGATATCTCGGCGAAATCCCTACCTTTGAAGAATCCTCTGTACAAACAAAATTTCATATGGTTGCCCCCCCGGATGGTTCTAAATTCCTTTGTGAAGTTTTTGTGAGTCTCACAATAGGGTACTTTCGTAGATCCCTGAACCGGAAGCACACAGACGCCATGTTGGCGGAAGTGGATCCAAACTTGACATGGGAAAGAGACGTTCGTCAAACTCATCGGCCACACTTGAACATATACCGTCGTTTGATACTTGTTTGCAGTGCATATGTGTTACGCGAGCAATACTTGTACAGCTCGGCTTTAGTTTTGGATCCGAAGAGAGGTTAGTTTCCGACCAATTTGGCGTCTGCTGGTCTGCTTGCTTCCGGTTTAGGATCTACGAAAGTACCCTATTTTGCGCATGCGTACTTTTCCTACAAATTTGTCCGCAATTTAGCTGGAATTTGTGTCATCCTGCGAAACGTACAGGCACGAAAAAGTTCACATGTTTACAAGGTAGGTGTACGCCAGACCGTGTCTTGACGTAACAGGCTTCGCGACGCTGCGCCAGTTACGACAAACCACGCCTGGCGTTACACCTACCTTGGCCTGCGGCGCTTGCCTGCCTTAGGTTTCTTTTCCAGGCATCCGCATACCAATTTGCGTGATATTTCGTGCCTAGGGCAGCATTGGCCTGACTTTTTAACTTGTCGAGGCTGGGGGGCTAGACCCCCCATTGGCCTGACTTTAAAACTTGCCAAGGCTGGGGGGCTCCGCCCCCCCCAGAACCCCCCTTTCTTCAAGACAGAAGTGATCTGCCTGCAGAAAACTCGGTTTTTCGCCGTTGTTTAGGTGTTTTTCGGCTATAAAAACCGAACCAGTTGAGCTAGGATAGTGAAATTTCGCGTGTGCCGAGCCAAGGACATACCCAAAAAGTGTGCAAAATCTCACCGAGACCGGCCGAGCCGTTCAGGAGGAGTAGCGCGGACACACACACACACGCACGCACGCAGACAGGAAAAATTTTTCAACCCCACCTGAGTAACAGGCTTCGCTATCGCTCAGCCAACAATTGAGTGAAACCACGTATAAAATTGTACCAATACATTTAATGTGTAAAAATGTTCAGCTTTTCGATGCTGAATTCGTTCAGCAGACAGTGCGTGTCTCCGAAAGAGTGTTGCGAGCTTATTTGCTCTTTCTGCGCAGGCAAACACTACTTCCAGGAGCTTTCTGAGAAGACTGTTTGCGAATCACACCGTCCCTACTTCATGCTTTACAACCCCAAGTCCAAGAACCTTCAAGGTTTCGGACTTGGAATGTACGGCAAACCCAGCCAGGGTCGCGGCTGGTTTGAAGCGCCATCGGCTTCGGTTGCCAAGGTAACGCTCATTTTCATCTAACCGGCAAAATGCGAAGCACCTTTTCACATTCTGGCGACAGATCTGACGGTTGTGCTCCGCTATGTGAGCCGCCAGAGTGTGGAGGTGGAGGAACACTGGTGAAAATTTGAGTCGTCACTTGATGATAATTTCAAGGCTCATTTTCCTTACAACAATGTCATCAAAACAATTGATGACATTGTTGTCACGCCCATGCAATAAGTAAAGGAGCTTTGATGAAAATATCATAAATTAGTGATGAGACTGTCATCGTTTGTAAGTGACGAAAATATCATCCACGTTTTTGTCATAAAGTGACAACAAATTTTCACAGTGAAACGACCTTGTCGAAACTTCTTACGCCTTCCTGACTGGATATTGAACTGGATAACTTGATATTAGTTCTGGATATTTACTTTTATGTTCTCTGTTGCAGAGTATCGCTCCGAACTCTCCGGAATGTATGACCAAGTGGATCGACAACTACGGATTGTTCACCTTCCACATTTACTTCGTTGCCAGGCCGTGGTTCATTTTCTGCTAAACCGTAAGAAAATTTTAATCGTACAGCTTGCGTCCACAAGTATAGCAAAAACTATACAAAAAAGTACATCAGGGATTGTATAAAGTACAACGAGAAATGTACAAACCACACTGCCTGGACTGCACAACACTCGTCATGCTGGTTCCATTGTACTTTGTACAACAATTGTTGTACTTTGAAAGTGCAATAAATTCCCAACAAGGTAGGTGTACGCCAGACCGTGTCTTGTCGTAACAGGCTTCGCGACGCTGCGCCAGTTACGACAATCCACGCCTGGCGTTACACCTGCGGCGCTTGCCTGCCTTAGGTTTCTTTTCCAGGCATCCGCATACCAATTTGCGTGATTGAAGGTCAAAACAGCATTTGATTTCGTGCCTAGGGCAGCATTGGCCTCACTTTTTAACTTGTCGAAGCTGGGGGGCTAGACCCCCCATTGGCCTGACTTTTAAACTTGTCAAGGCTGGGGCGCTCCGCCCCCCCAGACCCCCTTTCTTCAAGACAGAAGTGATCTGCCTGCAGAAAACTCGATTTTTCGCCGTTTTTTAGGTGTTTTTCGGCTATAAAAACCGAACCAGTTGAGCTAGGATAGTGAAATTTCGCGTGTGCCGAGCCAAGGACATACCTAAAAAGTGTGCAAAATCTCGCCGAGATCGGCCGAGCCGTTCAGGAGGAGTAGCGCGGACACACACACACACACACACACACACACACGCACGCAGACAGGAAAAATTTTTCAACCCCACCTGAGTAACAGGCTTCGCTATCGCTCAGCCAATAAAAAAATTGGCAGAAATTTGTGAACTTTTGCCATGTTTTTTTCTGGCAGTGTAAGAAGCTCGCTTCAGGCTGGACTAAGTGCATGGCATCCGCCCTAAAATGTTAAGGGGAGATTCTGGTGAGAACCTTGCCATTTCCTAAATGGATCTCACTGCCATAATTTGTTCGGAACATAAAATCTTTCTTCGAGTAGACTAAAATTTGACTTTTGAAAGCACATCTCAGGCTCTGAACCCATTCGAAGAGTCTTTTTGAGCCTATTTTGGCTGTATCTTAAAAAATCTCCTTGCGCAGCGCATATTTTTTTGTCGTAAAAGGTTGACCTTAACATTTTTCACTTCTTCAATTCATTTTCAAAAGATACCGGCATGCATAGCTCAAAATATCCATTACAGTAGTAATTGTAAGCTTTACAGGCTGAAAAGTCCCTAAAATTTGACTATTTTGTACATTTTTGATCAATTACAGTGAAATGCTTGGTTAGAAAGCTTGCAAATAAATATGTAATTTACATTTTGAGTTGTGCATGCCGGCATCTTTTAAAAATGAATCGAAGAAGTGAAAAATGTCAAGGCCAACCTTTTACGACAAAATAGTATGCGCAAGAAGATTTTTAAAGTTAAAGCCTAAATAGGAGAAAAAGGCACTGCGACTGGGTTCAGGGCATAGAATGTGCCTCCCCAATGAAAAATTTTAATAGTAACTTGGTAAGACATCAAATTTTTAACTAATTTTCATAGTGGGACCCATTTAGGAGAAAATAGCATTTTCACCAGAACCTCCCCTTAAGGGGGCTCATACATGTTAAAAGCACTTTTTTAAAAAAAAATTTTGATGTAGACGGATTAAGATTTTACAATTTCTGTGTTAAAATCCTTTTAGATAATTTAGTAAGCTTCATTTTGGCTCAAGGGAAAGTGACTTTGGACATTTTTTGGAGATTTAGTCGAAACGTTTAAAATTTTGCTTCTCGTAAGATTTTGTTCGCATACTTGCTCAGATCTGTGGGGAAAAAATCAGGGAGACTCATCCCCAGTAGTGTCATAGAATTGACTAGAATGGGCTTTATATCTGCAATAGTTTTCAAGAAAAAAAATAAAAACAATTTTTTGTTGAAAAATTTGTTTAAAAAATTGTTAAAAAAATTGTTTTTATTTTTTTTCTTGAAAACTATTGCAGATATAAAGCCCATTCTAGTCAATTCTATGACACTACTGGGGATGAGTCTCCCTGATTTTTTCCCCACAGATCTGAGCAAGTATGCGAACAAAATCTTACGAGAAGCAAAATTTTAAACGTTTCCACTAAATCTCCAAAAAATGTCCAAAGTCACTTTCCCTTAAGCCAAAATGAAGCTTCCTCAATTATCTACAAGGATTTTAACACAGAAATTGTAAAATCTTAATCCGTCTACATCAAAATTTTTTTTTTAAAAAGTGCTTTTAACATGTATGAGCCCTCTTAAACTAGGTTGCCTGCGAAAACGGGTGCTGTCACGTCCGTTTGCCCCCCGATGATGAGCCATTTCCTTCCTTTGCAGCTGTCGCTGGGATTGGCAGTTTTGCTTCGCACATGCCGAGGAGTTCCAAATCGTTGAAGGCACAGTGAAGAAGTACGCCATCATATCCAAAACATCGGCAACGCGCAAAATAAATCAAAGCGCAGTTGTTTTCTTAAAATTAAAGTAACCGCTTGTTTCTCTGCTCATTCGAAATATATTGGATGTGTTTCCTGACTAAATAATCTGGTTTAAAAAGGCTCGCATTTTGCTTAACCGATACACGATACAACCTACGCCAGAAGAGATGTAGCTAGTGAGAATTTCAAGTGTGTACCCTGGCATAAAAAAAATCATACACATATTTGTATGCACATAGTCTACACTCTATGTGTCTTACCAAGAAATTTCCCATAAAACGAATTAAATGGCGCACGCCTAATACGAAGGCAGAATATTAAGATCGACGCCTCCTAATAGTATAATCCTAACTGTCGGTGCTGATCCTAGGGTGGCCCACGCGAAAAAAAAAGTTTCAAAATTGAGGAGCGCCGCACAGAATCTTAAAGTTTGGCCAAAAAATAAATTTTTCCGCATTTTTTCGATTTTTTTGGAGCATCTTTAGGGGTTGTTCAACGCGCTCAAAGTTTTTAGAAAAATAATGAATTTCAGTGAATAATACATTCTGGTGCTTTAATTCGAGTTTTGATCGTAGAGAGAAAAGCGAAACGCCGAATTGTTCGTATTGATGCCTAGAATAAGTTTAGAAACACTGCATACCGAATGTGCGCATGACCTACTTTCCAGGGGCCAAAAACTGCAAAAAAATAGGGGGAAAATGCCGTATTTTCATCTTTTTAGGCTGATTTGGCACCTTTTCCGCCGTCGGATCGTCTTATCCTGTGCGCCAATCGATTCCCCACACCAAAAGGACCCCAAGAAACACCTTGGACTATGCGAGTAAACGACTGCCTATTTTCCAGGGGCGATCAATTTAACGAAACGTGCAAAATTTGTGCCTTTTTTCACCGTATAGGGCCAGTTTGACACCTTTCTGGGCGTCCTATCGTCTTGCTCTGTGCACCAATCGACTCCTCATGATGCGAGAACCCCTCTAAACAACTTGGACGATGCGAGTAACCGACTGCCTATATTGCAGGGGTGATCAATTTAAAGAAACGTTCGAAATTTGCGTTTTTTTTTTCACCTTTTGGGGTCAGTTTGACACCTTTCTAGGCGTCCTATTGTCTTGTTCTATGTGCCAATCGATTCCTCACGATGAGAGAACCCCTAGAAACACCTTGGACGATGGGAGGAAACGGTTAATACCTGATTGGCGGTGATCAGATGGCGGTTAAGGCTGCAAAATGTGCGAAACCGGCCCGAAACGGCTAAAGAAGAGGCCCCCTTCATACTTTTCTTGATTTGATGGCGCCCGACAGGTAGCCAATCCTCAACCCATAGTATCAAAGATGTGTCTAGGGGTTCTCTCATCATGGGGAATCGATTGACGCATAGAGCAAGACGATAGGACGCCTAGAAAGGTGTCAAACTGACCCCAAAAGGTGAAAAGAAAACGGAAATTTCGAACGTCTCTTTAAATTGATCATCCCTGCAATATAGGCAGTCTTTTACTCGCATCGTTCAAGTTGTTTCTAGGAGCTCTCGCACCATGGAGAGTCGATTGGCGCACAGAGCAAGACGATAGGACGCCCAGAAAGGTGTCAAACCGGCCCTGTAAGGTGAAAAAAAGGTAAAATTTGGGACGTTTATGATTATCCTTTAAACAAACTCAAGAGTATACATGAGCATCATTATTGTTTGAACTGACCAAACAGTACAGGGCCATTATTATTGTTTCAACGAACCTACCAGTACATGACCATTATCATTTCTTAGCACTTACTTGACTTTCATTATTCCTTCAATTAAATAAACGGCGCATAACTATTATTTTTCTTTTAACAAAACTGACAGTACAGGGTCATTATTAACATTTGAACGAAGAGAACAGTACATGACCATTATTATTCTGTCAACTAACTTAACAGTGCATGAGCACTATAATTATTTCAACCAACCCATCAGTGCATGACGAAGATCTGTCCCAGAAAGTCAGACCCACGAGAAGTCACCCAGGCCGGGGTAGTTCGGGCACTCGTCGCACATGTCGCACAGCACTCGCACCACCTTGACTTCCTGGTCCGAGGCCGCCGTGGCCATGAGGCCCGCCCAGACGGCCTGCTTCTGAGACCCGCACGAGTCTTCCTTGTGGGGGAGCTTGTTGTCGGGGAAGCCCGGGGCCCTTCCGCGCAGCAGGATGACGCGCCTCAGCGCCACCAGCCCGCAGCACCGCAGCGCCCGGGCCAGGTCCTCGAAGTGCCAGGGCGAGCGCCCCTCCGACGCACACGTGACCCGGAGCTCCTGCAGCGTGGCGGCGTGCGCCCGGGCCAGCGACACCACGGCGGGCAAGGACGGCAGCCCCACCCACAGCCACTGCAGGCCGCGGTGTTCCGGCGGCAGCGGCGGGAACACCACGTGGAGTGGGGCGGGACTCCAGCGCAGCGCCAGCTTGCGCAGGTTGGGCATGCGCTGCAGGGCCTGCAAGTAGCCCACACCATTGTACTCGGAACAAATTCTAAGCCCTCCACACCGAGAACAAGAATAATAATCACGACTAAAATTTGGGGTGAGGTATTCTTTAACGCCCAAATTTGGGTGAGAAGTCCATCCTCACCCAGATTCTGGATGATACTTTCTCCCAATCAGGGTACCTATCACCCCCTTTATCACCCATTTTCGATGAGGAAAACTTCCTCACCCTAATTTGGGTGATAAAAATGCCTCGCCCAAAATTGGGTATTGATCAAGACCTTTCTTTATTCTGAGTCAGTTAAGCCATCTACGTGTGTATACACGCCGAGGGGTACACTGAGACAAGATGGTGCCCTGAAACTGACCGACTAAGTCGCCCGCCCCAGTTTTTAGGGCGACTTGAGTCGCCTACTTTTTATTTAGGACAAATTTAGGACATCTTGGTCCTGTAAATACTGAGCTTACTTATCTATGCTGGCCCAAGGCATTGCACACAAGTTTTCCTGATCATGGATAAACTCAATGGATTTCACATTGGGGTGGCGTCAGAGATGCCCCGAATCTAGGCGCAATGGGTGCCCCGAATCTGGGCAGCAGTGGTTTACATTAGGTCGGACCAACCCCAAAGGTGCTCAGGTTGTGGGCGCCTCGGGCCAGCATTGATAAGTAAGCTCTGTATTTACGACCAAGATGCCCTAAAACTAGGCGACTGTGTCGCCCAGAAAGTAGGCGACTCAAGTCGCCCTAAAAACTGGGGCGGGCGACTTAGTCGGTCAGTTTCTGGGCACCACCTTGTCTCAGTGTATGCACTCCCAAAACCTGTCACCCGACTACCACGTTATTACGCTCTATTATGCTAGAAAATAATCGGGATTGGAGCTTAAAACACCCCAAAAATAGGTGCAAATTGGAGAATTTCGGCTGTTACGCTACAAGTACGCTTACAGACAGAGTCACCCGACTCGATACTTGAAAAATAATGCATTTGTAAGTGTGGTGCTTAGTAGACAGTAATGAGGTTTGCAATGAATCGACCCTTATAGTTCAATGTAAGAAGTGAATATCGTATCGCACTGGTGGCCAACGAATGTGACGTCACGTTCCTTTGAATGTGAATTTTGTCATGTTTGTTTGAATACGATGTCACGTTCGTTTGAATTTTGATCCACGTTCAAACGAATGTGACGCTCTACTTAAACGGCCGAGTCACGTTCTAACGAATGTGACACCGTTTTCAAACGAATGTGACGTCACATTCGTTGGCTACCAGTGCGCGGTAAAGACAAGTGCGAATCGCCGCGCCCTACCTGCAGGTACTTGTGCGGGACGACCGCCACATCCAGCTCCTCCAGCAGGAGCGGCAGCTCGGGCACGTCCGCCGTGCACTCGCGGAGGTGCACTGCGAGGAAGCGCAGGGCCGGCATGGCCCGCACCAAGTGCAGGTCCTCAGCGGCAGCGCCTCGGACCGACAGCCACTCGACGCGCGGGGCCGAGCGCTGCAGCAGCGCCCTGGACCAGCTGGGCTGCGTGTCGCTGTGGACGCCTGCCAGCTTCTCGACCTGCAGCGGGACGCCAGCGCACTCTTAAAAGCCTACACAGCATTTGCTTCATTACTACGAAGAAAATGAAGGCGTTGTAGAATACACTGCAGGAAATGACCACAACAAAAGTACACCAATTTCTGGCAAATTTTTTATCAGGAATTTAGTGTACTTTTCAAGTACAACAATTGTTGCACAAAGTACAATGGAACCGGCATGAGGCTGTGTAGTCCAGGGCTCGTTGTGGTTTGTACAATTCTCGTTGTACTTTCTACAATCCCGGTTGTACTTTTATTGTACAGTTTCTGTTGTACTTTTGTTGTGCTATCTACACTTTTTCTTGCAGTGCATTATGAAGAAATGCTTCGTACGAAGGATTTTGCCTCATAATACAAAGCATTTCTTCGTATTACGAAGTGATTCTTCGTCTCCGCACGCACTTTAAACTATCGCAATACACAGAACTCGTCCCCATGACTTGTTCACATTTTGTTGCCTGTACTTGACAATACTCCGAAGTATAATACCAAATAATTTCGGCGATACTTTTGTATACCGCCTCATCGAAAGCAGGGATCCTTAACTTACCTGAAAAGGGCATCATAACGTTATGATAAGAGTTAAAGTTATTGCCCTTAACTTCAAACATCTTTTCAAAAGGGTAGGTTATTTTTTATGTCTTGAATTTGTGTGGATATACTTTTGCAAGTACTTTCGTAAGTCCGTACCCTTAACCTTTAGCGAACATTGTCACGTTGTGCTCCTTGCTGGCGTACTTACACTGCAAATGCAAAGGCGATACTTAAGTACATTTTTTGGCGATACAATTGAGTATCGCCAATAAACGGCCTTAGGGAAAAGTATTGCCTTCAGAACGGCGATACACAGAAGTATCGCCGAAATTTGGCGATACTTTTGGGTATTGCCAAAACCACGGCATTTAACAAAGGTCTTGTCCCCTTGATTTGTTCGACGTTTATTGCCAAATCGTGGCAATACTCCAAAGTATCGCCAAATTTTGGCAATACTTATGTGTATCGCCGTTTTGAAGGCAATACTTTTCCGTAAGGCCGTTTATTGGCGATACTTAATTGTATCGCCAAAAAAGGTACTAAAAGTATTGCCGTTGGATTGACAGAGTAACTAACCTAACAACAGGGTGGCACTGAAAGGAACTGCAGGCGACCTACCTTGGCGATGTGGTTGAACTGGAGGAGCCCCAGCACCATCGGATTGAGTAGCTGAAAATGCTTGGGCTTGGAGTGCTGTGGCGCACCGGTGGTCCACTCCACGTCGTCCTTGTCCAGGACGCGCAGCGCGTGCTTGGCGTCCAGCAGGCCGGCGGCGTCGTGGAGCTGCTGCAGGCCCCCCAGACGGAAGGCCTCCACGTCGCGGCCCTCGTGCGCCGCGGCGCGCAGGTCCTTCTCCTTCTGCTCCACGGCCCGCAGCTGGCGTTGCCAGTACTCGAGCTGGGCCTCCAGCAGGGCGGCCACCGTCTTCCTGCCCGCGTCCAGCACTTGCACCACCCTCCGCGCCGACAAGGCAGCCTTCTGCAGCTGGTCCAGCTTGGGCGCCGCCAGCAACGCCTGCTCGGCGCGCATCTTGCGGAAGGAGCACAAGGAGTGGCTCTGGTCTACGCAGTCCTCGGTGGCAGCCTGGACGCAGTCGCGACACCAGAACCTGCACGCACCACGGAATGAGCGCTCAGTCACGAGTCACACTCTAAGCACGTTATTGACTTTCAGCTCATTTTGCCAGTATTGATGCAAGTAATTTGGGCAACCATAATACGTACTTTTACTCTTTTAAAGAACTACCGTACTTGGGAAATATTAGATAATGTACTGAGAATTTTGTTTTGTACATAAATTTACAAAGAAAATTAGTCCTTACTTAAAAAATACTAAGTATTATTGCTGTTCATAGGAATACGTAATTAATGAGAAAACAGTAAGTGACGTGCTGAGAGTCATGCCACCTCCAAGATCACCGAGGAGCTAAAACGAGCGTGGTGGTGAAGCCCCTTCGGGCAGTGTGTCACGATCGATTGAATGTGAGTAGAATCGCGACTTTGACGATACATATCGGTCACTTGTGTACCAAAAACATTACTATAACTCATTTTAGGGTCACAGGCGACACGGCAAAGTCCGGCCAAGACCAAGTAATGGCTTAAACATCTGTTCGGAGAAATGTTTTGAAATCTTTGTTTTTGGCCCTCCAAGTGCTGATTTGTTAACAAAAACGGACGTCCAAAAAAAGGATCAAACACCGAGGGACAAAAACTAGGGCCTTATTACTGGTAGAAGGGGTGCCAATACAAAATTGTCTTTGACAATAAACAGACCAATATGTTCTCTTCAAAAAACAGCTGAGACCAAACTTGCAAGTTGATAAATAAGTGAGATGTTAGCCTTTTTAAACTGCGAATCGGGCGAAGAGACAGTTGCGGAGTTTCAAATTTGGGGTCTTAAAAGACGTTTTCGTGCACTTTATGTGACTTTATTTGCTTGGTTTTCATGACAGTCTAAGGAAGTCATCGTAATCAACATATCGCCACCTTCTTATAGAATAAACCTGTCACACGGCAAAAACGGAACCTGTTTTTCCCAGGAAGCCAATGGTAAAGGTATAAGCTTAGGCGATTTCCAGGGAGTTCCTGGGAAAACCAGGAACCGTTTTAAACGTGCAGTGCTTATCCAAGACAATCCTGTCAGCGCAGATTGTACGACGTAAACATATTTAGCTGCAGCTATTTCTCATAAAATTCTGTGACGCCAACATGCTGCTTCAAATTTCTTGGGCATAGACCTGTTAAAAAGTATAAACCTTGCATATAAACGTGGAAGCTGTATTTCAGTGATATCATGATTCGCTGCTTCGGACTGAAGAGAGCTAATGAGCAGTTTTAGCCTCCTCTGAGCAGTTAAGATTGTCTTGGATCAGCACTGACAGTTAGGATTATTCTATTAGGAGGCGTCGGTATCAGGAGCATTTTAAGCCGGAGTCAAAAAACCTCTTCTATGGCTGTACGGAGCCAGAATGAGAGAGGGACAGAAGATGTATGTTGCGATGCAAAGCACCCATAAAAGGGCGCCCTGGCCCACCTGGAAACCAAGTTTGATCAAGGTCCGGCCAGCATTTTGTCCATGGAATGCATGTATTGCTGTAATGTCGTTTTAAGCACTCTTGCAATAAATCCACAGAGATTGATTCGAATCAGAGAAATTATTCAAGACAAAAGGGGGGGGGGGGACCGGAGACCCTGAGACGAGACCTTTATAACCAGGGATTTCCCACGATCTGCTCACCTTTGATCTGAGTTGCTGCTTGCCTTGCTTTCAATCAACCCAAGCAAGAAGAAATTATCAGGTAGCTCTTCGACCTGCCCCGAAAATTCCTGCGAACAAAGAATACCGAGAAATCTGTGAACAACTTGTGCTAATTCTTCATACCCAGGACCCAATATTTTCCATAGCCCTCTCGACAATCTTCTCCGTCCACCTCAATGGTCTGCAACGGGCATGCGGAAAAATAGGCCAACGGAGAATGCACTCTCATAGACTCGCTATTCACATTTAGTACATGGCATTGACACTTTGACGATAGTACCTCTGATTTTTGTGTAACAGTAATATGTCCTTTTTACTTTTGTTCTTATTATAAGCATTTTTGTTGATGCGCATTGACAAAAATGATTCCTCAATTATTTTATGCAGTAACAAGAATATTCTAAATATATTGTTTTAGGTCATAGTACCTGGTTACTGACGCTAAAGTCAATACGAGGCCGAGAGTGTACTGACAACAGGCTACGGAAAATGTTCGATTTTGAGTACAGAGAATGATGGCAAAAAAAAATATCTGACTATTCGGTAGTTTTGTGCTACAGTTTCCCGAAGGTGAGGTTAGGATGTGACACGTTTGAACGTGGTTGGAATGGGACGTCGTGTGCTACGAACGTGGCAAAATCTGCTTAACGAATATGACGTCACATCACTCTGAACACTGAGAATGAAAGAGTCATCATCATGACTAAAATTTTGAGCGAGGAATTCTAATCACCCAAATTTGAGTGACGTCTAATGGGAGACGAAGGTTTTCTTCACCCAAATTTGGGTCATAATACTATGGAGCCCCGTATAGGTACCTATCAGGTACCTGGTACACACTTCCTCGCCCAAAATTGGGTATTCAAAGTAAAGACTTTCATTCTCAGTGAGTCCAAAGGGCATACTTTCAGCATCTTGTTTGGAGATACAATTAAGTATCACCAACAAACGGCCTTACCGAAAATTCATGCTTTCAGAACGGCGATACACAAAAGTATCGCCGAAATTTGGCGATAAACTCTGTACAAATCCGGGGGACTAGTTCTTTCATGATTGCCAGATTTTGACAAACCTCCAAAGTTTTCCCAAATTCTGACGATAAATTTGTGTATAACCGTTTTGAAGGCAAGATATTTCGGTAAGGCCGTTTGTTGCCGATACTCAGTTGCATCGCCAATAAAATCTTCGTTGGATTTGCAGTTATTCGTTGCACAACAGTGTACATACCTGGCGGCAGTCCGGACACCTGCGCGTGTGCATACTTTGCAGGCACCCCAGGCACACAGTATGCCCGCACGGGACGATGCATTTGGGGCGCCTTTTGGAGTCGTTGAACGGCTCCATGCAGATGTTGCAGTCCATCACTGAAAACGTAAAGGTCGGACACACAGCCCAATTGTGGCATGACAAAAAGTCACGCCAAAAATTGGCGTGACACGAAATTCACGCCGATAAACGGCGTGACATGTGAGTCACGCCGTCATTTGGCGTGAATGACAACGCGTTTTACGAGAAGTCATGCCAAAAAGCGGCATGACAAGAAATTCACACCAAAAATTGGCGTGAATATTTGAGTCACGCCGATTTTTGGCGTGACTCTTGTGTCATGCCGTTTATTGGCGTGACACTTAATTCACGCCCCTGCAGCGGCACGAAGTCACGCCGATAGATTTTCAGTGATGCTGCACTTAGAGTCCAAACGGATTGCGTCAATAGAGTATCTTAGTGGGGCCTGGACCGGAAGTACGAAGAAAAATACAGTAGTAAGCCTTACAACGGAAGCCACTCGGGCCCGGCCGCGCTTCGTCTGAGAAACACACACTGAGATTACATTTTAAATTACAAGCGTCTTACAAAAATGTACGACAATTATAGTCAACGCGCGGTTGAAAGAGCAGCCGAACAACAAATACACAAACGATGAGCGCAAGCTATATTTCTCATACCGAGCGCGGCCGGGCCTGAGCGGCTTCCGTTATAGGGCTTCCTTTCGATCTTCTTACTTCCAGTGCAGGACTCACGGAAAGACCCTAATGCGTTAGAAGCCGTTTTCATTGCGCCGATTGGTGCAATGCTTTTGAATCGCACGTGAGGCGCAATGCCTTCACGTGCATTAGCATGGGGCATTGCACCGCACGTAAGGTGCAACATGGCTCGGGCATTGCACGTACACTGGTAGAACTGAAGCGTACTTGGACGCCTCTCTCCAAGCCTACACACTAAATGTTATGTACAATTATGTACGAGACATCACAGTTTTTTGTGCACACGAAATTTTCGTACAATTTTCGTACGGAAAACTGCACGTTTTTCGCAATTTTTGCACAAAATTGTACTAAATTTTGAGCAAATTTGTACGAAAAGTTCGTGTGCACAAAAAAGTGTGATGTCTCGTACAAAATTTGTACAAAAACATTTAGTGCGTAGTAGATCCTACGCTAGGCTTCAACCTTAGTTTTCCGTTTCCGCCCTTCTTTCGCCTACTTCAATGCACGGCCCAATATCTTCTCTACGCTTGATTACAGGCGCAAAGTCTTCAAGCTTAGTTGTGTGCTTGAACGAAGCGCACAACTACGCTCCAGTTTGACCAGGGTGCGAAGTCTCGATACCGTAAATGCGGGTAATGTGGACCACCCCTAAAATTCTTCTAAATGATCGGTTCGAGCCCAAGTACTTACAAGTTCGGATATTACTTGCCGAAACGATTTTCGATGCCACAGCTGGGCGGCATCACCGCTCACGGAAGTTTTAGGAATCGTCCACATTACCCATTAGTGGTCTATAAAACCCGCTTTCACGGATGTTCATAGCGTTTGGAATCTTAGAGTGCATGTCCTCAGTGACAATTAGACGGGGATTCATGCATTATCCCAAAGACGAAAAGACCCTAGAATGAAGAACACTCATTGCCGATAACTAAAACTTCATGGGAAGTTTGCTGGGGTGCATACCGTCAAGGGGCAACACCCAATACTGTTTGGACTCCTACAACAGTGCTCAAAATCTAGCGAGCGAAGCGAGCTTAACGCCAAAATTCGCACAATTCTTGACTTTTACCAAACTTTTCCCGGTTTCAGATAACAATTGCACGCTTTATTGGCAAGCGAATAGCGAGCGAAGTGGTGTAGTAAATAGAAGAAAATTGAGGGATCCTATGAACAAAGCGAACTAGAAGGAAGAAAATCATAGAATTTGGGACTTACTATATTCTTTTCTCTATTCCGAGCTCAAAATGGCCCTTTGGGGACTGAAAGAACGGGGGGGGGGGGCAACTTTGAGTGTCGTTTGAATGTCGTCTTACCTTGGTTAACCGCGTTTCTTTTCGACGCGAACCGAAGCAGCCACAGAAACGGGAGGACCCTCTTCAGACTCACTCCACGTTACGAAGAAAAAAAAGCTTGTTTGCCGAAGACACCGCAGACACCACTAAATTGAACGACTTTGGTGATCTGAACCACAATCGGTTACCATGGACACCAATGAGAGTCATTGTTGGCGCAACGTGGTGTCGTAGCGAGAGAGCATGTTGCGGGTAGTGAGCGGCTTGGGCGAGGGCTTGCGTGCAATATGGTACTTCGGAGGAAACCTAGACCGGAAATCAGTGACAGAACGAGCGCGCGGCTGTGTTGATCGGTGGAGGGGGCGGGTGGGGGTTGGAATCGGCAGAGTGGGGTGAAGACGGCGCGAGCATACTGCCCACACTCTGCCCATCCCGACCCTTATCACCGCTCAGCACGGCCTCGCGACGCTCTTTTCGGTCGGTCCTCGGTCCCCTCCCGTTCGGTCGCTGACTTCCGATCTGGATTTCCTCCGAAGTACCCTATTCCGAAGATCCCACTGAGCATTTCCATGGTAATGACGGCGCAGCGAGATGAGATCTGAGTAACCAATGACCAGTTCCATCACGTGAGATCAAATGTTCCAGCATTCTGATCGAGGGGGTAACGACTTCGGGAATCCGGCTGACAGCAAATTGGTAATCCGTAATCCGGATGACCCGAAATTTTGAGGTAATCCGGGGTAATCCGGGGAAGTTTTGAGGTAATCCGGGGTAATCCTGCTAAATCCAAAGGTAATTTGGGAATTTTTTTGTTGTAATCCGGAGGGACTTTGGGTGTAATCCGGGGTAATCCGGGGTAATCCGTAATCCGGCTGACACGAAATTTACCAGTCGTTACCCCCTCGATTCTGATAGATTTCCGTCTTAAAGTACACACAATTAAAGCTGCACGGCCTAACTTAGAAGTTGTTTTGTTATTGAGATAATATGGGTAATTCTTAAGAAGGCAGGAAATTTGCCCCAATCTTAATCCTCACGTTATAATGTCGGATTGGGAATTGCATCAACAACAGGCGTGGCAATGGGCATTTCCTAGTTAGCATCCAAGGCCCGGACTGCTCATGTATGTGTGGGAGGGAACCACAATATTAGATTGCCACAAAATATGCAGGAAGATTTTAAGTTACCACATTCAATCCCGCTTCAAGGAGTACGGAAGAAAGGAAAGAGAGACTTCGAGAGATGCAGCTGCCTCTAAACCCAGCCTTGAGCATTTAGGCAGAAAAACATGCCGGGGCTCCGGCGTTTCCGGGGCCCCCCAATCACTGTCCTTCATTTTGCGCTTTTACTACAAATTTTTGCGATAAAGCCAACTTTGCGATTCCCACGATTTATCGCACCCTGGAGTCCAATAATTTTGTTACTGAAATTTTTTTGCAATAACCACCCCATAATTTTTGCGATAAAAGAGCGTTTTGTAGTAATTTTTAGCACATTTCTTTCTGCGATAACTTTTTATTGCATGTCCTTTGTAGTCATTATCGCAAAAAAGTGATACTTTATAGCAAAATTTAGCTATAAATTTTTAATTGCAGATTTTTAGTTGTCACCATAGCAAAAAAGATGTGATAAGTTTTTATTTCAAAATATACACAGTGGTTATCGTAGTTTGAATAACAATGAACTTACGGTTGCGTGGCCGCTGGGCCTTAAGTCGACCCGAAATACCTTTAATTCGTAGTACTGCCCCTTTACAATACAAACTACTGGCAGGTATTGCATTTTGAACACACAATATGCCTTGGCTTTTAGCTCGCATAGTTATGCGGAATCGCGTGAAACGAATCAGTCATCAGCTCGATTAGTTCCTAGCAGGTCCAGGTCAGTTCCTGAAAAACTTGCAACAAGGTAGGTTTACGCCAGACCGCGTCTTGTCGTAACAGGCTTCGCGATATCTCGCTGCCTGTTCCTCCAATCCGCGCCTGGCGTACCTACCTTGGCCTGCGGCGCTAGCCTGCCTTCGGCAGGCAATGGCTTGTCCACCGTCGGTTACTTCTACCTTGTTGCATGCTGGGGGGCTCCGCCCCCAGGCCCCCCTTCATTCTAGATAGAGTTACTTCATCTACAGATAACACGATCTTGACCCTTGTCACTGTTTAACTTGTTGAGGCTGGGGGCCTCCGCCCCCCAGACCCCCTTTCTTTAAGACAGAAGTGACCTGCCTGCAGAAAACTCGATATTTCGCCGTTTTAAAGGTGTTTTTCGGCTATAAAAACCGAACCAGTTGAGCTAGGATAGTGAAATTTCGCGTGTGCCGAGCCAAGGACATACCAAAAAAGTGTGCAAAATCTCATTGAGATCGGCCGAGCCGTTCAGGAGGAGTAGTGCGGACAGATAGACAGACAGACAGACAGACAAAACTTTTCAACCGCACTGGAGTAACAGGCTTCGCTATCACTCAGCCAACAATGTTTTAGTTTGCTGTGAACCTACAAAAAATAATTGCATGTTTCGGTTTCATCATATGAGAGAAAATTTAAATTGCATCAACTTATTTTGAAGCTCGCTTCGCTCGCAGTTTCCGCTGCTCATTGGCTGAGCGATAGCGAAGCCTGTTACTCCAGTGGGGTTGAAAAGTTTTTCCTGTCTGTCTGTCTGTGTGTGTGTCCGCACTACTCCTCCTGAACGGCTCGGCCGATCTCGGTGAGATTTAGCACACTTTTTGGGTATGTCCTTGGCTCGGCACACGCGAAATTTCACCATCCTAGCTCAACTGGTTTGGTTTTTATAGCCGAAAAACACCTAAAAACCGGCGAAAAATCGAGTTTTCTGCAGGTAGATCACCTCTGGATAGAAGAAGGGGGGGTCTGGGGGGCGGAGCCCCCCAGCCCCGACAAGTTAAAAAGCTACAAGGGTCAAGATCGTGTTATCTGTAGATGAAGCAACTCTATCTAAAATAAAGGGGGGTCTGGGGGGCGGAACCCCCCAGCATGCAACACATAAGAAGTAACCGACGATGGACAAGCCAATGCCTGCCGAAGGCAGGCTAGCGCCGCAGGCCAAGGTAGGTACGCCAGGCGCGGATTGGAGGAACAGGCCGCGAGATATCGCGAAGCCTGTTACGACAAGACGCGGTCTGGCGTAAACCTACCTTGTGTTTATGCTGCTAGCATAAGAAACAAACCCTGGGTAATTGTATCATTTTTACAATTTCAGAAGTCAGGGAAAGTCACATAGTTGTCGTAATTTTTATCTAGAGGATTTCGCCTTACGAGGAGGGGGGGGGAGAGCATGGGCCCATATGACAATTTTCTGCCGGGGCCCTTTATGAGCCAGTCCGGCCCTGTAAGCATCGTTGCAAATGAAACAAACTAATCTTTGTTTATTTCAAATATTTTAACTTGGAACTCATCTATAATACTTTCCACTACAGTTATTGCTCTTTAGAAACTGTTAATCTGTGATTTATGAGTCATGCAATAGACCACAAAATTTAAGAATCTTTTAATCTAACTACATGTTGCTTTCTTTGCAGATGCGCAAATGCAGGGTTGCCTGTGGCATGTGTCGGGCTCTAGTGAGGAAAGCTAAGAAGCTATGCCTCCTACGATATAGACATGAGCTACCTATACTGATGATTTATGTTCAACAAACAGCAGCAGCTGCCCTACTGCCAAAGAGGCTCTTGAATGCAGGCTTACAAGTTCTCAAAGATGCTGCGTTAGAAGAGGGTGGTGTTGTTCTTTCTTTTCTTCTTGAGCCTTTTGTTGATTATTTTGGCAATAAGTGGATCAACAATCGCAACCGTAGAAGATGGATGAACCTGTACAGAGCAAACAATGCCTGTGAGAGCCACAATCGTATGTTGAGGTCGAAAGTAGGAGCATATCGACCTAACATATACCTGTTCATTCAGGCTCTGGCAACTCTGGAGCACAACGCCTCGTTAAACATTGAGCTGCAAGAAGGTGGTGATGACGTACACGCAGCTGGAAGACAGTCTTCACTGATTCACGGCTGAAGAACCTGGGTCATGATCTAGAAGAAATAGACGTGTTTCATAACATGAACACTGTAAAAAAAATTCTGGAAAGAGCTGCCGAACTGTTCCATAGTGCTTTTGAGGAGCATGTTTTAGATGCAGTGACTCGAAATCAACAGAATCAAGCTGCTGCTTCTAATCCTTAATTTGCTTGTTGCCACAAGATTGCCTGCTTGATTTCAGAAAAAGATCACACTAAGAATCAAAATTTCCATATGGTAAAACTTACTTATGGCTCTACTTCAACCCTCAATAGCTTGTTGCAGTTTAAGTGCCCCTTATAAAAGAAGCCTTTATCAATGTGAGTGTTATATCCAACAGTTAGTATTAACGACCTCCATTAGGTAGATGTCCCTCAGGTTTGCCTATGTGTAACTGATTGAACGTGGCACAATCACCCAACTTTATGGAAGTATGTAACTGACATGTTGGAACTAAAAAGGTTTCCTTGATTTTAGGATTGGCTGAGCGATAGCGAAGCCTGTTACTCGGGTGGGGTTGAAAAGTTTTTCCTGTCTGCGTGCGTGCGTGTGTGTGCGTGTGTGTGTCCGCACTACTCCTCCTGAACGGCTCGGCCGATCTCGGTGAGATTTCGCACACTTTTTAGGTATATCCTTGGCTCAGCACACGCAAAATTTCACTGTCCTAGCTCAACTGGTTCAGTTTTTATAGCCGAAAAACACCTAAAAAACGGCTAAAAATCGAGTTTTTTTGCAGGCAGATCACTAACGTCTTGAGGAAAGGGGGGTCTGGGGGGCGGAGCCCCCCAGCCCCGACAAGTTAAAACGTTACAAGGATCAAGATCGTGTTATCTGTATGAAGCAACTCTATCTAGAATGAAGGGGGGTCTCGGGGGCGGAGCCCCCCAGCATGCAACGAGAAATAAGTAACCGACGATGGACAAGCCAATGCCTGCCGAAGGCAGGCTAGCGCCGCAGGCCAAGGTAGGTACGCCAGGCGCGGATTGGGGAAACAGGCCGCGAGACATCGCGAAGCCTGTTACGACAAGACGCGGTCAGGCGCAAACCTACCTTGTTATTTTAGTTGAAGGTTGTTGCCCTGTAATTTCCAAAACTTTTATTGGCTGAGCGATAGCGAAGCCTGTTACTCGGGTGGGGTTGAAAAGTTTATCCTGTCTGCGTGCGTGTGTGTGTGTGTGTGTCCGCACTACTCCTGAACGGCTCGGCCGATCTCGGTGAGATTTCGCACACATTTTAGGCATATCCTTGGCTCAGCACACGCGAAATTTCACTATCCTAGCTCAACTGGTTCAGTTTTTATAGCCGAAAAACACCTAAAAAACGGCAAAAAAACGAGTTTTTTGCAGGCAGATTACTGGGCAGAAAGAAGTAACCGACGACAGGCAAGCCAATGCCTGCCGAAGGCAGGCTAGCGCCGCAGGCCAAGGTAGGTACGCCAGGCGCGGATTGGAGGAACAGGCCGCGACACACTAAATGTCATGGGACTTTTTTGTCCCAAGTTGTCGGACAAAATTGTCCCAGGACTTGTTGTTTTTTTACGCGCATCACCAAGTGATACAATTTGTCCCAAGTTGACGTCACAAAAACTACAGTAGTACCTGGGACAATATTGTTCCAAATTTGGAAGAAATAGTGCTATAACCATGGGACAATTTGTTTCAAAATCACAAACAAATTGTACAAATGATAGAAACAAAATTTCCATGCCAAATACACGCATAAAATTGTCGCCTGAAAACCACTAGGAATCCACGCAGCTTGTACTCCTTGACTGAAATAATGCATACAAGCTTGCCTAGTAACAATTTCTTAAATTAATTTTGTGTCACAAACAGTGTTAAAATATCCACAAGAAGCAGTGAAAACCTTTGATTGGTTTTATCAAGTATTAATAATATTTATTGATTAACCCCTTATTTTTGTTCACAATAAACTTCATTGAAAGTCAAAAACGATTTTTAAACATGTTGAAGTAATATAATAACAATAAACTTAAAAATAAAAACATTGAACAGCTTGTTACTTAACTCAAACTTAAAGAAGAAAATCACAGGAAAGCTTATTACAGCTGACATAAATCATAGAAACTTATAAGGAATATGAGAGAATACTCTTCCACAAAAGACGGAAATTTGTGCAAAATCACAAGCTCATCAACCGGGTGTACAACTGGGAGGATGATGGAGGCACATCATCTTCACCAGAAATAAAAACTTTGTAGAGGCAGGTTTGACAAAACCTGAAAAATTGATTCCAGCTAGCAGGATAGTGGACATTGAAAACACAACATGCTTTCAACACCCAGTCAATTCCCCTGATAAAAGGGATTCGGCCTAGCTCCATTGGAAAACTATCAAGAACTAGGAAAAACTGCAGCACATCCTCAGACAATGCTCCTTGTACAGCAATTAAATAAGGTTGCACTGCTTTCTTCTTGTCTGCTCTTCGTTCATCAACAAAAGATGCGATATCAACACCAAGCTGTTGGGGAAATGAGATAAATTATTACAGAATATTCAGAAATGCTAACCAAGCAAGGGAGAGGGGGTCCAGAAAAAAAAGAAGTATTTACTCACTTTGACTCGGATGACCAAGTCGTCCTCTTGAGGAAGAGCAATAGTTTTCCTCCGTATAGAATGCGGTAAACTGGAAGCCATCAGCATAAAAGCTTTCAGAGTATCTGAAAAAAAAAATTATTTAGAGAAACATTTTAAAATAATTAGAGGGAAACTTACAATGAGTAAACATTGTTTGAAATAAATACCATCTTTCAAAGCAGGATTAATTTTAGGATCCTGAAAATGTTCTATCACTTTGGGAATTAATGGCTGAATTTTGACGGGCATATCCTCTGCATTGGGAAACATGAGCTTAAACTCCGCTGCAATCTGAGAAAATAAAAAATAAGATAAGACCATGATACCAATTAGCATCAAGATGACCAAAAGAATGATAACTTACCACTTCTCCTTTGTAACTAAGAAGATGTGGATACTTAGTAATCAGTTCAGTGATGCTAAGCCCTTTGCTCCTGTCAGCCTGTCGAAGTTCAAAAGACTTAGACATTCCATCTAAAATTTCCATTCGGTGCACTCTGTCTGGCATCACTAAAGCCAAAGCTGCAATCTAAACAAAACAAAAAAGAAACAAAAATAAAGTAAAATAAAGTTTTTGATTTACTAACAGTGAAAAAACATCAACTTACATCAATAGTACAAGTAGTGCTGCTTGTTTGTTTCTTTTTCTGAACTTTCTTAGATTTCGGCTGTTTGGCATTAGAAGCAGATTGTAGGCGCTTTACAATATTAGCAACATGTCCAGTGTTGTTGCCATAGATGTGAGACTGAAAGCAGAAGAGTAACACATTAGAAACAAAGCAACTTTTAAAAACTAAAAAAAATATTTCAAGATCTAGAAACCAAAATGAAACTATTACCCAGGGCATTTTCCCAGGTACATTTATTAGCTTTTGAAATTGAGGGAAAGCGACTGTGATGCTCTTGGCAATTCCTTCTTTTATATCCTTGGTGGGATTGTTTTCTCTGGATCAGAAAATAAAAAATATATATTAAAATTAAGGATTAAGTGATTTAATAACTACTAAATCCTACTTAACTTACCTGGTGAACTTATCACAAACTCCCTTAACAATAACTCTAAAGAGCAGTTTACGTGTTTTCTCTTCAAAAAGAAAGCCCTCTTTCAAGTCTGGGACAAACTTCTTTGAAATGTTGTCACCTAGGAGTATCTCTTCAACATTATACTGTAAATAAATATAAACTCAATTAGCAGCTCAAGCAAAGACAAATTAAACTACATGTCAGTATGTTCAAAACAATGAACTCACTGCAGGTAGAGAAGGGCTCATAGCTTTCAATGCCTCTTGGTTATGCGGTAAAGCTGGTACCTTGTAGCGTCTGCTTCCCCACCTAGCACCAGCACTTTCCAAATTTTCTTGACCAATGTCATTTGCGTCATCATCTAGATCAGAATGGTCTGAATCAGAACTCTCAGCTGGTCTCATCAGTTGAGCCCTTTCAGAACGCAATGACCGCCTCTGAGTGTCACCTTCAGTTGTATGTGTGACAGGAGTTCGTCTCTTTGGACGTGGCTCATTGTCAGCGCCGCTCACAATTGCATTCTGACAGTAAAGTAACATGAAACAGAAAGGACCAATACAAATAGATTTTGCATTTTTTTTAACAGAAAAGAAAACAGTCTTTAAGACCTTACTGTCATTCATTTATTGATCTAACTTACCTGTTGTAACTCTTTAAGAGGAACTCCTGGAAAATATGGCTTAGCAGTACAGGGAAACCTAAAAGAAAAGAGCAATAAATTGACAAATTTGCAACACACCAACAATATTAACACCAAACTAGTAACCACTATACTAACCAGAATCACTCATCCTCTTCCATCTCAAACAAATTTCCCTCAGCGGGCTCAGTTCATATTCTGTTAAAGTAGACAGATACTTTGCGCTGACATGCTGTCTGAGAATATCATGTCCGTCGTCAAGCTCATCTGCAGATCCAGTATGCAAATCATGGGTTGATTTATCGGGAGTCTGATGGTTGTTGGTTGAAGAGTGATCAACGAGCACCTAAACGAATGGAACAAGAAATAATTAAGGGGCAAATAGGAAGAAAACTATTACAAATCCATTGAGAGACAATATGTTATACTTGTTTTCCGTCTTCGATCCTTCCAATGAGTTTGATTATGAGTATGATGTGACCCATTGGAAAATCAAACAACTTGAGAGTCTGCTCCGTTAGTCCCATGAAACATTCCTGATCTATGCATTGTGCTATGTGAAAAACAGAAAAAAAATTAGATTTGATAAATTGCTTGCCAGCATATGGAAGGTTAGGTTGACACTTACCTTTGAGGTTCTTTATGAGCTCTGATGGTAGCAACCCTTCCAAGCTCCTTGCTAGAGCGTCAGCATCCATCGCGAGATTTGGTGGCAACTACGAGATGACCGCGTGGATTACTTAACTGTTAAAACACAATTAAAAAGACTTCGTTGAAACAAAAAGGAAATTACGAACATTCAAACCGAAACAGTCAAGTCAAGAAATGATGACACAAAGGGGAGGGGGTGGGGGTGGGTTGGGTCGTAGGTTGGTTGGGTAACTGGATGATGACAACGAACTTCTTTGAAAGAAAACGACTGTATTGCTTAGCGCCAAAATCAACAGAAGACAAACCTTGATTTCCCAACCGACCTCAATAAATCAGAAGCACGAACAAATCAAACAGTCAACACTTAGCACAAAGGAACAGCTGTCCGCGGCAGAGTCAGTTTAAATGGCGGGGATGGCGGGTCCGGCGTTCGGGAGTGCCAACTCAAAACAAAAAAATGTATCGTAGCCAACATAACGTCTTTTCGAACAAACTCGTTTATTCAAAGTCAATGTACCAATAAATCAGTGAGCTATTTTTAAATCGGGTCGGGATTGTTTAAAAACATCAAGCTCTGCCTGCTATCCACTGCTATCACTCAATTAGACGGAATCAATAAACTGGACGGAAGCGCGGATGACAGTGGAGAGGGGCGGGGGGGGGGGGGGGAGGGGAGGAAGGGAACGAAGGGAAGCACTAGACGAGGCGTACTTGCAGTGCAGTCACGGTCAGAAGTCAGAATGGCATCCCCAGGGCTGGTCGAAGTTCATGCTCTGATGAAAGCTGAAAAGGACAAAAACATGGTGTGGTTATAGTTATTAAAATGACAATAAGCAAAACTTTTTTTTTTACATGTATAAGACAAAATATGCAAAGAGAAAATACTTACTTACTTGAGCAAAAGATAAAAGAATCAAGTGAATTCTATTTGATATTCATAAAATGTCATGCGTACAGATAAATCAAATAAAGAATGGATGGAGTGTCATGATATTGACTTATTGAAGAAACTGAAAAATGTGAACATGTGTGTAAAGCTCTACCCAATCTGAAATAGATAAAAATCTTGTTAGATTAAACTGAAGATTCTAACACACCAAAGAAAACAATAAATAGTATTATTTACCTTTACACAAAGACTGTACGAGGGTACAAGTACAAAGTGTCTGAGGTGGTAGAGCCAACAGGACTCCATGGTGCAATCGCCCGGAAGTTTTTCAGCTGTTGAACATTGACCAGCTCTGGTGCTGAAGTAAACTCGTTGGAGATGGCATAAGAATTATATCTAGGACACAGCCCTTTGTTCTGACATTTCAGCACTATTAGAAGAAGCTTTCCAGGTTCTGCTGGTTTATTTATCACTAAAACCTCCTCAATCAATGCAAACTGTGGATTTGGACCTCCAGTTAAAACCACAAATAGGCCTGGGCTATATTCTTCTCCACACCACTCTGCAGATTGCACAACTTCAATTTTGTCATCTTGGTTAAGACCCTCATTGAGCAGCATATCTTTGTAAGCATGGTTTTCAACCAAAGTTTTTGTTGCACCAGTTGTTAAAGAAATATGCTCAGCTTTCCTTATTTGTTTCTTAGCTAGGAGAGGAGCTAATGTGCTGAGCTGAAACATTTTAGCCATTGTTTTAGGAGGATTCTTAAAATTACACTGCACTCCTGAATGTTTCCGGAAAAGACGATGCTTTCCTTCATACCTGGAACGCAAGAAGAAAAAAAAATGAGAAAGACTTTACGTTTTGTTAATGAGTTTCCTCAACAAGAAAAGAAGAGAGGTATTTTCTAAATGATTTGTGGCAGGAGTTTTGTATTTTTTATATTTGTTACTTACTGTTGCATGAACTTATTCTTTCAAGTGGGACTCTTGATTCCCAATCCTCTCTGACTATGAAGGTTCGCGTAAAAATTTTAGATGGATCCTCCAAATTCTCCACTGAAATACTCAAAAAGTTCCGATCCTTCAACTTCTAGATTTTAAACCACAAATTAAATTAGGCAGAGAAAGTGTTGCCAGATTTTTAATCTCCCAGACTCACACACTGCTTTTTTCTTATGTAATTTAAGGTTCAAAATCCAGAAGCTGAAGGATGGGAACCTTTCTGGGATTCGGGAGGAGACTTGGGTGAAACAACTAAAATTTTTGCATGAACCATCATAAGGCAGAAAAGATTGGGAGTTGGGGGTCCTACCTGTGGCCACAAGTTCATGTAACAGTAAGAAACACACATACAAAAACCTAAAAACCTGCTACAAACAATGTAGAAAATTCAAAACATGCCTTGCCTAAAACAAAATAAACTTCTATGAGAGGATTTCAGGAAAATAAATGTAATTTAAAAGTCACTTACTTCGCACACCACAAACGGACGATTGGACCTTTTTGGCGTAATTGGGCTCCATAATGCAAAAGGTGATGCATTTTATTTATTCCCTTTTTCAACACTTTACTCAATCTTTTCCTTCTCCTTTTTCTTCTCCTTCTTCTGGGTTCCACTTGTTCTACTTCTTCCTCTTCTTCATCCTCTCCATCATCACCTTCTTCTCCTTCTTGTCCGCTTTCTCCGTCTTCATCAGAAATCAGTTCTTCATTTTCACTATCACCGTCAGAATCCACTTCTACAGCAGCAATTGGTGCAGCAGGGGCAGGTGCAACATTTGTTCTATGGAACAGATTGTTATGTTCCAGAACGAGGTTGTCCAAAGTCAAAGAATGAGCATCTGTGGCTTCGAATGACAGAGAAATTCTAACAATATCTTGCAGCAAGAAAATCAACTCAAGATAAGGATCACCAGCTTCAACACCTGTTACAAGGAACGGAAATACTCTCAAGAGGCAAAAGGTCTGAGAACCTGATTGCTTAAAGGAATGACCAGCCTCACAAAGTTGCCGATACATAAAGTTTGGTGACGGCTTATTTCTTGAATCAGGCTTGCCGTATTGAAACATGTTGATGCTTGCATTGAAATCAGGTGCTGTAAACAGCTTTCGAACACATATGAACTCATACAGGGCCAATTTTATGTCCATTTGAATCACTCCAACAAGATCATGAAAAGCGTCAAAGGCACAGTCTTCTGGCACTCTCAAAACATCAACAAGGGCAGATTTTTGGTCCACTCCGAACTTTGAACGGAGGGCAGGGTTCTCTTCAACTTGACGTACATGCTCTTTCTGTAACACTGTTGTACGAGGCATACCCATAGCTGCTGAGTCACCACAGAGATCTTTTTTAGAGACAAGGCAACATCGACAGAACATGTTTGCTGATGGAGACATGAAACCTAAAATAGAATGGGCAGCCAATGAATCTGCACACAGACACACCAAACAAGCTCTTATGGTGTAAGTTCCCCCCTCTGGCAAGTTAAGGACCACACCCTCTTCTGACATGAGCTTTTTCACTTCATCAGCAAGAGGTTTCAAAACTTTCGCATAAACTCCTGGTGTTTTAAGATCTTCAGCATAAGTCAAAGCAAATAAAAACACTGATGAAAGTTGAGAGCTCTCTTCAGCTGGCAAGTTCTGTATTGAGAAATAAAAGCAGCCAAGTTTGTGAATAACATCTTTGGATCCCAAAGCATTTGCAATTTCCAAATCATCAAGATAAATCACAATTCTAATGGCATTTGGATACTTTTTCAAAAAACAGTTTGCTTTAAAATCTGAACCATCTTTGTAGGAGCGGTACACTCCATCAGAACTTTGTTCTTCAGATTCAATAAGACATCTCATAGCTGCATTACTCAAGATAAGTTTAAGTGTCTCTATTACTGAGACATATTGGAATGTTTCTGTGACTTGTTTCGGTATAAACATTCTCTTTTCTCTATCAAACCTGTTTTCAATTCGAAAGCCTAAGAATTTTTCTTCGGGTATAACCATTCCATACTTATCACAGAAGTAATTCAACTGATCCTCAAGGGTTTCAAGACCATCAAAAGGATTCCCTGGGCTGAATGTATTTCCAGTTACGAATGGTGCTGATTGCTCTGGAGTCACACCGCAACTGTCGAGAAATTCAATAGTTTTACTTCCAGCATCTTGAAGTATATTTTGCAGTAATTCTGCAACAAAGTCCTGAATTAATCTAACAGATGCATGAGTAATGTTCCCTGAGGAACGTAGCTTTAGTAAAAACAATCCTGCTTCTGTCTTGATATCAAAAGCAGGAGCGGGTGGTACTTGTTGCACCAAAACAACGTTATCGTTATTTTCATTTGTCTCTTCTCCTACAATGTGAATATCTTCAGAAGTCAACACTGTTGTGGTATCTGTATCTTGGTCACTGTCGTCACCAGTATTTGATTGAGATGGGCTCGAACCACCTGATGGTGCATCATCCTTTGCAGCATGCACTTCTATGTGACGTATCAATGATGTCTTGTGGACACACAAAGTCTTGCAGTGCCCACATTGATAGGACTGCAAATGTGGATGTGCAGTGCGGAGGTGCTTATTCAATTGTGAAATATCACTTAAAAATATGGCTGGATCGCAATGAACACACATTAGGTATCTCTTGTGAGACATGGTAAAACCTAGAAAGAGCACAGGTCGTGATTAGCAGACTAATAGGTTATAAACTGCAGTTTTAAACAAATTAAAACCGAAGTGACGTTAAGTTTTTTTCTATAACATATTAATTTGAACTAACCTCCCTTGCACGACGGGCATGTCACTCAATTTAATGTAAATTACGGTATTAGGATCGAACGCCATCTGTTTGAAACGGCGTGGAGAACCCAAATTCTAGCATCACTCCAGCCTCCAGCCAGCACGAGACGAGGTCGGACGAGGGACGAGGAGGGAAGGGTGGCGGAAAGAGGAGGGGGAGGGGAGGGGCAGGGGGCCGGCCGGCCGGCTCAGTTCCCAAGCCAGTGGGCAGATGGCGCTACCGTCGCCCCGCCGCGGCCCGCCAGGGTGGGCCAGCCCGCCCGGCATCCACGTTCGGCGGGCGGCCTACCCAAGGTTTCACAGGCGCTAAGGCGGGATTTTCGCTATTTTGATGGCTTTGTGAAGTTATTCTTCACATGCTTTCAATAATTTGCGAAGTTGTGGGAGGAAATGGACAAATTGTTCCTTTTATTAGACAAAATAAAATTTGTACAACGTCTTGGGACAAAAAAATATTTGTTTCTCACTGTGGGACAAAATTTGTCCTAAGCAAGGATACAAATTGTCCCACGTTAGACACAATTAGATTGTCCTATCAGGATGGGACAAAAAAAAGTCCCATGACATTTAGTGTGGAGACATCGCGAAGCCTCTTACGACAAGACGCGGTCTAGCGTAAACCTACCTTGCAGTAAGTGCTTTTGTCAGATAGAATTCAGAAGTCAAATAATAATCTGTGACAAGGGAATTTTGAACAAACAAAAGTGAACAAGGTAGGTATACGCCAGACCACGTCTTGTCGTAACAGGCTTCGCGATATCTCGCGGCCTGTTCCTCCAATCCGCGCCTGGCGTACCTACCTTGACCTGCGGCGCTAGCCTGCCTTCGGCAGGCATTGGCTTGTCCATCGTCGGTTACTTCTTACGTGTTGCATGCTGGGGGCTCCGCCCCCCAGACCCCCCTTTGTTCTAGAAAGAGTTGCTTCATCTACAGATAACACGATCTTGACCCTTGTAACTTTTTAACTTGTCGTGGCTCCCCCTTTCTTCAAGACGGAGGTGATCTACCTGCAGAAAACTCGATTTTTCGCCGTTTTTTAGGTGTTTTTTGGCTATAAAAACTGAACCAGTTGAGCTAGAATAGTGAAATTTCACGTGTGCCGAGCCAAGGACATGCCCAAAAAGTGTGCAAAATCTCACCGAGATCGGCCGAGCCGTTCAGGAGGAGTAGTGCGGACACACAGACAGACAGACAGACAGACGGACAGACAGGAAAAACTTTTCAACCTCAATGGAGTAACTGGCTTCGCTATCGCTCAGCCAAAAATCACAAATTCACCAGGTTTTTGGCTGAGCGATAGCGAAGCCTGTAACTCCATTGGGGTTGAAAAGTTTTTTCTGTCTGTCCGTCCGTCTGTCTGTGTGTGTGTGAGTCCGCACTACTCCTCCTGAACGGCTCGGCCGATCTCGGTGAGATTTTGCACACTTTTTGGGCATGTCCTTGGCTCGGCACACGCGAAATTTCACTATCCTAGCTCAACTGGTTTAGTTTAAATAGCCGGAAAAGACCTAAAAAACGGCGAAAAATCGAGTTTTCGGCAGGCAGATCACTTCTGTCTCGAAGAAGGGGTGTCTGGGGGGCGGAGCCCCCCAGCATCCATCAAGTTAGAAGTAACCGACGATGGACAAGCCATTGCCTGCCGAAGGCAGGCTAGCGCCGCAGGCCAAGGTAGGTACGCCAGGCGCGGATTGGAGGAACAGGCAGCGAGACATCGCGAAGCCTGTTACGACAAGACGCGGTCTGGCGTAAACCTACCTTGTTGTATGATCTGTGGGATTGATGTACATGAGGTTTTGCCTCTTTTAGTGATAACACAAAAAGGGACAAAGACACCTTTCGAAATACTGACACGAGGTGGTTTTTTTATTTATGTTAATGATAATTTGGGTGTTGCCTTTAAATGAGGAATGGAGTATTCATCCAAAAAATGCTGTGTCAGCATGACATGTTTGTGTCCTAAAATATTACGGCATGCCTTGTGACTAAGGGTCCAGTCGCTTTTCTGAAAGATAGCCTAGAAATCAATGAGGCCAACATACCTTGGAGGTATCACATACCTGGGAGTAAAAGGAAAGGAATCAATTGATTTTGTACTTATGTAATTGGCTGAGCGATAGCGAAGCCTGATACTCCAGTGGGGTTTAAAAGTTTTTTTTATGTCTGTCTGCCTGTGTGTGTCTGTGTGACCGCACTACTTCTCCTAAACGGCTCGGCCGATTCTGTTGAGATTTTGAAGGGTCATTAGGCATATCCGTGGCTCGCCACACACCAAAATTCAGCTTTCTATCTCAATCCATTCGGTCATATTAGCCAAAAAACACTCTAAAAACGGCAGGAAAAAGACAACTTTTTTGGAACTTTCAACTTTTTGTCGAGGTCCATGTCGTTTTAAATGTTTTAGAGGCTGCTGATGACGAAAATAGAACCCATTCAGACCTCCGACCGAAAGTTAAGCCCCGTTAGTGTAGATTTTGATGACCAAATGCTATTTTTGAGGGGATCACGCCCGTTTCCACGGTCTGCCAAGGAAGGCAGCGCCGAAGGCAGGTTAGCGCCGCAGGCCAAGGTAGGTGTATACGCCAGGCGTGGATTGTCGAAACTGGCGCAGCATCGCGAAGCCTGTTACGACAAGGCAATAGTCTGGCGTACACCTACCTTGTGACAAAAAGGGGGTAAGTGTACATCCATTTAACTTATGTTGCGAAGACATCGTCGAAGACTCCAAAGAAGAATTGTTTTATTACAATCGAATTATCAGAAAACAGCACCGAGGGCTACAACATGCATGTAATAAAACAAGACGTGTGTCTATCAAACTTAACAGCGCAAGTGTTGTTAATTTACAACATTTTTTTTAACAGTGTAGCCAAGGGTTAAATGAACATAAAAGTCATTATGAGAACAGTGACATTGGAAAGACGAACATAGGCGTTCTATGTCTAATCAGAGCGCTTCTCGCCGTTTTTTCCGCAGTTGGCGCTGAGATTATCAGTGCTTCGCGGACGTGCCCAGGAGTGAAGAAGACTGGTGAGCGGACCCAGCAAAGCCAGCTGGGCCACCACGGCCAAGATGAAGGACTGCACCACTATGGTGGCTGCACCAGAAATCTGAAAAAGAAAGAAACAAAAGCTACAGCACTATCTTGCCGCTTCATCATAAAAAAGTAGACATCACTTGTTCTTTCGAGTCGTAATTAAGTGAAGGCTGTGATAGCTTCCTTATGAGTTGCCACTTGCTAATTCTTTACCAAAGATGAAGTGTCTTGCTGCACGGGGCCTCTCGCAGTCAAAGCAGTGGTCATTATGGGCAGCATGTGCACGAGGTACACGAGCGGAGTGAGGCGATGAAGCACCACCAGCAGTCTCTGACCTAAAACCCACTGCCAAACATCTGGAAAGACAGAGGATTTGCTGTGGAGTATTGCCCTGTATATCGTGATATCGTATCGGCAGGGTGAACCTGATATTAGGCTGCAGCTAAAATCTGGGGTCGTAAAATTGGACCCGGGGCAAAGTACTTAGAGAAATCCCAAGGCTGGCTGCGATGCCCAATTTGAACCACCCCCAAGTGAAAAGTGGACTCTGTGAGGCAGAATCGATTTTTTCCCTCCTAGTGGCCGAACAAGGCGTCAAGATTTGACATTTTAGCACTCATACCACACCTAATGTTATTTACACAATAAAAGCATCACGTTTGAAATGGCATGAGTTTTTAAATATCAAATCTTGACCACGAAACTGTCCCATTCTTGGCCCGTGTCCCATAATGACTCCAACTGACCCTATATCGTGATATAGCGTCGTTCTTCACTCACTCAGTCTAGTGAACCGTGGCTCGAGCAAGATAACTTGGGCGGCCGCAATGAGACAAGTCAGCACCTGTCGCAGCGTAGAGGCTAGAGAGTCCTGCACCGGTCCAAGATTGACTGCATCGCGCCAGGCCTCGTAGGAAACAACGCCCCGCCAGATCATGAGCACCCACAGGAGGGCGAAGCCTACGTTGCCCACGGTCTGCAAGTGGTGAATCAATATAAGGAACTGATGCAAAATGGGCCAGAAGACCGGAGGAGACGGTCAAAATTCTAGACGCGTTCTGAGCCTCAGAGTTGCAGGGTCACGCACGTTCGGTTCCAGCCCTGTGTGGTGACACTGGATAGCTCTAAACGCGTCTCGAGTCTTACCCGCCTCCACCGGTCTTCTGGCCCACTGTGTGTTGACATTTTACTGGAGTATAAATTAAGGGGGGACCCTGGTGAAACTTTCAAGTAGGCTTTAAAATAATCCCAGAAAGTTGAAACTTTGCTTAATTATTAGGTTCATGATGGTGAGTTCCCAAAACAAAACTCAATCCAAAATGTTGAACGGTCTCTGAGAAACGTGGCTTTTTAGTGTTGTTTAGAGCGTTGGGGAAAAATCTTCCTGCGTCTTTCATTGAAACGAAAAGTCTTGAAAATTTTTTTGGGCTATCCTAAAGATGTATAGAAGAGATTTTAGTGACAGAATTTTCAAATTCAACTTCTGTCCTGAGATATGAATTTTCAAATTTTAACATTGAAAAAAAGTGATTGTTTTGCCTTTTTTTTAAAACTTTTAGGTGTTTGTAAAAAAAAGTAGCGCTGATATCAAGATTCCGTCAATAAAATTTGTCGATAAGTCATCAATGAATAGAGTCCATGCAAGATGACTCATGTAGGTGTCGACCAGAGGAACGCAGGAAGTCTTTCTACGACAAAATTTTTTGTCGACTGAGCAAAGGTGTGAAGTTAAGCGTATAAGCCAACGACAACTGATCTCAATGTTATTTCTTCGTAAATGATTAAGTAACTACCCACATAGTCTAAAGGTGTTAAACCTGTTGAATCTGAAACCTTCTAGGCACATTTTTATGTGTGAACTTTGAAAATACTATTTTTGGCAGTTTTGGCCATTTTTTCACGAGGGTCCCCCCTTAAACGGAAGGGGGTTGAAGGTTGATTAACAGTCACTCATATATACTCTCCAGTCTCAGTAGTGAAATACCACACTCGAAGGCCTCCAGAGGGGGAAATCACTCGCGTAATAGTCGGGTCACTGATCCCTATTTTGACGCGTAATAGTAAAAGCGTAATAGCCAATTTTTTTAAAAAAATTCCCATTTAGGGTACGATTTTAGCCTAAATCTGGATATTTTCGAGCGTAATAAGCCTTCTGTAATAGCTTAATAGAACGTAAGGGAGTAGTCGGGTCACAGTATTTAACAGTGATTTCCCCCTCGGCCTCCAGTTTAAGCTGATTCATGCTTGTCACCTTGCTTATTTTCGTTGAGTTTGAGTCTTGATAGAGTGGTTTCACGAGAATTGCGGTGACACCACCGAGAACGTAAGACAAAAGATAATTGCTCATGGGCGTGTGGGGTCCGAACAGTTCCGGGGCGTTCTCCAAATGTGCCGCTGAGCTACAAACAGAGAGCCAGAAAACATGAAAAAGTGGGGGGCTCAACCGGATAAAATAGGTTTTGGACCTACGTTGTCGGTCCACAGGACCTAAAAGCTTACACATGATTCATGGGAAGCACCAGAGGCCACTTGTAGTAGACTCCCATGCCTACACGCACGACTAATGTTAGAGCCACAGCCAGAGAAGCGCCGAGCAGCTCCCCGCTCGACCATGCTCCTGTGGACCGGCCTTTGACATCTTGGCTGCCTTGGGGCGACGATGTTGACTTATCAGCACCTCCCTACTAGAAAGAGTTCAACAAGAGGGACAACGCACTGTTAGTAACTGCTCCAAAAACTCAAGAGAGCACACTGCAAATCCAAGTATGGGACAGTCTCACACTATTTGGCGAGAAAATCCAAACGCCATGCAGCGTCAATTGGTGCAATGCTTTTGCATTGAACATGAAGTGCAATTCCCATTCCCATGCATTAGCATAGGGCATTTTCTCGAGGCATTGCACGTAAGGTGCAATATGGCTGTGGTATTGCACGTATGGTGCGATATCTCAGTGCATTGCACCATACAAGCTATACTCATCGAGGGGTGAATCACTAGTGTACTCATGTGCACACATATGCCCGTACTCAGTGTACTCACAAATTTTAGAAGAGCAAAAATAGCCTGATTTGTCCAGGAATCGGTATTGATTTTCGTTTAAAACGCCAAAAAGGCGTAAAAACGTTAACAATGTGCCCAATTTGTGAGTATAATCAGGTGTACTCACCTGTACTCACGTACTCATGTGTACACCTAAACGCTGAGTGATTCACCCCTCGATACTCATAGCGTTTGGAATCTCAGTACAGTCATAGCATCCTTCAAGCCAAAGCGTGCTTTGAACACCCTTCAGCATACAAGTACGCCTGGAGACCTATCGCTTAAAGTCAAGCGTAGGGAAGACATTCTCCTATGCACCGAGATAAGCGGTCGAAGGGCGGAACGGTAAACTACGCTTGAAGCCGAGCGTAGCAACTACGCTTGGAGAAAGGCGTAAAAGTACGCTTCAGTTCTACTAGTGTTGGAGTTGTGGGCAAGGAGACGATCTCTCCGAGAAGAGAGGAAGTTTGTCAAACGAGCGCTGTGTCCTGACCTGAATCGGCTTCGGAGACCGTCCCAATCCCTTCCACCGCGACCATAGCCACATGCTCAACTGGCACGCGGTGAAACACTGCAAGTCCACTGCCATAGACCACAGCTGGAGTACACACTGCACAAATGAAAAACATCAAGTCATACCCAAGTATGCATGCAAAACACACACACACACGAAAGGAATACACACTTATTTAAAAGGGACTAAGATTCGTATCATCAGTGAGAATACACATAAAATGAAAGAGCCTTGATCAATAATATATTTTAGGCGAGGTGTACTTTATCACCTATATTTGGGTGATGTTTATTTATTCACCCAAATTTGGGAGACGAATGTTTTCTCACCCAAATTGGGGGTTTGCGCAAAGATACTTCATGGACACTTGGTACCTCTGGGTCATTCCACGCCAAGTCGACAAGGCCTCTGCCACCATGGTCACCGAATTGATTCTTCTTTTCAGGGTTTGTTACCCCCATGGTACTAGTTCATGACCGGTACAAAGTTTTTCGAATGTAGCCCCAGGGGCTGAGATATAGCAAAAAACGTTTTTCTCAAATTGCTGCACCAGTGCAACTTTGAAGGTTGATAGCGCCGCTACTATGCATCGTAGACCAAATCCGAGACCAGATTTGGAAAGGGGAAGAAAAATCGAATCTACTAGTGGAAAAAAATTTTTGTTTTGAAAAAATTTTTTTACTTTCAAACTTTTACGAAGTTTTAAAATTTGCACAGTTTCCAAGTACCGTAACCAAATTTGGCTCCCGTTGGCTTAAAACTTAGCTTAGACCCTCCTCTAATCGAAACAGTCAACCACAAAATACGTTTTGCGCCGTTCTCGAGAACGAACCATTTCCGTGGAGCTCTGCAACACTCCACTTCACTGTAAAACGGTATTTAGCCCACCCAGTTTGGGCTGGGCACCCTGGGCGCCCTTCCCGATCGAACCCTGGCTCCGGACCTAGTTCCAGGGTGTCTAGCGCTCCTTCCAGAAAGGCAGCCCATCGTGCCGCGCCGCGATGGGACCCTGCGGGTTGCCTACCCATCAGGCGCTCCAAGCGAACCGACACACATTTCCCCCGTCGGGGTTCCTCTAGGGGCTCCGGAACATTGGGCGACGCCCCCCTCCAAAAAAAATCGCATTCAAATTAGGAAAAAAGCAGGTAAAGCTTAAGAAAAAAATTGAAATCTATAATCTTTTATGTAATTTTGTCAGTTCATGTGAACGGATGACACAGCGGCCCGCGAGGGGCCCTCGTCAGCTGGATTGCAGCGAGTAGACCATCCCGGGCCATCATCCGAGGCACAACACCTCGGTGGTTCCTCTTTGATCCCTTGCTCTGTGGGCCCTTTTCGAGCCCCTGCTTGCTTTTTGGGCCCTTTTTGGGCCCTTTTTGAGCCCTTGCTTAGAAGGCCGGTTTTGGGCCCTTGCTTTTGTGGGCCCTTTGTGGTCCCTTGTCCTGTAGCCCTTTTGGGGCCCTTTTTCTTGGGCCCTCTTTGGGCCCTTGCACTTGTGTGCCCTTGTCCTGTAGGCCCTTTTACAAGGGGGCAACCACATTGGATGTTTGGGGACACAAGATTTCTGAAGGCTAAAGATTTCTTCGGATTTCGCAACATTTTAACCGGATTTCGAGCGCTAAGGGGACACAAGATTTCTAGAGTGGTTGACCCCTCGCACTTTTAGGCCCTTGAACTTGTTGGCTATTTGTGGGCCCATTAAAGGCCCTTCCCCCTGGAGCCCATTAGGTCCTTGCACTTGGGCCCTTCGGGCCAGGCGCGGATCCCCCCCCCCCCTCAAGGCGATGCCGCCTGAAAGGTAGGCAAAAGGTCGCACATTACCCCTGTAGGTAGGCAACTTTCGCGACACCCCCCCCCCCCCCAACCCGTCCCTGGATCCGCCCTTGGGCCTAGTTACTTGAGCCCTATCGGACTCCGAGCGAATCTCGGGCCCTTTGGCCCATGTAGACCTTTTGGAGTAAGTGTAGGGGCCCTTCAGGCCCAAGGGCCCAAGCGGCGATCGCCGCCTAGCCGCCCGGGCCAGTGCGCCCGGACGGGGAAAATATGTGTTGATTCACTTGGAGCACCTCCTGCAGGGTCCCAGTGCGGCGCGGCACGATGGGCTGCCTTTCTGGAAGGGGCGCTGGACACCCTGGAACTGGGTCCGGATCCAGGGTTCGATCGGGAAGGGCGCCCAGGGTGCCCAGCCCAAACTAGGTGGGCTAAATACCGTTTTACAGTGAAGTGGAGTGTTGCAGAGCTCCACGGAAATGGTTCGTTCTCGAGAACGGCGCAAAACGTATTTTGTGGTTGACTGTTTCGATTAGAGGAGGGTCTAAGCTAAGTTTTAAGCCAACGGGAGCCAAATTTGGTTAAGGTACTTGGAAACTGTGCAAATTTTAAAACTTCGTAAAAGTTTAAAAGTAAAAAAAATTTTTCAAAACAAAAATTTTTTTTCACTAGTAGATTCGATTTTTCTTCCCCTTTCCAAATCTGGTCTCGAATTTGGTCTACGATGCATGTTAGCGACGCTATCAACCTTCAAAGTTGCACTGGTGCAGCAATTTGAGAAAAACGTTTTTTGCTATATCCTAGCCCCTGGGGCTACATTCGAAAAACTTTGTACCGGTCATGAACTAGTACCATGGGGGAAACAAACCCTGAAAAGAAGAATCAATTCGGTGACCATGGTGGCAGAGGCCTTGTCGACTTGACGTGGAATGACCCCTCTGCAGTGAGGATACACTGAAAATCTATCGGCGCGACTTCGTGCCGCTACAGGGGCGTGAATTAAGTGTCACGCCAATTAACGGCATGACAGAAAAGTCACGCCAAAAATCGGCGTGACTGAAAAGTTCACGCCAATTTTTGGCGTGAATTTCTTGTCATGCCGCTTTTTGGCGCGACTTGTCTCACTAAACGCGTTGTCATTCACGCCAAATGAGGGCTTGACTCACATGTCACGCCGTTTTTTGGCGTGAATTTTGTGTCACGTCAATTTTTGGCGTGAATGTTGGTCACGCCATAATTTGGCCATGTGTCCGACCATTACGTTTTCAGTGTAGTTCTAAATCTGCACTGAAAGTTAGGATTGTCTTGGATCAGCTCGGGCAGTTAGGATTGTCTTGGATTTGCTCTCACAGTTAGGATTATTCTATTAGGACGCGTCGAAGTCTAGCAGTGTGTACTGGTGATATTGGTAATCTCCTCAGCCTGGAACCTCACCGTGGGCGGCCCCCTCGGCCCGAAGTTGTTGATATACAGGAGGGTGCGCCACCACGCCGCCCGGCAGTCATCCCGTTCGAAGTCCATACGCCACCGCCACGCCGGGCCGCTGCTCCACGCGGGCAAGACCACAGCCTGCACCAGCGTCATGGCCGCCAGCAGAGGCAGAAACCTGATTCCATGCGGCAACTCTAGAAACTGAAGAGAGTGCATGGCATGCTCCTCCTAGGAGTCAACCACAAAGCACGCTCTTCCCAAGAGCATGCTAGCAAGCACACCGAAGCACACTCTTACCAGGGGCATGCTTGGCAAGCACCAGAGGGTGGCAACGGCCTAGGGAGAGCGTGAAGCGATGCTCGCGCCGTCAGTGCAGAGGTTGCGCACTTGTTCGAGATAATGAAAACTAGACTGTGTTTTTCAAAACACTTTGCACCGATAGAAAGGGCTTGAAATTCAGGGTGCACTAGGCTAATTGCCTTTCTCGAAACTCCTCCCTTACCTAATATTAAGGTGCATTAAAAACACAAAAATAATAAAATTTATGAAAAAACTCGAATGCGCCATGTTGGTGTACATGATATTGCCCTTGTGTTCGGTTGAATTGGAAGTATCGGGCAGTCTACTAGGCCTAATGCACCCCAAATTTTGTGCTCTTTCGATCTGTGCAAAGCGTTTTGCAATCAACGGCTTAGATCTTACAATCGAAGCAAAATAAGTAACCCCTGCACCTTACTCGCGCATGGCTTCACGCGCCTCCTAGGCCGTTGCCGCCCCTTGCAAGCACGCTCTTCCTAGAGCATGCTTGCAAGCACTCTCTGCGTGCTGCGTCACTATTATATGGACTCATATCAACGAAGAGGCACGCTTTCATCCTAGAGAGTGCTTGCAAGCATGGTCCTAGGAAGAGCGTGCTTGCCAAGCATGCTCCTGGGAAGAGAGTGCTTGTCAAGCATGCTCTTGGGAAGAGCGCGCTTTGTGGTTGACTCCTGGAGCATGCCATGCACTCCCTTCAGTTTCTAGAGAATGCAGAGTAATTTATCAACAGCGTGGCACTCTAGCAATGGAAACAGTTTCCGATTCAATTTGTGTCCTCACTTTATCTGTTCACAGAATCAGGAACAACTCAGATGCCCACAGCAACAGGCTCAGAACAATTGTAGTGAATGCTTATGCACTATTTTGTTCGTAATTGGATTCAAAACTTTTTACGGACAAACTCTAGGGGCAATATTGCGACCAAAGTGGAAACGTTTATAAGGTGAGGTGTGGGTGAAAATTTCTACCAAAATTGATTAAAATGATAAATTTAATCCACTTGTTATTTTTAAGTAAAATATTATTCTATTACCGACAGCATGTCCTAAAGGTCTGTGTTATGAACCCCTTCGTGAGTGGTTCGTCTAACATGGACTGATATATGCATGCGCCTTTTCTGGTCACCCAACTCTTACAACAAGTGTCAAAGGTATTTTTTTCTACTCCGTCAACTAGCCATGCATACAGTTTTCTTTATACTGACCATACTTTTTGGAGTAGTTCTTTGTAGCCCATGGACCAATGTAACAGAGAGATATTTCAAATAGCTATCCACTTTCTTAAATCGTTTAACTTAAAGTAGTAAAAAATGGAGAAAATCTAATTTTTTCTAATAAACAAAATTGTTAAGTTTGCTCGGTCAAAAAAAAAAAAGTTCAAATATCCCTCCGTTACATTGAAGTAGAGGGGTTTAGGTAACTCAAAAACAAATTTCAGATCATTCCGTCAAAAAACTTTGTGTGGCTGATTTTTCTACTAAACGCTTAATTTCAATGAAAAAAGCCTACTGTGGCTAAATAGGTGGGTAGATTTGGATGAAATTGGGTTTGTAATAGTTTCCTACCTAGTACTTAACGCCCTAAAGTTTCAACCACCACAGCCAAGTGGTATAGAAGTTGCCATTCCACCTTAAGGAGAGGTTCTGATGAAAATCTTGCCATTTTCAAAGTGGATCCCACTGTCATAAATTGTTTGGAATATAAAATCTTTCTTCGTGGAGGCTAAAATTAGACTTTTGAAGGCACATGCCAGGCTCTGAACCCAGTCGAAGAGTCTTTTTGAGCCGATTTTGGCTGTATCTTAAGGGGGGACCCTGGTGAAAAAATCGCCAAAATTCCAAAAAATAGTATTTTCAAAGTTGGTAGATAAAAATGTGCATAGAAGGTTTCAGATTCAACAGGTTGAACACCTTTAAGCTAAGTGGGTAGTTTCTTTATCATTTGTAATGAAATAGCATAGATCAGTTGTCGTTGGCTTCTACGCTCAACTTCACAGCTTTGCTCAGTCGACAAAAAATTTTGTCGTAGAAAGACTTCCTGCGTTCCTGGTTGACACCTACATGAGTCGTCTTGCATGGACTCTATTCATTGATGACTTGTCGACAAATTTTAGTGACGGAATCTTGATATCAGCCCTACTTTTTTAAAAACACACCTAAAAGTTTGAAAAATAGGGAAAAAAATCACTTTTTTTTAATGTTAAAATTTGTAAACTCATATCTCAGGGCAGAAGTTGAATTTGAAAATTCCGTCACTAAAATCTCTTGTATACATCTTTAGGTTAACCCAAAAAAATTTTCAAGACTTTCCGTCCCAATGAAAGACGCAGGAAGATTTTTCCCCAACGCTCCAAAAAACACTAAAAAGCCACTTTTCTCAGAGACCGTTCAACAGTTTGGATTGAATTTTGTTTGGGGAACTCACCAAAATGTACCTAATAATTAAGCAAAGTTTCAACTTCCTGGGATTATTTTGAAGCCTACTTGAAAGTTTCACCAGGGTCCCCCCTTAAAAAATCTTCTTGCGCATACTATTTTGTCGTAAAAGGTTGACCTTGACATTTTTCACTTCTTCCATTCATTTTCAAAAGATTCCGGCATGCATAGCTCAAAATTTCCATTATATCATTAATTGTAAGCTTTTAAAGCTGAAAAGTGCCTAAAATTTGCCTATTTTGTACACTTTTGATCAATGAAAGTGAAAAGCTTGGTTAGAAAGCTTGCAAATGAAAAAGTTATTTACATTTTGAGTTGTGCATGCCGGCATCTTTTAAAAATGAATCGTAGAAATGAAAAATGTCAAGGCCAACCTTTTACGACAAAATAGTATGCACAAGAAGATTTTTAAAGTTATAGCCTAAATAGGAGAAAAAGGCTCTGCGACTGGGTTCAGGGCATAGAATGTGCCTCCCCAATGAAAAATTTTAATATTTACTTGGTAAGACATCAAATTTTCAACAAATTTTCACAGTGGGACCTATTTAGGAGAAAATAGCATTTCCACCAGAACCTCCCCTTAAGCCTTCAAAAAAGGCTTTAGGCTTAAAAAAATCTGTGGACAAATTTGTCCATGATTTGTGACTGAATGTGTCGCCCTTGGGTAACCTTTAAAAACGTTTCTGCCACGGACACAAAATCGTTCGACAAATGGTAACGAAAATGTCTAGGGCTATTTGGTATGCTGTCAAACCTAATCGCTCGTCGGAGTGGTGCAAGAAGGCGTGCATCGTGCCCTGCGCGCACCATCAGGTAGCCGGAGAAGAAAAAGAAGTGCACCATCCCGTTGTGAATGCTGTCCTGAATCCACGTGACCAGAAGAGGAGGACTTCCGTCCGCCTGAAGCATACCAATAACAATGCCCATAATTTACTCAACGATTAGCACGTAGTAGCAACAAAGCAGGCAAAGGAGTTGACAGGTTGAGCCGTTTTTCGGCCAGACCGGACAGGACTCATGTCATCGTTTTAAATGTAGAATCAATCGATGCATGCTCAAGGAGCAGGCAGTCCCACAAACTTGCACTTGAAACGCCTGTTAGTTCGGCTAAATGCGCAACAAAATCTTAGACGATCCTTGACAATCCGACACATTGAAAACAATCTGAGTACAGCAAACCTTAGTAGGGACCCCTCATGTGGAATGCAATTCATTTAGGGGCTCACCGGTGCGGCGAACGAGTTGGCCCCCACACCCAGAAAAATGCCTTCTTGGATCAAGAAAAAATTTCTTGATCCAAGAAAAATTTTGCATTAAAATTCCCAAGAAAAAAATTGTATTGATTTATGTCAAATATATTCTTGATATGTCATACATTAAATGAAGAAAAACAAAGTTTTGTATAAAGAATTTTTTTGTTTAATTGGACACTTTTTTTCTTGGATAAAGAACAAATGGAACTCCAACCAAGAGAAAGGGATAACTTGAGCCACCTGGTTTCTTACTTGCATGTGCACTGCTGTGACACGACACCAAAATTTCTTGGTTTTCAAGAGAGTTGATTGAAGATCACTGTTCTTGGGCAATGCAAGAAAAACTTTTTCTTGTGCCAAGCTTGGAAGGCGGCTAATAAAGTACAATCTTTGGCGAAGCGAAATTTTGGTAAAATGAGTAAAAAGCTGAACCCCCATCTCTTTATGCTTGTATTTTGCTCCATTTAAAATATATGATGCAGCTTTAACTCAAGTCGCTATTTTGTATGGCTAATGTATGTGTATTCAATAGGATAGCGAGCTTTTAATTTTTTTTCTTTCTGGGTAATTATTTGTATCAAATTAGAACATATGCAGTCTTAATACTGTCCAACTCAGGGGTTTGCAGTTTTTTTTCACTGCATTAAAAATACCTTGTAAAAACAACACATGATGTTTGGGTGCAAATTTTATTTTATTGACATAATTACAAAGCAGTTCTGAGCGACACCAAAGGTTTACCATCAGACACAGCAAATCTCTGCCAAAGTGGCACATGAGAAAAGAACTCGCCTTGAGTTAAAAATAAAAAATTCATAGTATCATCAACAACATATGCACATGATTCAACACGGTAACTTAAAGTAGTTTTCAGTCTAAGAACAAAATAAACAGTATTTTGCAGAATCACAATGTGCTGAATTGTAGCAAAAATAGGAAATAAATCCTCATAACCTGTCACCACAACCATCTCCCTTTGATATGTTGTTCCCAACACATCAACAGATTTAACAACATTAACAATGTCATTTTCATTGAAAGTAACAACATCACAGAAATAAGGGTACAAATGAAGAGTGCTAGCTTGCACTGACTTTACTAATGAAAGGGCTTTAAAGTCAGGTTGTTGAGAATTACATGATAATTCGATTAAATGCTTGGCTAACTGAAGTTGTAATTTAACAGACACAGATAACGGCAGATGCACTCTAGAATTACATGAATGAGCATACAACTTTGACACCCGATGCTTTCGTTCAGAAGCTAAGGCTGAGAAATCAATCAATGGGCCATTGTTTCTTAAAGCTTCCGGCAGATGGGTTGACTTATGGTGCTTGGCTTTCAAATGAGATTTTGAAACCTTCATATACAATTCATGATGTTCTTCAATTAGTGACTTCAGATAAATATCAGTCCCTTCACTATGATGGGAACGAGTTACAATTTCAAGGATCTGTCTTAACACAAGATAATAACGCCAAGCATCACAAGTGGTTGGTACAAGGTCACTGATCATTTCTCCTAGGTACCTAGCTAAACATAGCATTTCAGATCCGGATAAATTCAAATTATCATTTTTAATCCTGTCAATTGTAATTTGAAATGCTGGAGGCTTGTTGCCTGCTTCTGTAGGACCATAATCAAAGCCTGAAATTCTCTCATGAAGAACATCTATGTCAAAGTATTCCCTTTCTACAATAAGTTCTTTGAAAATAGCACATAACCCATAATTCAGCATTCCCTCAAATACATCATGTAAAATGTCACAAGAAATATTTTGGGTGAGGTGATAGGATGGAATATCATTGAAAACACACTTTTCTTTGATACCAGTCAGTTTTGGATCACTTAATGCAACATCTTCATCATAGTTCTGGGGGTTTCTACGTAGACTAACATCACTGACACAACTGTGACGAGTGTCATGTAGATGCATCTTACAGATATTACAAAAATAATGAGCAGTAAAGCATTCTACCAAGCCTTGAATAGAATTATTACCCTTATTATCTGCAACAATGAGACCCAAGCAAAAAAATACCTTCAGATTACCTGTACTTAAAGAGATTTCAATACCAGTCTCTTCAAGAAACTTAAACTCATTGACAACTGGTGAGAAAATAATTCTGTTCCCAAACCTCTTCCGATCTTTCGTCAAAAACAGAGTCAGTAAAAACATATTAGCAAGAGATGATCTGATCTGAGGAGGCAGGGCAGGAATGGAAGCATACATAGCACCTAGACTATTAGCAGTGGCATGAGAACCTAGAACATTGTCGGGTTCAAAATCATCAAAATGAGCGTGGATAGGCAGCACAATTTGGCCCTGAAAGTTGGCTGAAATCTTACGCCACAAATCTCCCTGAACAAAATTTTTACACGAGGTTTCATTGTCCAGAGAATTAACATAATTCATGATCATGGCAAACATGCCTGGTAATTCAAGAAATGATTTCAGTACTTTCCGCAAGGGAACAAAAAGCCCATATGAAGAATCACGAACAAGCTCAAGGTTTCCCCCTACTCTCTCATAATCATCAAAATGACCATAGAGTTGAGGCTCTGGGCTAATATAAAATCCTTCTTTTTTCAAAGATTGCAACCTTTGATACTCAGTCAGTACAAATTCAAAAGGGTTGCTCAACATATCAAACATACATTTGATCTCATAAAGTTTATTTCTAAAGAGAGGATCATTACTCTCACAGTCATCAAAACACCGAAGGGTTTTTTCCTTCAGTGAAGAAACAATTCCACAGTTTAAGAAATCAGACATCATACCAATTATAGTTGTGACATTTTTCCTATTCATGTTTGGAATGGCACTCAACTCCGCAGAAATAATTTCAGCATTTTTACAAACAGCTTTCACAAAAGATTCTAAAGAAACTGGCTCATTAATTTCAATTGGTTGTGCATTAACATTGTTATCCAAATTATTTTCATGGATATTATCAATTCCCATATTTTCATGTCCAACACCCTCATCAACAACTTCAACATCATTAACTTCAACATCATTAACATCAACCTCAACATAATTAGCTTCATAAACATTAGCATTATTCACTCCTGGAGCAGCATGACTACGTTCAAGATGAGATATAAACTTGTGCAAGGAACTCCAGGATCTATGACAGTTTAACTGCATACAGGAGTATTTGTCAATGATGCTCATGTTGTGGTTTCCAAAAACAAAATGATCTTTCAGACTTTGGGGAGTCAAATAGTTCAAATGACAAATAAAGCATGTAAACATGATGGTGTCAAAAAACTAATAACAAAAATAAATAAACATTCAAAAAAAAAAAAACAAATCTATCACAAAAAAATGAAAGTAACGAAAGAGGATTAAAAAGAATAACTGTTAATCCAGCTGTGTTTGACGTCCTGCTTCTGGTCCCACTCCGTATTGATGTTGTAGATCACTTTTTGGAGCATCATCCAAATGTGGCTGCACTGTGGTGGATAGGAGCAATGCAGCGCATGGAAAACTTTGAAACACACATCCAGTGCTTCAACAACACTTCGGAGCTTGAACAGGAGATTGGCCACTGACATGTATGCAGTGGTGATGTTGGTCAGAGCAGGGCCCACAACAATCACAATGGGCCTGCCACCACCTTCCTCAGCATAACTCAGACGGAACGCATCCAAAGCTCGCTTCAAATCTCCTGGGACCTGTAATAAGACCAAAGGTAAAATATTATAACACAATATAAATATTCTGGGAAAATTTACTGGCATGAAAAATTTAATTTACTCTAATTCTATTAAAATTATAATTAGCCACTTTCTTCTTCAAAGAATAGAGGCGCAGACACCAGCTGTGTCAGACTAATTTCCTTACAGTACAAAGTCCCTAAATCTTCTGTTTCCTTACTGATGGTGTTAACTCCTCCTGATACATACATGCACCTAAGCTACCACTGCATATATTTAAAGGATAGTGTAAAAAAATCCATACATACCTTGACATGAAGAAGGTAACTGCTCCGCACCTCCACAACTGAAAATTTCACTGCTTTCCCTCCAATTAAAGCTCTGTGAGAGGCCCTAATGGAAGGCAGAAGAGCCAACAGGATAGAAGCACGGCTGTCTGAAAAATAATAAAGAAAGAAAAATTATAAGTTTGCAAACGGTATGGTACAATGTTAGATGAGAACGCAACAAAACTGTCTATTAAACTAACCTTTGGTCAGATCGTCACTCAAAAGTTTAAGGTATTCCTTTCCTGCTGAGTCTCGCACATCTTTCGCAGCAATGTTGAAAGTTCTCTTCTCAAAAACATCCCAGCGTACATGCAAATTGTCTTGGCAATTTGGATAGATTAAGGCAAAGTCCTGCAAGAGCTGAAATAAATTTTTAAAAATAGTTAGACAAGGGCCTCACTTAGCATTCAATGATGTTTCCTTTATATTAATGCGTACCAACTCAAAGCCTGATTTGTGCTTCAGCACCTCCCACTCCTCGAGATATGAGTTGACGTACGAAGAGTCTTGATTGAACAATTGCTGAAATCTCAGAGGTGCAGTTAAAGCCCACTTCCGCAGGACTTCAGGCCATGGAGTTCGGCCTGTAGATAACCATGCCTGTGCCTCAGTAATCTCAGATGTGATTGCTGCACAAGAGAAACAAAATATTAAAGACAAGACAATGTGAGCAGCAAATAATACTAACATACAGCCCCCCCCCACACACACACACACACATGCACAACAGCCCCTCCCCCCCCCCTCACACACACACACGCACAACAGCCCCCTCCTCCCCCCCCACACACACACATGCACAACAGCCCCCTCCCCCCCCACACACACACACGCACAACAGCCCCCTCCCCCCCCCCACACACACACACACAAAGAAAATTAGCGATGATACATACTCTGGTTGAGAAACGAAGAAAAACTGTTACGGGCACCAGCTTTGGTTGTTGAACTTGGCTTCGCTATTTTAGGTTTGTTCCTGCAGTTCTTCAATCTATGCGACAGTTTGCCCTCTGATCCTGTCTTAGAAGAGTGTTCTTGCTTCGGACCAACGTAATAGGTTTTCTGTAGGACAAGTAAGCAAATAAATATCAGCAACTTTTTAAGCAGAAACTTATAGAAAAAAATGAAAAGAAATACATACCTCACATTCTGTAGGGAAAAGTTCCACTATCTTTACAGCCAAATTCTGCAAGAGATTGTACGGGACTCTGAAAAATGAATTGGCAATAAATACAAGAAAGAACTATAGAAGGTACAAAACACCACAATTGTGAAACTTACTTCTCAGTGTGGACCTGCACATGCTCAATGATGATTTCAACAATTTTATTTCTCTGTGATTCTGTGAGGAAAACAGGTTGCTCCTCATCATCATCCTCTCCTAATGTTTGAGCTGCTTGGTAAGCCTTGACAATCTCTCTTCCTACCGAGTCACCATTAAGAGCTGCCAACAAATCCTGCAGAAAAACAAATTATATAATTCACAACTTTGGATTTGAAAATTTCAAGCGTCAACCCAGAAATTTTATTAAATCTAATGTTTAAGTACTAATTTAAAATAACTGCATCTGAACAGAGCAAAGAGGAATAATACTTTGATGATAAGATTGTGATATCAGTTAAAGAATAAGATTTGTATATTTTTACATGACTATAAACCAAAGCAATAGAGAATTAATTTATGCGCGACAGAAAAAATAAGAAACAATAAACCATTCTGAAACAAAACACTACCCACCCGTTCTCTTTCCGGACCAGTACCTCAAAATGCAACTTTAGATAAAATATTAAATCAATGATGAATTTACTTACAAAGTCTTCCACAAATTTGGAGTTTGCAAGAGCATTAAGTTTCGTCCCTGCAGCCGCACTCCCTGGCTCTGCACAAGAGGGTCCCGCTTCCTAAATGGAAAGAAACAATTACACAAAATTACAGGAAACGCAAAAAAGCAAAGCCTTCAAAAACACAAACAATTTAAAGATGACAAACATTACCTGACTAAGTGAATGGTGAGTCTTGCTCCTTTTAGAACTTGAGGCATTGGTGTTGGAACTCTCAGAATCTACCACCTAAAACAAAGGAAGGCAATCAGTAAATGTAATAAGGGGTGAACTGTATCAGTTAATTTAAAATCCACAGCAAAGAAGAACTCACATTGTGCGTGCGTTTTGGAACTGGGGCCATCTGCTTCTGCTCTGTAAGCTTGCCCCACAGGATGGCAACTTCTCCGGGGTAGGGCGTTATAGATGAGAGATCAGACTTCTCAACATATTTCAGTCCTTCAAGAGTGAACTTCAAATCTGAAAGTAAAGAAAGTTTATTAGTATATAGTTCATTGAATGTCACAAGCCATAAACAGAGTTCATAATGCAAGGCCTGACTCAAAGAAAGAAAGAAAGAAAAAGAAAGAAAGAAAAAAAGAAAGAAAGAGAATAATATAAGGGAGGAGAGTGGGAGGGGAGACTACATTCGCACAGCGTTTCGTCGCTCTGTCACTCTCGCACCCATACGGACCGGCTCACGAGTGTGACAGAGACAGAGCGATAAAGAGGATGTTCGGAATCTGCCTACAGTGCCGGTCGGCAGAGGCGGTTTGTCACTCTGTCTCTTTCGCTCCCTCGCGAAGAGCCGCCCGCCGTGTCGAGTGTGAGAGAGCGCGACGAAAACTTCTCGGATTGCAAGTCGCATCTCGTCGCTGTCTCTCTCGCTCTCATGAGGCGTAGAGTGCGAGACGGCAACGAGATGCGAGCAGCAATTCCGATTCCGAGTAGTGTGTGTCGCTCTCACACCTGTACGAGACGCCCCATGAGTACGAGAGAGACAAACCGACGAAAACGACTCTCGGAATTAGTCCGCAAGCAGACTCGCCTCGCCGCTGAGCATGGCAACACCAGCAGACTGATTCCGAATGTCTCTCTCGCATCATCGCACAGTGGGTCAGAAGACCGGCACAGACGGCCAAAACTATAGACGCCTTATGAGCTCCGTTGTCGCTAAAAGGGACTCGAACCGAACGTCTGACCCCTCTCATGGATTCCTTCCAATCCATTAGTGGGGTCACACGTTCGGTTCGAGTCCCATTTAACGACACTGGAGCTCAATACCCGTTCGATATTTTGGCCACCGCCACCGGTCTTCAGGCCCACTAAGCATACGGGACGCCCAATGAATGTGAGAGGCAAAGCAACGAAAATGACTCTCGGAATCAGTTTACAAGGCAAGCCGAGGCGCAGAGCACGCAGACCACGCTCAAGACCGTGCAACGCTAGGCGTTCCCGTCTCGCTCGTTCCTGCACACAGCACCTGTGGCAACCCCACTTCCACACTCGCAATGGCCGCGCCGCAGCTAGGCACAACGACGCAACACTTCACCTCGCATCACAACGCCGGGAACGCAAATCTGAATTGCGACTGTTCATGTTCCATCTTTCCGAGCACAAGAAGTGTCCATCGAAACCCGTCCGGACGGGCCGTCTGACCGGGCCGGGCTCGCTGCGTCGTCACTAACCTCAAACTCGCCTAGAGAACCGCGGCAGCAGCCCTCGCAAAAGCTAGCTTGGTGGTAAGGCGTACTCACCTTTGCATTTGTCCAGCAGATGAGGAAGTCCGCAGCTCGTTAGGAACCGCCCCAACTCCTCGTTGGCACTCGTAGTCATTTTGACAATGTTTACACGGTCGGCTTGGTCAATGCTCTGTCTTGCGGTTCGCTTGCAGGCGTTCTCCTCGCCGTCGCCGTGCCGTGCCGGCCGGCGCCGACCGGCGCTGCCTTCGGCTCGGCTCTCGGCTCCCGCTCGGCCCACCCGAAGCTCCCCGAAGTTGCCCGAGCCCGAAGGTGCTACGGCGAACGGACGGAACGACGAACAGAGTCCCCTACTCCCCCCCCCTCCCCCCTCTCCCCACCCCAGGCCCTGTGCCTTCCCCGCTCGGCCGCGCGCAGATGGCGTCGATACAATGCAAAATTTTTCTTGACGCACTTGTGCTTGGAAATTTCTTGATTCAAGAACTCCCGTTCTTGTTTCAAGACGTGGAATCAAGAATTTTGATTCAAGAAAAGTATTTTTCTTGGATCAAGAATCTATTTTTCTGGGTGCACGGAGAGGCCCTCTTGCACCAGGAAGTGATGGAAGACGACGACGCCCACGCACATGTATGTCTTGAGCCCCGACAATCCAGGGATCGAGTCTCTTTCGGCGGGCTGCGTCAGATCAGCCCATTGGCGGCGCATAGCAAAAGCAGACAGACCTTGCAGCCCTGGAATTGATCAGGCAAGAAATTACTCCAAATCTAGGGAGAATGACAAAATATACTTTGATGCTATGCGCGCAGTTATGCGGGCAAAAATTTTGCCGTGCCCGCAGGTGCCCGAAGAATATGCCTTCCGTTCTTTTCAAGTCCCAAGTCTGGAGCAGTAGAGCAGTGTTTGGCGACTTTTTGGAGAAAAAAGGTAAGTTTGGCAGTAAAAAGAAAGAGAGGAAAAGTTTGGCCGAAGGAACTTCGAATTTTGTCAGTGCTTCCGGCAAATCATTTACATTTTTGGCTGAGCGATAGCGAAGCCTGTTACTCCAGTGCGGTTGAAAAGTTTTGTCTGTCTGTCCGTCTGTCTGTGTGTGTGTGTACACTACTCCTCCTGAACGGCTCGGCCGATCTGGCTGAGATTTTGCAGGCTTATTAGGTATATTCTTGGCTCGGCACACGCGAAATTTCACTATCCCAGCTCAACTAGTTCAGTTATTATAGCCGAAAAACACCTAAAAAACGGCGAAAAATCGAGTTTTCTGCAGGTAGATCACCTCTGTCTTGAAGAAAGGGGAGTCTGGGGGGCGGGGCCCCCAAACTTCGCCAAGTTTAAAAGTTACAAGGGTCAAGATCGTGTTATCTGTAGATGAAGCAACTCTTTCTAGAATAAAGGGGGGTCAGCATGCAACACGTAAAGAAGTAACCGACGATGGACAAGCCAATGCCTGCCGAAGGCAGGCTAGCGCCGCAGGCCAAGGTAGGTCCGCCAGGCGCGGATTGGAGGAACAGGCCGCGAGATATCGCGAAGCCTGTTACGACAAGACGCGGTCTGGCGTATACCTACCTTGTTTAAATTGTCATTCAGCGCTATGTCAACGAGAAATGTCAACGAGCAATTAACATGTCATTCCAACAGTGCCATGATACATGACATGAAACACCTCTCCACCACCAAAAAAAGGTGTCATTCCAGCTGCTTTCAGGCGGTTCACATCCCCTAGCCAAAAATAGCGGCAGAAGACGGGTGCTTTCTGACAGCTGCAGAAATGTTTCTTATAAAAAGATGCCGTTTTCTCCGAAAAATCACTTGTTGCTGTGTATTCCGGCCGGAATTACCGTACGCGCCTCTTCTACTACCAACAGTAAGTGTCATCTGTTCCCGCGGACGTACTTTGCATGTTCGGCCATGTGCTTGAGAGGTTAGGTCGGTACCGTGATGAACGGGCGAAGATCTTGACCTGTTGTCACTTGCCTCTTGTCTCATTCATTATACTGGTCATGTCATTGAATGAATGAAAACTTAATGTGGCATCTTTCCTTCCTTGTGCCATTTATGACATTGAATTATTGGGAGCTTTTGGCAAAGCAAACATGTTCGCTCACGATAGATGTTACTTGTGTTGCAGTGATCGATGTCGCCAATTTGAGCAGTCGGCGAAACCGCCGATGTGTGTACGGGCTGAGGGGCTTGCGCCTGCGGCCCAACCCGCCCCCCAGGAGGCCTACTGGGGTGAGTTATTTTGTTGTGTTTGCCCTTTCCTCGTCGGTGAACCTTACTCTTGGGTTGCTATCCTCTCCACATGTTAACGAGCTATCCATGGGTTTCAGTCTTAACTTCACTGTCCCGAACTTTGTTTAACAGTATTGCTCGTGAATTTTGTCCTCAACTCTGAGCTGCTTGTCCCTCCCCCTTCGGTGTTCCCAACACTAAATGCTGTGCCCTGCTGACATGAAATTTTCCGGGGATGTTGTTGCGTAAACTATTCTGTTTGCCTTCTCCCCTTCGGTGTTTCCAACACTGAATGCTCTGTCAGTATTGTTCTGAAATTTTGTTGTCAACTCTTGAGTTCATTAAAGAAAATACTTTGTAATTTAAGAACTATTTCTTAGAGTAACACAGTAAATTAGTTTGTATGTATGCTCAATACTTTGTCAGGTTTAAAGGGTGCACTGTAACTTATAGATTTATTGACGATTTGTTACAGGGTGCGGTTGGTGCCGGGGCGCATCCCCAACCCCCCAACAGCAACACCGCACACTCCAACTCCAACTGACTCCTAACCACTCCGACGCTGCAACCCACCTCCCAGTCATCCGGACGAGGCTGGTTGGCATCCGCAGAAGTTATTCAACATCGCAGCCGAGGGGTCGGGGGGTTTCAAGTTTGTGTTTGGTTTTTATTATATTTATTATTTCAAGTGATGTTGTGCACAGTAGTTGACACAACTACACGGATCCCGTAAGTTTTTTTAATGTTAACTTACTTCCCTAAGAGAAGTCATTACATTGATACAAGAGCCAAATGTATTTCTACTAGAAGCAAAGTGATTATTGTATTTAAAACCATTTCCAAATTTCCCAAGTGAAGTCATTACATTGATTATTGTGATGCAAGAGCCAAATGTATTTCTACTAGAAGCAAAGTGATTATTGTATTTAGAACCATTTCCAAATTTCCCTAAGAGAAGTCATTACATTGATACAAGAGCCAAATGTATTTCTACTAGAAGCAAAGTGATTATTGTATTTAAAACCATTTCCAAATTTCCCAAGTGAAGTCATTACATTGATTATTGTGATGCAAGAGCCAAATGTATTTCTACTAGAAGCAAAGTGATTGTTGGCTGAGCGATAGCGAAGCCTGTTACTCCAGTGCGGTTGAAAAGTTTTGTCTGTCTGTCTGTCTGTCTGTCCGCACTACTCCTCCTGAACGTCTCGGCCGATCTCAATGAGATTTTGCACACTTTTTTGGTATGTCCTTGGCTCGGCACACCCGAAATTTCACTATCCTAGCTCAACTGGTTCGGTTTTTATAGCCGAAAAACACCTAAAAAACGGCGAAAAATCGAGTTTTCTGCAGGCAGGTCACTCCTGTCTTAAAGAAAGGGGTCTGGGGGGCTCCGCCCCCCAGCCTCAGCAAGTTAAACAGTGACAAGGGTCAAGATCGTGTTATCTGTAGATGAAGTAACTCTATCTAGAATGAAGGGGGGCCTGGGGGCGGAGCCCCCCAGCATGCAACAAGGTAGAAGTAACCGACGGTGGACAAGCCGTTGCCTGCCGAAGGCAGGCTAGCGCCGCAGGCCAAGGTAGGTACGCCAGGCGCGGATTGGAGGAACAGGCAGCGAGATATCGCGAAGCCTGTTACGACAAGACGCGGTCTGGCGTAAACCTACCTTGTTTAAAAATATTGAACAATTTCTAATTAAATGAAAAAAAGAGTCAAGACTGACTTCTGTTTAGAGTCTTGAAACCACATTTTAAAAATGCAATAAAACAAAGTGCATTATTTAAAAAATTGAAGTCTTAGGAACTGTGCGAAGCTTTGCCGGCAGAATGTGTATCTTTTTGATGGCACTTCAAAGACTTTTTGAGGCAATCTTTCTACAGGTTTATCAGGATTGTGTGACAGTTCAGGTGGACCTCCAATGAACAGGACGGCCGGCCGTTCACTGAGATTCCAAACGCGATGAGTTTAGCACGTATGGTGCGATGCAGCTGAGATATCGCACCATACGTGCGATGCGATAGCCATCGCACCATGCGTGCGATGCATCCCGAAAGTGCCCTATGCTAATGCATGGGAATGGGGAGTCATCGCACTTCATGTGCGATGCTTTTGAATCGCACCAATTGACGCTATACTCATCGCGTTTGGATTCTCAGTGTTCCACGTCTGCCCAGCTCCATTTCCTTTCCTGTGTTCATACACTGTGGTGTCACAATAAGAACGACGCGCGATGATATTAGGACGTGTCCGTGTCAAAGAGTTTCAAGTTTTAGAGAGCGATATTTAACATAACATATCATATAGCTAGGACACTGGTAAAACTAAAGCGTAACTCTATGCTTGAGTCAAGCATAAAGTTACGCTTGAAGACGTTACGCTTGAAATGAAGCATACTTGGGATATTCCCCCATGCATTGAGATAGGGAGAATCTTGGCCGATGAGCCTGATTCGCTTGATTTCAAGCATACACTGATTGCGCTTGAAAACGGAGGGTATAATACTACGTTTCAGTTTTACCAGTGGATGGATGATGGACGGAGAACCATTGCAGATCCACCTTACCTTGGACTTTCTTCAGGCCAGCTACAACATTTAGATCAATGATGCTGCCAGCGAGGACCAACAAAGCAATGAGCACTGTTACACTGCAAAAAAGAAAGAAAAATTAAGAATATCCACTTAGTAACTCCAGGAGAGGATGTAATACCTAACGGAGATAACTGAGATAACTCGGCCACAAGGCTGAGCAGTGCTTTTCTGTAATTTGTTGTTAAGCGTCCTTCGCGAATGTGGACTCCCTTCACTTCTTTTTCTTATTTTTATCACAATGATTATTGGACGAAGTGTACACACGATTACCAGAGTGGCTGACCCTCGGAGATAACTCATTTTAGGAGTCGGGTCAAACAATTTGGTGTAATGATGCAAACCATCCTGAGGCAAAATGGTAAGATAAAAACTCAATTTGGAGATGAGTCCAATTATTCCCTTCTTCCGCTTCCTGGATCAAATGTCATGGGACTTCGTTCCGTGCAATTTTTAGCCCATACCAACGGTGAAAACCATCCCGTGTCCGACAGCACAAATTGTCAAACAAAGGTTTGATTTGCAGTGGGCGGGGGACAATATGTGTCGCCAGAATAGGGAAAGAGAAGGCTCTGGGCCCCTTGGGATGTGTGGTTCCAATTACACTCCCACAATCTCAGCACGATTTTGACTTCAATGTGGAGATGTGTCAAGCTGACTCACCCCGCGAGGACCATCCTGGTGCTGCTGCCGTCCGTGACGTGGTGGCGGCGGGTGCAGAACTTAGGGTGCTCCACCGCCGCGGCCCAGCGCACGTCCCCGTCCGACTGGGGATGGCGCCGCGCCGCACGGTTCACGGCCTCGGCGGAGCAGGACGCCGGCAGGCACACGCCGAAGCGCAGCCTGCCCAGCGGGACCACGGCACGGTGCTGCCCGTGGCCCTGTGGCGCGCACACCAAATGTATTTTCAAATAACAGGAAAAGTAGCGATATACATCGGCAACTTTGGCCCGTCCCGTACATTAACAAATGTGTGAATTTCGCCTTTGTTTAACCCTGACGGGTTTGAACCTGAGTCTGGGATCAAAAGAGATGTTATTTTCGTCATCAGCGCCCTCAAAAACCTAAGAAACAATGCAAAAACTCGAATAAAAAGAATGTTCAAAATATACCCCACTGGGATTTGAACCCGGGTCCAAACTTCTCCGATTCGCTTGAAACTGGCACCGTTGGTTTTGTCTCGTCGCCCCGATTCCAAAAATACCCCTACATGCCCTGCTAGCTGTATCCGTTGCCGAAATCCTCCTCGACCCCATGTAGACCATGATGCACCTGCAGCAGCGCCCCCCGGGGCTCGGATCGGATTTGCTGCCACCGGGCGGTTCTTAGGGTCACCCAAGGAGGCTGCATACCAAATTTGGTCAAGATCGGACCACGGGAAGTCCTCGGACGAACGGACGAACGGACGCACAGCAGGGATCATACTATATGCCCGTCCCTCCGTCATTTTTTTACAAAAAAATAAACGGGACGGGCCAAAAAAAGCACCAGGCGTCACAGCTTTTTTTGTGCAGGAAAACAACAAGGATCAACTTTTTGTACTATGCTCAAAGGAACGTGACATTTTGTCACGTTTGTTTGAACGTATGCCACGGTCCTGAAATGACAGTGTGGGAACAAATGGCCCAAACTCGGGCAAAACCGGATCTTTTCCCGCACCTGCGGTACTTTCATGGAGATTCCCGGAGAATCTTCGTTTATCACCAAGGATCTTCGCAATTTAACGAAGGGTTCTTCGACTTAACCCTTCCCAGAGGTCTCATCGTAAATCATACAGATTTATTCTCGCAGTGCCCTATCTTCATCATGGCGTGGACGTTGGCGTAGGGGCCCACGTGATTCACGGTGCCCCAGGCTGCGGTCCCCGAGGCGGTGGAGGGGCGGAAGGGGTCGGTGCGCAGCGTCACCAGGCAGTACTGCGGCTCCACGGGTGCAGCGGTGGCGTGCGGCCAGGCCAAGCCCAGGCACTCGTCGAAGTCGCCCAGGCTGTCCGTCACGCCGCGCAGCAGGCCCGGCGAAGGGCCCGCGCTGCTGGCGTCCAGCACTGGGCACGGAACAAAGCGCTCACCGCATCTTCACTCCCATGCCAGGAACAGGACATAACGTTCAAACGAATGTGACAAAATGCAGGGGGCGGCACGGCCTAGGAAGCGCGTGAAGCCATGCGCGAGTGAGGTGCAGGGGTTACTTATTTTGCTTCGATTGTAAGATCTAGCCCGTTGCTTGCAAAACGCTTTGCACAGATCGAAAGAGCACAAAATTTGGGGTGCATTAGGCCTAGTAGACTGCCCGATACTTTCAATACAACCGAACACAAGGGCGGAATCATTTACATTAACATGGCGCATTTGAGTTTTTAGCAGATGATACCTTTACTTAAAAACATACCTGAAACTACAACTACAAGACATATAAAGGTGTCAGCTAGCTTTTACTCGAGAGTCCAAAAACCAAGTGTATATCCAACAATATAATGGGGGCTGGCTGCCGGGGCGGGATGGTGCGTCTGTCTGGCTGTGCCTTGCCTGCGCCGCAGCCTGCGCGGAATTCGACAATGGCACCCCCGTCTGGCGCGCGACGGCCGGGCTGCGCGCAACATTGGCAATGCCTCCCCGCTACGGCGCAGATGCACTGCGTGCTCGCAAACCAAACGGACACGGCGCGGCGGCGGTGCAGGCCACGGCACAAAGGACTCAGTTTTTAGCAGATGATTCCTTTGCTTTAAAACATACACCTAAAACTATTAAATACTATCTTTGGAATGAGCCCATACTACCCAGTAGAAGAAAACCAAACGCGTATCATCTGCTTTCATTAACGTTCGTTGAATGAGATTTTTCCCTCAATTTTATGATTTTTGTGTTTTTGGTGATTTTACTGCACCTTAAAATTAGGTTAGGGGGGAGTTTCAAGAACAGCAATTAGCCTAATGCACCCTAAATTTCAAGCCCTTTCCATCGGTGCAAAGCGTTTTGAAAATCACAGTCTGGTTTTATAATTTTCGAACAAGGTTGCGAAAAACCTTTGCACAGAAAAAGAACTGGGTTTGGCCGGCTGGCGATTTCAATACAACGAACACAAGGGCGGAATCATTTACATTAACATGGCGCATTGAGTTTTTAGCAGATGATACCTTTACTTAAAAACATACCTGAAACTACAACTACAAGACATATAAAGGTGTCAGCTAGCTTTTACTCGAGAGTCCAAAAACCAAGTGATATCCAACAATATAATGGGGGCTGGCTGCCGGGGCGGGATGGTGCGTCTGTCTGGCTGTGCCTTGCCTGCGCCGCAGCCTGCGCGGAATCGACAATGGCACCCCGTCTGGCGCGCGACGGCCGGGCTGCGCGCAACATTGGCAATGCCCCCTTGCGTCACGGCGCAGATGCACTGCCTGCTCTGCAAACCAAACGGACACGGCGCGGCGGCGGTGCAGGCCACGGCACAAAGGACTCAGTTTTTAGCAGATGATTCCTTTGCTTTAAAACATAACCACGTTAAACTATTAAATACTATCTTTGGAATGAGCCCATACTACCCAGTAGAAAAAACCAAACGCGTATCATCTGCTTTCATTAACGTTCGTTGAATGAGATTTTTCCTCAATTACAGAGGTTGCCTGCCTCCTGGTGCACTTTACTGCCACCTTAGTCAGCCGCCCTCTGGCCCATGGGCGAGTTTCAGGCACCAGCAACTTGAGCCTAATGCCGGCCAATTCGAGCCGAGCTCCATCGGGCAAGCGTTGGCACGCCTGGTTCAACCGGACCATCCCAGATCTCTACTTGCACTGACGGCGCGAGCATCGCTCCACGCTCTCCCTAGGCCGTTGCCGCCCCCCTGCAAAATGTCACGTTCCTTTGAGCATTGTGTCATGTCCGTTTGAATGGAATGGAATAAGCTCTTGTATGGCCAGTTGGTTATTTTCCCAACTTTTCCGGGAACTTTCCCAACTGGGAAAACCCTGTACAGGAATGATGTGAAGACGAACCCAGAGGTGAAGGCAAGTTGCTTGATGATTTGTCAACCCTAAAAATAGGTGACATACTGGTAGGTGCCCAGAAAGTGGGCGCCAAAGCCACCCTAAAAAGTGGAGCAGGCGACAAAGGCACTCAGTCTGACAAAAGTCGAGTGAAGAGCACCATAGTGTTTTGAGATTTACAGACCTGCTCTACAAATCCCAGAGCCGAGACCAAAAGTCTCGCCAAGTTTAGGTCACACCTCAAAGCAGTGGTGGATCCAGAGGAAGCCTGGCCTTGGGGGGGGGGGGGGGGGGCAAAGTAGCACTTTATGCCTACCTTTCAGGCCCCCTCTTTTGGCCTGACCAAATTTTGGTGAAACTTTGAGGTCTGACCAAAACTTGGCGAGACTTAATGTCTCGCCATATTTTGGCGCGAAGTCTTTCCATCCAAATTGCAGCGTGATCTGAGTGGTTCACAGAAATAGGACTTACTTCTCGCGGCCCAAGCCGAGTGGTTGTGAAAATGTTCCATGACCAGGCGGCTATCCGCAGCGCACTGTCGATCCTCGGGGTGGATGTCCGCCTCGTCCGCCGCGTCGGCAAGCCAGGTCCCGATCCACGATGGCCAAGGGACCAGACGGCTGGGAGCGAGCTGCCCTGCGGCCGGCGCACCTAGCGATCACAGAGCATGACCTCAGGATTCGACTTCGGAGTGGTAACCCCACACCGTTAAAAATCCACTGTAATATTACAACACAATCACCTACAGTAATGCTGTTTAATAACAACAGTATTGTTTTGTGTCTGAACGGGAAACCCATCCAGAAACAGCACTTTCGTTTCATAACAATTTCCTTGTCAAGTAACAACAATGTAATCGTTATTCAAAATAGTTGTGTTGTCGTTGAACAGGTTTCATGTTTAGAAACAGCCTTTTGCAATCTTAAAACATATATTGTTGTCAGGTTACAAGGGTCTTGTTTAATAACAGCACGATGAAATCAACACAAATGTTGGGAAGACATCGTTGAAGACTCCAAAGAAGTATTGTTTTATTACAATCGAACTGTCAGAAAACAGCACCGAGGGCTACAACATGCTTATAATAATAAAACAAGTCGTGCTGTTATCAAACTTAACAGCATAAGTGCTGTTAATTTACAGCAATTTTTTTTAACAGTGCAGCACGCCGCGGTGTCGCAAAAGTTGCCCAACGACAGAAGCAAAGTGTGACACTTCCCCCTGCCACTGAATCGACGCCGGTTTATTGTACTTGCTAAGTTCGCTGTTGCCAGTGTGTTGAATGAAGTGTACACTGTAAAAAATTATGTTGTAATTTAGCAGTAAATATGTTGCTAATTTTCTTAGCGATCAAAGTTGTTTTCAAATGACTTTCGTTGTTTACTAACGAGTTGCGTCGTTCGTCCACAAGATGTTTGTAAACCGGTAGACAGCCTTATTTGCATCAATTTTTATTGCCGATTAGGTCACAGACCTAGTAGAGTCCCGGTTACCCCGCAGTAACCACTTCTTAGATTGTCCGGGTTGTTTGTACGCAGCAAAATATTGTTTTGAAACAGCATAAGTCATAAAAATAATTAGCAACGAATTCGTCGTTTTAAAACAAGCAAACTTGTTCACAAACAACAGCGTTGTCGAGGTTGGTAATTGTGTTGTTGTTTTAAAACAACAATTTTTAACAGTGTAAAGTAAATATGTTAGGTTCAAAGGGTCACCCGGGTTTGCGATTCCCACGATTTTTCGCACTCTGGAGTGCTATAATTTAATTATTGCATATTATTTTTGCAATTACCACTCCCAATTTTTGCGATAAAGAGCGTTCCTTAGTAACTTTTATAACACTTCTTTTATGCGATAACTTTTTACAGCATTTCGCTTGTATTCATTGTAACAAAAAAAGTGATACTTTATTGCAGAATGAAGTTAAAATTTTTAATGCAGATTTTTGTGAACCCCATTGCAAAAAAAAAAAAAAAGGCCCAACTAAAATTTTTTTCCAGTAATGAAAATTGCGTTCTAAGAGCGAAAAATTTGTTGGACGAGCGGAAAGTTCATTGCAGCAGTGAATTCGTTGGTTGACACTACCGAATTAAGAGTCTGCTACTGCAACAATCCAATTTGCTGCTGCAACGATGGATTCGTTGTTGAGGCAACAAAATTTTCTGCTCTCCTTACGACATTTTCGCTACTGGTACGGAACATCTTAGTTGGGCCAAAACCAACCGAAGCATTGGTTGGGCTCACTAAAATTTGGTTGGACTAATTACTTCTTTTTCGTGCTTACCTCCGTGCACCTGTGCGGCCGCTGCGACGAGCAGCTCGAACGCGAGTATGAACACAGCGCGATGACCCATCGTGGCAACGTCTCTGGCTGAGCTCGTGACGGTGACTACGAACACGAACCGGTTCGCACCACGACCCACAGAGTAGTCACTTGGAATCGCTCCAGAGCCTAGTAGCCACGTGCTGCACTGCAAACATGAGAGAAGGGCGCCCTGGAGTCCCAGCTTTTTCGGGCCGGGACGCCGCCTGGCCGAGGTTTGCACCACTTTGCGGCTAAACGGCTCATCGCACAACATTTCTGACAAGCTCAGAAGATTCAGGAAGGTCTTTTACGTGCCCCGGCGTCGTTACATTTTGATTTGGTCAACCGGGGACCGAATGCGGCGAGCCTGAAGGGCGGCAGTGTGGCGCGGCCGAGGGTCCGCAGCGGCTGGCTGCCTGATGGCTGGCCGCCGGCTACCCCCACCCTACCGCTACAGGCCAGTAGACACCGATTTCTTGGTTCAAACTTGTGTTAGGTGTCATATTACACGCTTAGACGAAGACAACGTGTCGTTTTCACCGTTGTTTCTTCTTAAAAGGCACGAAATATTCATCAAGCGGTAGGGTGGGGGAAGCCGGCGGCGGCCAGCCATCAGGCAGCCATCAGGCAGCCAGCCGCTGCGGACCCTCGGCCGCGCCGCACTGCCGCCCTTCAGGTTCGCCGCGTTCGGTCCCCGGCTGACCAAATCAAGATGTAACGACGCCGGGGCATGTAAAAAACCTTCCTGAATCTTCTGAGCTAGTCAGAAATGTTGTGCGATGAGCCGTTTAGCCGCAAAGTGGTGCAAACCTCGGCCAGGCGGCGTCCCGGCCCGAAAAAGCTGGGACTCCAGGGCGCCGGGCGCCCTTCTCTCATGCTGTAAAGCACCGGCGCTCTTATTGGCTGAGCGATAGCGAAGCCTGTTACTCCAGTGGGGTTGAAAAGTTTTGTCTGTCTGTCTGTCTGTCGGTCTGTCTGTCCGCACTACTCCTCCTGAACGGCTCGGCCGATCTCGGTGAGATTTTGCACACTTCTTGGGTATGTCCTTGGCTCGGCACACGCGAAATTTCACCATCCTAGCTCAACTGGTTCAGTTTTTATAGGCGAAAAACACCTAAAAAACGGCGAAAAATAGAGTTTTCTGCAGATAGACCACTTCTGTCTTGGAGAAAGGGGGGTCTGGGGGGCGGAGCCCCCCAGCCTCGACAAGTTAAAAAGTGACAAGGGTCAAGATCGTGTTATCTGTAGATAAAACAACTCTATTTAGAATGTAGGGGGGTCTGGGGGGCGGAGCCCCCCAGCATTCAACAAGTTAAAAAATAACCGACAACGGACAAGCCATTGCCTGCCGCAGGCAGGCTAGCGCCGCAGGCCAAGGTAGGTACGCCAGGCGTGGATTGGAGGAACAGGCAGCGAGACATCGCGAAGCCTGTTACGACAAGACGCGGTCTGGCGTAAACCTACCTTGTGACACGGTTCGCCGAAAGGATTGCCCTCAGGCTTCAAGGACATAGGATACACCTCTCAAGTTGCCTATTCTGTTCTGAGCTTAATTGAAATATTGACAAAGTAGGCTAATTGTGGCTTAGGAAAAAGGCTCAACGTGTCGCACTGAGCAATAAATGATAAGACATATGTCCAAATTGATCCCGGAAGCGGAAGAAGGGGATAACTCCATTTTGGCAATTTTTCAGGGGAAAGAAAAAAACTGTTGGCAGGGAAAACTAAAACTAGACAAAGTAATGATAACAAGTTCCAGAAGCGTACACTGCAAATCCAAAGGCGATACTTGAGGGTTTGTTTTAGCGACACAATCGAGTATGGCCAACAAACGACCTTTCCGCAAAATCTTGCCTTGAAAACGGTAATGCACAAAAGCATTGCAAAAATTTGGCGATACTTTCGAGTATCGTCAAAATTTGGCAATAAACAAAGAACTAGTCCCCTTGAATTGTACAAAGTTTCTTGCCAAATGATCCAGGAAGCGGAAAAAGGGAATAATTCGACTTATCTCCAAGTTGAGTTTTTCAAATTTGATTATATTATAAGGAAGGTGTTCGCCAGACCGTGTCTTGTCGTAACAGGCTTCGCGATGCTGCGCCAGTTTCGACAATCCACGCCTGGCGTATACACCTACCTTGCCCTGCGGCGCTAGCCTGCCTTCGGCAGGCTGTACTTGGCCAAGCATGCGTTTGTAAATGTGTACTTGGAAGCATGCATTTTTAAGTGTGTACTTAGTAGACAGTTAGGTTTGCACTGTAGTCATTATTATTTGATTGGAACAGTGTTCACTAGGGTGGGCCGTGAAACACGATTTTTCGATATCGCAACCGTAATAGCGCGCCAAAGTTACTTCATGGCAATACAAACTCAACGCGATCTGGGCCAGGTCTGTAACTTAAAGCTTGACCCTCGCGCATCCACGTTGAAAATTGGAAAATTCGACTTTTACGGGTTTTTCTAAAAACAGCCATAGAAACTGAACCAGATGTCCAAATGATGTTTCCGAGACGGAAATGGAAACGTCTGATCATGCTTTATCAGTTTATGACCACCGGAACCCTCTACGAGCAGTAGGGGGCCGATGGGAGAAAATAACAAAATAACAATTTTTTTCCGTTTCTTCCAAAATGCAAAAATTGCCTTCAGGGTTTGATACGGCCATCCTGACGTCACCGTACCCGAACCATACCCCGAATCTTCTTCTCTAAGGGCCCATTTCCCGTTTTAAGCACACGGGGTACCCCGGGATCCGTTCACACGTTAGGATTTGGACGCCAAAAACACATGTTTTACTAAATATGCAAATTATCGGTACTCAGGGCACTGTAGGGCACTCGTCTCGTCCGTATGAACTGTAGGGACTCAAAATCGATTACTAGATGGTGTCTTGGCGTCACAGGCACCTACTAATATATTGACAATCAGATGGAGAGACCTTTAAAACGCTATTTCCATTGAAGGTTCGGTTAAATCCGTTTTCCAACATTAGGTTTTCACTATACTGCTCTTGGCTCGCCCGGAAAATCCGAGACGACTCAGCCCTCACCACGAGAAGGTGGCAGCACGTCGAGATGCACCACCACCCTTACCCAACCAACCACAGATGGGGCTGCGACACACTGGTAAAAATGTCGTACATTTTAAGGAAAAAGGTACGGCTAGACCGTACCACACGATGTACAGAACAGCTGTCCCAATAAACCGTGCTTCCCATGAGAGCCCATGTCATGAAAAACCGTACTCCGTACCCCAAAAGCCGTACTGGCTGAGGTACGGTGGTACCAGGCAAATGTTCTACGAGACTGTGCCTGTATTTTTTCCCGTGCATTTTTCCTACAGCGCATGTATAAGCTGACTCTTTGATACTGTATGCAGGAGAATGAAGCAAAACGCGAAGGTACAGTACGCCAGAACGAAGGTAAATGTCTACCTGTGAGAAAACATCACTTCCAAAGTGGTAAACTGGCGTAACATGTCCCTGCGGCTGTCGCAGGCTGTCCTACGCACAAATTGTAACGGTATTGAGAAACTACCTACAAAGCCAAACGAAACAGCGGCGTGTCTACGGGGGGCTCAGCTCTACTAGCGCACCAAGCGTAAGTTTATCCCCTGGGCCGTTGCAAGCGGACATAACAGTGAGAAAGGAAATGAGAATCTATACGATGGACAAGAAAAACCTGTATAAACGTGCAGCGACCTTCTGTCGTTAATCCAGACGAGCCATTCACGGCCTAAAATAGTTTTAACTCCAGATTAACGACATTTACAGTGTAAATACCGTTCTAAAGGTCTTTTCGTCCGATTGTCTATATACTGGTGGGTTCCTGCGACGCAAAGACACCATCCAGTAATCGATTTTGAGTCCCTACAGTTCATACGGACGAGACGGGTGTGCCCTACAGTGCCCTGAGTACCGATAATTTGCATTTTTAGTGAAACATGTGTTTTTGGCGTCCAAATCCTAACGTGTGAACGGATCCCGGAGTACCCCGTGCGCTTAAAACGGGAAAGGGGCCCTTAGAGAAGAAGATTCGGGGTATGGTTCGCGTACGGTGACGTCAGGATGGCTGTATCAAACCCTGAAGGCAATTTTTGCATTTTGGAAGAAACGGAAAAAAATTGTTGTTTTGTTATTTTCTCCCATCGGCCCCCTACTACTCGTAGAGGGTCCCGGTGGTCATAAACTGATAAAGCATGATCAGACGTTTCCATTTCCGTCTCGGAAACATCATTTGGACATCTGGTTCAGTTTCTATGGCTGTTTTTAGAAAAACCCGTAAAAGTCGAATTTTCCAACTTTCAACGTGGATGCGCGAGGGTCAAGCTTTAAGTTACAGACCTGGCCCAGATCGCGTTGAGTTTGTATTGCCATGAAGTAACTTTGGCGCGCTATTACGGTTGCGATATCGAAAAATCGTGTTTCACGGCCCACCCTAGTGTTCACAAGTTGCAAACCACTCAGGGACCTCATGAGTGGTTGGTTGATTGGGATGGTCTGTGGACTTACGCCTGTTCGCCAGAAAGGTCCATGGAACTTACGCCTGATTGTCAGAATGCTCTATGGACTTACGCCTGTTTGTCAGAATGTTCTAGGGACTTACGCCTGTTTGTCAGAATGACCCATGGACTTACGCCCGTTTGTCAGAATGGCCTATGGACTTACGCCTCTTTGTCAGAATGGCCAATGGACTTACGCCTCTTTGTCAAAAACCCACCTGGACTTACGCCTCTGTCTTAAAAATCACCTGGACGTACGCCTCTTTGTCAAAAAACCACATGGACTTACGCCTCTTTGTCAGAAAACGGGTGGACTTACGCCCCTTTGTCAAAAATGGAATGGACTTACGCCCTTTGGACACCTTCTGTATCTTCTGAACTAATTGAGATATTTTCATTTTTCAAAAACCAGTAGGCTTGTTATTTAATTTTAAATTATTTTCTGGAAAAAAGTGGATTTTGCCAATTTGTGGACTTACGCCCCTTTGTCGAAAAACCAGTGAATTGAAATACAATAGAAAATAGCAAAGTAAGTACATGCAGTAAAAAATAAATCATGCTTTTAGGGGAAAATTCTAATAAAATAATTTAATTGAAATACAATGGCAACTTGATAAAATCAATTACAAAAGCACGTACAATACCGTTACTGGATTTACTTTGCAATTATTGCTTACGCTAGAAGGATGCCTTTTCAGGTCATTAAATTGCTCTCACATCCCATCCGCCTGACGGCATAGGCAGGCGAGATAGTTTGGAGGTACACTTATCACTACCCCACATAGTACATACTTGTGCATGCGAGTAATGATCGTGGGTATGTCTTGTAGGGAGATGGTTTTGAATGCCATCTTCAATGACATTTTGTTCGCTCCAAACAGTGGTGCTACAAAAAGATCTATTCTTATGAACTCCTTGAAGAGGCATTCACACTCTGGAATTCCATTACATGTGTCGGGACACCTGTGAATAGAGGGTGAAAAACTGAGGTTCAAATTTCCTTGAACGCTTTCGTGTATAGCCTCTTCCAATGCCGCGACTCCTTTCTCCATAATAACATCACGGTGTGGAACAATCTGCTCAACACTTTCGGTTCCTGACACGCTGACCTCAGCTGAGCAAGGAAGTCGAACCTCAGCACTGGGTGCGTTGCTCAGAAGGAGCGGCATCAAGTCTTCCAGAAACATGAAGCAGTCGAAGCTCACCTTAATTTTGTTACATCTGTTCTATCACGGTTGCAGAAAGTTTCTTATTCCAACGTCCTTTTTCAAAGAAGCGACCGTTTTTGGGGTAACCTGTACACAAGCGAAAAGGAGCCATACTATTGGTTGGGTTTGGCTCGGCTCCCCCCTCTCTCTTCCCTTTTCGTTGACGAGTCGAGCTATGCTATGGAAACAGTGATTTTGACGGCAATTTTCTCAAAATTTATCGCTAAGATTTCAACCATATTCCAGAATTGAAATCACGTCTCAGAATTCTACCAGTCTGCAAAATCTCATCAAAATCGTATAGAGAGGTTTCGACTTGCATAAGGGGCCACGCGATCAAATCCCAGCGAGGCTGAATCCTGGGGGATACTATAAGGCTACTTCGTGCCTAAAAACAGTCATCTCAACTTATATTTACTTAACGGAACGGAACTTGGAGACAAGTTTAGTGGAAAGATAGTCAGCAGAAAATGTTGGTTCCTCTGGACTGTGAAATTTGAGTTGTCATTTGCTGACAATTGCAAGGCTAAATTTCCTTACCACACCGTCATCAAAACAATTGATGACATTGTTGTCACGGCCATGCAATAAGTATAGGACCTTTGATGAAAATGTCATTGGCTGAGCGATAGCGAAGCCCGTTACTCCAGTGGGGCTAGAAACTTTTTCCTGTCTGTGTGAGTGAGCGTGTTTGTGTTTACACTACTACTCCAGAACGGTTGAGCCGATTCAGCTGAGATTTGGCAGGATCATTGGATATGTCCTTGGCTCACCACACACCAAAATGCTGCTTTGTATCTCAATCCATGTGGTCATTACAGCCAAAATTCACTTTAAAAACGGCAAAAAAGAAGATTAACTTTTTACCGACATATGTTGTCGAGGGGTCGGCAACTCATATATTACTTCGTGGGCGGTGGCTAAATTACCCGTATATTACCATATATTACTTGCATATTACCACAATTTCGCCTCTTTAATACCCCTATATTACTGTATATTAGTTTGTATTACTTTGTATTACACATATATTACCTATATTACTGGTAATATACGTATACTCCCTCGTACACGGCCAAGGGAACTTGCCGACCGCTCGTATGTTGTCATGTTAAGTTATACATCATTTCATAAGTTTTGGAGGTTGCTGGTAATGAAACTGGGATTCAATCCGACCTCCGACCCAGGTTCAAGTCCCAAAGTTAGCCGGAATTTTTAGCGGTGTCAAACCAAAAATGCGAACCAACGTCGTCGCCCCGTACTTGAAATGGGGGTAGCATAAAAGTTGGAACCGTATGCTGCTTAGACGTGCGACCAAGTCCATTAATGTGGCTATATGTGGCGAGAGAGTCTGCTGAAGGCAGGCCAGCGCCGCCAACTGTCTGGCGCGCACCTACCTTGTCTAACAGGATTTGGTGAAGTCCAAAGCTGTAAAGAAGAGAGGCCCTCGAAGGCAACCTGGGTCCAAAAACAAGGCTACTCTTGCCAAGGAGGCAAAGGCGCTTGCAAAGGCGCCGGCAAAGGCTGAAAAGAAGGTGAAGCAGGATAAGCAGCGTAAGTCAAATATGTGACATCTCTGCTTGTATTCACAATTTCATATTTTGAGCTTTTTTTACTCTATTGACAGGAAGCAAACGAGAGTAGATTTGTGCCATTTGTCTTGAGAAGCTTCCAACAACACAGTGGTTCTGCATGTGTTATTCAGAACTGTCAGGGCTTGCTGGAAGTGCGGTAGCGACTATGGATGCTTGTCCAGGACCAAAGCCTTGCTTTTGGTGCCAAAGACCACTGACACAACCTTATTTTTTATTTTTTTTGAAGAAAATTAGTAACATTCTATTAAGTTTAGTTATTCTTTATAATGTTTTGACTAGTGTTGGTCACTCATGTTTATTGTCTGAGCTTAAACAATCTTCTTTTTTTTTACTTTTCAGACAAATCATAGCAATGTGAACCTGTATGATACTTTCAATTTTGAGTATGTTAATCATTGTGTTCTGAAGCCATTGCGTTACAGGGAACGCCTTTTAATTTTTTTAATCATTGTTTTTTTTTGTTTGTTTTTGAGGGACTGGTGGGACACAATTGTGTTCTAAAGTATGTTCGAATAAACACCTTCCAACTTTTTTGATCATTGGCTGGGCGATAGCGAAGCCTGTTACTTCAGTGCGGTTGAAACGCTTTGTCTGTCTGTCGGTGTTGCTCACTCGAACGCTAGAGGTCTGCTGAGGCCTAACAGCGCTGATGTTGATGAAGATGTGTGTTTGTGTGTGTGTGTGTGTGTGTGTGTGTACACTACTCCTCCTGAACGGCTCGGCCGATCTGGCTGAGATTTTGCAGGGTCATTGGGCATGTCATTGGCTCGCCATACCAAACTTCAGCTTACTAACTCAATCCATTTGGTCATATTAACCAATAAACAGTTTAAAAAAGGCAGGAAAAAGACAACTCTTTAAGTACTTTCCAGTTATGGTCAACTTTCGTATCATGTCCTTTGGTTTTGAGGTTGCTGATCCCATCCTGACCCCTAAGTCCCATCAGTGAAGATTTTGATCACCAAATGATATTTTTGATCATGCCCATTGCTTCGGTTTGCCAGGCAGGCTAGCGCCGCAGCCCAAGTAAACGCGTGGTTTGTCGAAACTGGCGCAGCATCGCGAAGCCTGTTACAAGACAGAGTCTGCACTGTAAAAAAAACTCCGTACTTCTTAACGGACATGGTACAGAACAATATAGTACGGAGAAAAGTACGGAACGTTCCGTACTTGCTCCATGTGAACCCATGTAAATGGGCACGGAAAAAAGTACGGAAGCTCCGTTCTTGGCAAGCACGGACGTTGCAGGCAAATAATTATTGACCAGACAATGTTCCGTACATTTTCCGTACTTTTGTCTCACAGAGTGGCGTACGCCTACCTTGTCAATTTGTGATGAGATTGTCATCATTGGGAAGTGGTGTAAATATCAGCCACGTTTTTGTCATTGGCTGAGCGATAGCGAAGCCCGTTACTCCAGTGGCGTTGAAAAGTTTTGTCTGTCTGTCTGTCTGTGCGTGTGTGTGCGCACTACTCCTCCTGAACGGCTCGGCCGATCTGGCTGAGATTTTGCAGGCTTATTAGGTATGTTCTTGGCTCGGCACACGCGAAATTTCACTATCCAGGCTCAACTGGTTCAGTTTTTATGGCCGAAAAACACCTTAAAAACGGCGAAAAATCGAGTTTTCTGCAGGTAGATCACCTCTGTCTTGCAGAAAGGGGAGTAGTATGGCTACCCCATAGTCCCGGCCTGGTCCCGTGGTCCCCCATAGTCCCGGGTCTAACCCAACCTGAAAATTTTGGGGGTGATCCATTTTTTTCGATTTTTTTGGTGATTCGGCCAAGATTCGGGCTGTAACCCAACCCAACCTAAGTCGGTCTGTTGTCTCAAAACGACATGCTGCTGCCTCATACCGTCGAGTATCAGTTGTTGGTGCTGCACTTGTAGTTGCATGTTCTCCAAAATGGATAGAAGAGAAACCGAAGGAGGAGGGAGGGGGAAAGTTGCCATTACCAGAGCATTGAAGCAGCCTGGCGCGGCCCCCAGCCTCTCCTTGACGGGGCGCTGCAAACAGAAAAGGACAAAAAGTGTCAATACTCCACGCACCCCCCAAAACTTCAACGGGGAGTAGCGACAGAACACTTACGTGTGCGGGCTCAGAGGGAGGTCTGGTGGGGGCCCCCGGGGGCCTCTTGTTGGATGACCCCTTGAAGGGGGCGGCCCTGACCTCAGCGGCCTTCTTGGCCTGCTTGGAGAGGGAGGCGCCCAGGCGTTGAGCCGTAGACACACGTCGACCAGAAGTGGAGGCCGCGGGGGCCGCGGTGGCACTGGTGGCACTGGACGCGGCGCCCAGGCGTTGAGCCACAGACACACGTCGACCAGAAGTGGAGGCCACGGCCGCGGTGGCACTGGTGGCACTGGACGCGGCGCCCAGGCGTTGAGCCACAGACACACGTCGACCAGAAGTGGAGGCCTCGGGGGCCGCGGGGCCCACTGGGACCACGGCAGCTGGCTGAAAAATCACAACAGAGAATTAAACACAGCCCTCCGCGCCGACGATACCCCGCGCGCCAAGCTCAGCTGACCGGCCACTACACTGTCGCACCGCACCGCGCCGCGCCCCCTTCCCCTCGCCCAGCCGCGCCACTGCGCGCCAACAGCTGATTCAAAGACGGGAGGAAAACAGGCAAAAGTACAGGATTTTCCGATCAAATTTTCACGCGCCTCGCTCCGGCACAGCTAGGGCAAGGCCCTGGCTAACGATTCACCGAGCAAAACATCAGGACAGCACAGGGATCCTTAACTTACCTCATAAGGGCATCATAACGTTATGATATGAGTTAAAGTTATTACCCCTAACTTCTAACACCTTTTCAAAAGGGTAGGTTATTTTTTTATGTCTCGAATTTGTGTGGATATACTTTTGCAAGTACTTTCAGAAGTCCGTACCCTTAACCTTTAGCGAACATTGTCTTATGTTACGTTATGAAAGAAGTGTTAGTTAAATGTTAAGTTAAGTTAAGGATCCCTGGGACAGCACAAGAAACGCACGTGTTTACATTCAGAGGGAATGCCAAAAAAGCACACCATTTCGGCCGATTTTCAGTCAAGTTTTCGGATTTTCGAGAAAATTTCACCGCGCCTCGCTTCGGAATCGCTCGCCGCTGCGCCAGAACAAGCAGCCGACACGAAAACATTACGAGCTACAAGGAAAACAAAGAGACTTTGTTTTCCACAGGGGGAAGGACACATTGCACAGACTGATTTTCGCCAAAGTTTTCGGAATTTCGGGAGAATTTCAACGCGCCTCGCTTCGGAATCGCGCGCCGAAGCGCCAGAACAGAGAGAAAACAGTCGGAAAGAACTCCAAAGGCGCGCGAGCGACCCGAACGGGCCGCCGCGCCAACGCCACAACGCCCCGCTACACCCTTAGCGCACACAGAAATAACACTTTCCCCATGAATTTGAGATCACCGCGAGCACGACGCGACAGGGAACACACAGGATTAGCAAGACGAAAGCTCAAAACGAGCCAGAAGGGCGAGCACCGAGGGCCAGAGGGGCGAGCAGCGAAACGACGGCGAAAACGATCTCACACATTTAAAAACTCACCTCAGCGAAAATCTCTCCTGAGAGATTCATCCCTAGCGATAAACTACTGCGAGAGGAAGAACCTGACAATTCCAGGTCCTTCGCTAGTTGATTATCAGAATCCATAGCGTTTACGTTTCTCTCACTAACGACAGGACACGACACTTCACACAACAGTAGCTTGCAGCACAATGATGGCGGAACTCGTTTCGAACGGTTGGGGTTGGTTCAAAACGGAACCGGATAAGTGGTCAGTGCCGGTCGTTTTTTTGACCGGCTAAATTTGAATTTGAGGACAATCTAATCTGATTTAACACCAAGAATGTGTTGTCAACACGTGTAGGATAATATTTCAGATCCATTCGTGACAGGAAAACGATTGAAAAGAGGTAACAGAGACTCAAACGCAAGGGGGCAAGTAGGTGCTAGTGGCGCGAAAACGGGGCGGAACGGTAGGAGTATTTCGCAACGAGAACGTGAACGTTTGCCGATAGATTGAACCAGGGGGGTTGTGAAAATAAATTACAGAAAAATAATTCACCCGGAGAAGTGCAAATGCTTTTGCGATGAGAGGTCATGTAAGCCCATAATAACGGCCTGTTCGAATCACGGCAGGGCAAGGGGTGAAGGGGCGGGGGTGGGCCGCCCGACTCGGCTCCGCCCGACTCGGCCCGGCTCGGCGCGGCTTGACTCCGCTCGCCACACGGGTCACTCCCGAGCACACACGATAGCCTAGCGGTCAGCGAGGCTGGGCGCTGCACCGCTGGAGGCGGCTGGCCCAGGGTTCAAGTACCGCTGGGTGCTCAAGTGTTCTAGCTCGTTTTTTTCGACTAAGATAAGTATGCTCACCATCAGGGGGCGCCCGCCGTGCGCCGCGGTAGTATAAAAGGCCTCGTCGACGTGGCCGACGCGTCATTAGGAGTCGAGCAGGCACCGCGATGAAGTCCACTCGTTTCATCTTGAATGTGTGGAACCAGAAGGAGCTGGAGGTCTGCCCGGCAGACGGGACAGTCCAAATATGGAAGAAAGGATTCCTAAAAGATGTTTACACGCATAAAGAGGTGCAAGAGTTTTATTTGGAGAGGCGCCGCTTGGTCCCCAAAATCAAAGCGCACCTCACAGGAGAGACCAGGGACCACCTCGGCCGGTACGACAGGCTGCAGTCCCACCTGATACACTATATCGAGCTGCGCGACAAGCCGTTCGTAGTGTTGGAGAGAGACAACAACTTCAAAGAGGAGAACGGAGTGCCTCAGTTCCATGAGGCCTATCTAGGGCTGACGTCCTGGACCAGTCTGTGCGAACACGCGTCCAGCATCCTAGACATCTTGACCGGCGAGCCCTTAATGGTAATGGTAATGGCGAGGCTTGAGACGGGCCTGGCCACACACCGGTGCGCGTTGGGTTGCCTACCCTCCCGGCGTCCGGCTCACAGGAGCGGGGCGGCGGTCGGGGCGGCTAGCGGATGACGTCACCACCGCGACCCAGACCTAAGGCTAGGTTAGACCCGGGACTATGGGGGACCACGTCCCCTCCCTACCCAGGCGTGCACGGCGCTCCCTACCAGCTACCCGGGACTATGGGGGACCACTGCCTGGGCTTAGGCTGGGGTGGGGTAGCGCCGAAAAAGATGCCGACTCACCTTAGGTTGGGCTGGGTTAGAGCCAAGGGGTTGACCACTCAGCTCAGGAGTGTACACAGGATTACTGATTACCAGTGATTACCTAAAAACATACTGAGAAAACTCCATAATTTTGGCCAGCTAAGAGCATTTTGGCCCAAATTCACAAGAAAAACCCCCAAAATCCGATAAAAGCGGCGAAACTAGACAGTTTTGGTGTGTGATTACCCATGATTACTGGACGAAGTGTACACACGATTACCAGAGTGGGTAACCCCTTGGTTAGAGCCGAAAAAGATGACGACCAACTTAGGTTGGGTTGGGTTACAGCCCGAATCTTGGCCGAATCACCAAAAAAATCGAAAAAAATGGATCACCCCCAAAATTTTCAGGTTGGGTTAGACCCGGGACTATGGGGGACCACGGGACCAGGCCGGGACTATGGGGTAGCCATACTACTAAGGGGGGTCTGGGGGCGGAGCCCCCCAGTATGCAACACGTAAGAAGTAACCGGCGATGGACAAGCCAATGCCTGCCGAAGGCAGGCTAGCGCCGCAGGCCAAGGTAGGTAAGGGAGGGTGGGGCACCTAGTGACACTTTTTGGATTTTGGCTCTCACTTCGATACTGTGCGAGAAATGAATCTACTTACACCTCAGAAGGTTGCTTTGATCCTTCCTTGATCGAAAAAACATGTTGTGGCGTTTTGACAACACCTATTTCTATTATTTACATAGCTTCCCGCAGACCTCTGCACTTGTCACTTGGTGCCCCAGCCCGGGGCACCTAGTGACAGGTCATATAACTCACATTACCAGCATAGAGCGACGCTCCAGCTAATTGAAAACTATCCGTTTTGGACTCTTTAAGCTTTTTAAATATCAAACCATTCTGAACGGCGCCATTTTCCCCAAGAAACTGCATTTTACTAAATTGCCAATCAAATTCAATGTTCTACGAAATTGTCGTTAAAAGTAGTCTCATTTATGTTTCGTTGTGTGACAATCGGTGACAATTTACTTCGCGGTTGCCAAATCGATGTTTTGAAACGTTTAAATCGTTGAAATACGATAAATAGAGTGTGTCTGTCACTACCTGCCCCGGGGGCTGATTTTCGTTCAAAATTTGATATTAAGGAAATGAAATCACATGTTTGAGCTGGTTCAGCGAAAACAACTTACTAAAGGTCCTTATTATTGATTAAAAGTGCCAGAACGATCGGCAGTGCCGTTTACTGGAAGAATGGCGAGAAAACATTTTGTTAAAAAGTCGTAAAATCTGTGATTTTGGGTTATTATTTTCTTGCTTTTATTCTAGGGGCTAAAATATTTTGTTCAAAGTTTCACTTTCACTTGAACATGATTCCACAGCACAAGACCTTTAGATTAGCCACCTCAAGGTGTCTGAAAGTGCCATAGGGTGGCCAGGGCACCCCTGTGTCACTAGGTGCCCCTGTCACTAGGTGCCCCACACTCCCTTACGCCAGGCGCGGATTGAAGGAACAGGCCGCGAGACATCGCGAAGCCTGTTACGACAAGACGCGGTCTGGCGTAAACCTACCTTGTATAGTGTCAACAAATTTTCTCAGTGTGGTGTATTTTAGAACTCAGCCCTTTTTTCCATGTAAGTTCTTCCTAAAATGTGACGGCCTCAAGCAGGGGGTGGGAACGGCCAAGGGGAGCGTGAAGCGATGCTCGCGCCGTCAGTGCAGAGGTTGCGCACTTCTTCGAGATTATGAACTAGACTGTGTCTTTCAAAACGCTTTGCACCGATGAAAAGAGCTTGAAATTTAGGGTGCATAAGGCTAATTGCCCTTCTCAAAACTCCCACCTTACCTTATATTAAGGTGAATTGTAAACACCAATAACAGGAAAAGTAGCGATATACATCGGCAACTTTGGCCCGTCCCGTACATTAACAAATGTGTGAATTTCGCCTTTGTTTAGCCCTGACGGGTTTGAACCTGAGTCTGGGGTCAAAATGGATGTTATTTCCGTCATCAGCGCCCTAAAAACATAAGAAACAATGCAAAAACTCGAATAAAAAGAATGTTCAAAATATACCCCACTGGGATTTGAACCCGGGTCCAAACTTCTTCGATTCGCTTGAAACTGGCACCATTGGTTTTGTCTCGTCGCCCCGATTCCAAAAATACCCCTACATGCCCTGTTAGCTGTATCCGTTGCCGAAATCCTCCTCGACCCCATATAGACCATGATGCACCTGCAGCAGCGCCCCCGGGGCTCGGATCGGATTTGCTGCCACCGAGCGGTTCTTAGGGTCACCCAAGGAGGCTGCATACCAAATTTGGTCAAGATCGGACCACGGGAAGTCCTCGGACGAACGAACGACAAACGAACGAACGAACGAACGAACGAACGAACGGACGCACAGCATGCATCATACTATATGCCCGTCCCTCCGTCATTTTTTTACAAAAAATAAACGGGACGGGCCAAAAAACACGAGAAATCATAAAATTTAGGAAAAACCTCGTCTGCGCCATGTTGATGTGAAGGTTTCCGCCCTTGTGTTCGGTTGAACTAGAAGTAAAGGGCAGTCTACTAGGCCCAATGCACCACAAATTTGGTGCCCTTTTGATCTGTGCCAAGCGGTTTGCTATAACGGCCAATATCTTACAGTCGAAGCAAAACCAGTAACCCCTGCACCTCGCTCGAGCATGGCTTCACGCGCTCCCTAGGCCGTTGTGGCCCCCTGGCTTAAGTTAACCCGATTCGTGTTACAATCGATACTTCAAAACACAAGTTGAATTATCTCTTACTAACAAAGTTTTCAGCAGTCATGTTACCTTTGGTGGAGTCATTTCCACGTTCCACCAAATTAAGAGTGTTGAAGGGGCACGTTGGCTTATGCCGTTCAAGTTACGATACCAAAATAAGGTCTTACCGTATAAACTGTGGACTGTGGACCGATCAATAGTTAGAAAGCTGTGCCAGTGTTGAAATTTTGTGGGCTTGTTCGACTGAAGGTAGGTGAGTTCTGAACCAAGTATCGACAGAAACGAAGGACCAGCTCTTTTTGCAACCTTTTTTGGCCCGCCCTTCTATTCAAAAAATAGGGGGAGGGCCTATGCATTTGCCTTTGTGTCTGTGCATTTGTTGGCGTCTGTGTACAAGGAAGGAGTTGAGCTAGAGTAACCAGATTTGGAGGGTACTTCAGGAGTACCGTCCAAACAAATAATCCGGTGGTGCAAATCCCGTCCGGGTCGCACAAGGGCTGCTGCAGGTGCATCATGGTTTACATGAGCGGGAGGGGGATTTCCGCCATTATTGGTGCTAGCAGGGCACATACGGGTTTTTTTTGGAATCGGGGCGACGAGACAAGATGAATGGACCTGGTCCCGACCCCATCGGCCGCTTTTACAAGTTGGCCAGATCAGGATCTTCAAAAAAGGGGGTCGACCGACTAAAAAAATTTATTGCAGATTTCGATTGGTCTCAGCAAGACCTTTTCAACGAGGGGTCGGAAAGGGGGTCCAGGATCCCGACTTCGTCTTCGTCACATCAGGATCTTGAAAAAAGGGGGTCGACCGACTGAAAATTTTTACTTAAGTTTTGGATAGGTCTTGGCAAGACCTCTGCAACGAGGGGTCGGAAGGGGGGTCCAGGAGCCCGCCTTCATGAGTTATGGGAAAAAGTGCGACGGACTCGTTTTGCGCTCCTGCTGTGCCTCTATTGCAAGGAGTTGCAGTAGCATGGCAAATATGGGTATTTTCGGAATGAGGGCGAAGAGACAAATGAAATGGGCATATTCTAAGGACAGTTGGAGTAAAAAGTGTAAGGACTATTGCATATTGTGAATAGAAGGGCGGGCCTAAGTCACGATGGTACATCGATAACTTTGCTTTACCAGCTCACGGTGTGCGTGATGCGAGCGGGCCGAAGGCCCGGGCCTTCCACTGGCCAAGTTGGGTCTGATGCGTGGGCCGAAGGCCCGAGAAAAGGCCGCCGGCAGGCCAAGCTGGGCTGGCCCCCTGTCGAACCGAGTTGCCGGCGCAGCGAAGCGGAGCTGGCAACTCGGTTCGACGGAAGGGCGGGCCCTAGCTTGTTTGTATAGTTTTCATCAGTTTTACTTAATATTTCCAAGTTTTTCATCTTTTTCAAAATTTTATCATGTCTATGGATATAATAGTCTATAGGTAGCCAATGAAACCTGGCTGGTCCCTTTCTGACTACGCATGCCAAATGGCCAAGGATTGTGACATTCAAAGTTGACAACAGTTTCAAATGGCTATAAAATCTAAACGGTTTGGGGTTGCTAAAGAAAACTTATTGCATAAGCGTGACAATAATGTCATCAATTGTTTTGATGACACTGTGGTAAGGAAAATTAGCCTAGAAATTATCATCAAATGACGACTCAAATTTTCACAGAAATCGTCAATGGTCACCCAGATCCGTGTAAATCTTACATGGAATGACCCCGCTTTTGGATTGCTCTTTGGTCAAAATAGAGGAAAACAGTCAAGGAACCAACTAGAAAGTCGCCGGCCCATATGGAAACAACGGACTATCAGTTTTCCTCCAAAACCTCAAAAAATGTCCTGACGAAGTAAAATGTGTACGCCTCCGCCGGAAGTTTTCGTTGTACATTACCGTTCACACTTTTCCTTGCAGTGCAGGCCAGAGCCACCGCCACGCCACGTAGATCGCCGGCAGCCTGGTCCTCTTCCTGCCCACCAGCGGGACGGCGGAGGACGACGATCTCTTCGCGGCCTTCATCGCTAGGGCCAAGTTCAAGGCGGTGACGTCAACGAGTGACGTCAGCAGAGCGGGCCGTCAGAACACTGGCGGCGCGGTGTAGAGACGGACAGCGAGGAGCACCGCAGTGGGCCCAGCCGCCGCAAGCAGCATGGCGAAAAAATCCCGGAGCGCGCGGCAGCGAGGACTAGCGACAATAAGTGTTTTTATTTTACCATTATCTAACTTCAGTCATACAATACTGTTCCCAATTTATTTTTATCCATGTGTTATGTATTTATCTATTTATTCACTGTTCAAAATGACCGGAATTTTGTCACACAGTGGTATAGTAAAATTAAGTTGTACACAGGATTACGGAGTTGGTGGCTCCCTTGAAAACAGCAGACAACCAACGCTTCATTTCGCTCTCGGACCACTTGTGTTTGGTATCAGTTTCTTTGATGCAACGCAAGGATACACAAATCACCAACTAGGAACCCGTGAAACTTGATATCGGTGTAGGGTCGCCTCGGCGCCGCGGCGTTCGGTCCAGCGATAGGCAGACACGCTGCGACTGCGAGCTCGGCGGAAAAGTCGCGGCGGGCCGTGAGTCACTGGGACCGAGGCGCGCGACGCGCGATGCTGAGCCGTGCGGCACTCTTGCACGCTCTGGGATCATTATGCCTCACTCCTGGCAGCATACGCAAACTCAGGCATAATTTAACGGCTTCAAAGTCGCTTCCCTGCGACAGGGCCGTAAATTATGTAGCCAGCAATGTACGTCCGACGGGAAAAGTGGCGATACAAACGGGCAACTTTGGCCCGTCGTGTACATTCTCCCATTCCCGATTTTCGTTCTTGTTGATCCGCAACAGAATTAGATGTTGGTTCAGATGAGCAACGTCTCTAGAGGTTTGGAACGGGTAGAAGCGCCCCGAAGAACTCTCTCAGATTTTCCAAATTACACACTAAATGTTTGTGTACAGTTTTGTCGAGGGGGCAAAAACTCGGGATTTTCGTGTACACATGAATCGGAAAACGCAATGATTGCGCATGGTTTTAATTGATTTCATGGCTGATTTTGCCTTATTTCGCGACGCACCAGGGTGATGTTGAGCGTGATTGCGTGTGATTGTGTTCACTGAAAATCTATCGGCGTGACTTCGTGCCACTGCAGGGGCGTGAATTAAGTGTCACGCCAAAAATCGGCGTGACTCAAATATTCACGCCAATTTTTGGTGTGAATTTCTTGTCATGCCGCTTTTTGGCATGACTTGTCTCGTAAAACGCGTAGTCATTCACGCCAAATGACGGCGTGACTCACATGTCACGCCGTTTATCGGCGTGAATTTCGTGTCACGCCAATTTTTGGCGTGACTTTTTGTCATGCCACAATTGGGCTGTGTGTCCGACCTTTACGTTTTCAGTGTTCGGAAAGAAATGATTTCGGACTGATTTGGCCTGGTTTCGTGTGATTCTGCCTAATTTCGATCGATTTTAGTGATTTTGGCTGATTTCGGATTGCTTGATTTCGCGTGATTCTCAATGATTCGCGCGTGATTTCGGGGGCCATGTACACATGATTGCGCGAGTTTTTGCCCCCTCGAATTTTGTACGTCGTGATGCACTATTTTAAACCTGCGAGACGTTTTGCATAAATTTGTGCAGAAATTCGCATAAGTTTATGCATTTTCACGCTTAATATTATGCAAAGTCCCACAAAATCGTGCAATTGGCACGTACATAATTCTACATCAACATTTGGTGTGTATTCTTGAACAAGGTTTCCAATTTTTTTTTTTTACTCCCCTGTTCCTCTATTTCCTCCGTGTTGTGTCAGGACATAGTCAGGATTCGTTACGAATAATAATAACTTTTAATGAAATAATGTTAGAAGAAACCGACAAAATGGTAGATTGTGTCTAATCGGTGTGCTTCTTCCCGTTTGTACTGCAGCTGATGCTATTATTGGAGCTTCTAGGACGTGTCCAGGACTTCCAGAGACTAGTGAGCGGGCCCAACAAAGCCAGCTGTACCAGCAGCGCCAAGATGAAGGATTGCACCACTATGGTGACTGCAACAGGAACCTGGAATATATATATAGAAGGCATTAAGTTGCTGCATCACGAGGAAGCACGGTTAGCACAAGTCTTGCACTTTTGCAGGTCTCGTCTCCATGTGATACCAAAACGCAGTAGAACGTTTGCATCCCAACTGCAAGGCTTGCCATGCAACCGAAGGAAATGCAGGTCAATGCTTTCGTTGTGCCTTGCAGATCGGCACCCAATGCCTTGCGCTTTTCTCCGCTCGTGAAGGGCGCGCCATGCAAAGGTGCAAGGACCGCTTTGCCAGTCCCGCAAGGAGTGGAGTGCGGTCTGCCCGGGTCTGCCTTGCAAAAGGGCAAGGCAGCCCTCACACTCGCACAAGAAAAATGCAAGGTACACCTTGCGATCCGGGTTGCAATACTGCAAGGCAGCCCCTGCACGGTAAAAACGGAACCAGGTTTTCCTAGGAAGCTATTGGGGAAGACATAGGCGATTTGCAGGGAGCTCCTGGGAAAACCAGGAACCGTTTTTACCGTGTGCACTTTGCAAGGTACGCTTCCCGATGCGCATCTTCTTCATGGAGCATGCCCCAAAGGGCTGATGCGCAACTGGGTGGGTGGAATCGAACCCCGGTCCAGTAGCTTCGTAGCGCGGACGCTTACACCGAGACTACAGGACTTGTCGAGGTTCCGACGGCGCCGTACTGCACATGGCCCGAGCGCGCCGGAGGGGACAGCTGCTGCGTGCGATGGTAGGAGTAGCCTTGCAGTCAAGACGCAATCGTCTGCTTGCACTGTTGCAAGGCAAGTCCGAGAGCAAGCCGCAGGCCGAGGCATGCGGAATCGCAAAGCAGCCTTTGCATTACCGCAAGGGACGGCCTGCATCGTCGAAGTGCGGATGGACATGCAATTCTGCAAGGCCTTCTATGCGACTGCGCAGGGCAAACCTTGCGTTTTGCACCGTTCTACCTTGCAGAATCGCAAGGCGGGAGGCAGTGCAATTAATGCCTTGCGTTTCTGCAAGTTTTTACTTGCAATTATAGGAAACGCATACACCACGCTAGGTGTTCCTTGCGAAAATGTCATTTGCAGGTCTAGGCAGGGTCTAGGCGCAAGCCTTGCCTTGCATTTTGCCTTGCACTTGGCCGAATCGCAAAAGGCGGGACCACAGTGAGTGTACACAATCAGTTGTACTTTTTATCACTCGTAAAAAAGATTCAAAGAAGGTCATTTTAAAGATAGTCTAGGCCGGAAGACATGAGCCGTGATCTTGGCCGCAAATTCATCTGCAACGAGCTAATTTCGAGGCGTAAGGGTACGACTGTAGTAGAATGGGGTACATTTCACGTAATTCTTGTGCTAAAGCACTTACACTGGCACTGGCGCTTTCAAAGAAGCACATTAACACTGATTTTCTTAGTGTAATAATGAACTTATTAAAAAGGCAATAACATTTTATTGCATTAGTAGCGCCATGAAAAAGTTATTGCATTTTAAGTGCAATAATTATTGTATTAATACAATGAAGGCAATTGCCTTAGGACACTTATCGCTTTATTAGAGTACGTATAGTTACAAGGTAGGTTGCGGCGCTAGGTTTACACTAGCCTTAGCCTTTTTATAGCAGCAAATTGTATGAAATTTATCTCATTAGAAATATCAGCTAACTTGTGTGTTTTCGCTACAGATGGCAGCTCTTGGCTTTCAGCCCAAGTTCGAGATGTCTATACTTTACCAGAGACGCGGTGTCTTGAGGAACAGGGCCCCTCGCAGTCAAAACAGTCGTCATTATGGGCATCATGTGCACGAGGAAGACGAGTGGAGCGAGGCGATGCAGCACCACCATCAATCGGTGACCCAAAAGCCACTGCCAAAAATCTGGAAAGACGACAGAGTTGTTGTCAGAGGACATGAAGTGGAGGAAGGGGATCAATTTTCATCATTTTCAGAGGGAACAAAACACTGCTTGCAGGGGAAACTAGATCTAAAATCATGAATGATGCGTCGATAAGTAAAAACTGAAAGGTTTCAAAAGTGAAAGATCCGTCCTAAGACGTTTTTTTGCGATTTAAATATTTACTTCAGAACGGACCAACCAAGACCTCTTAGCTCTCCCTTAAGAGGTGGAATTCGGAGACAATCCAAGTGGAGCTGAGGTCTGGGCTCTGGTACATTTTTGGAGATACCCCTTATTTCTTAAGTAAAGGAGTGCACTGGTAAAACAAAGGCATGAAAATTACGCCCTTCAGGGCATAAACACTCTTTAACGCCCTTTAAGGGCGTAAATCGTTCCACGCCCTTAGAAAGGGCGTGAGTGGTATGGTATAGGACTTTTGGGCAACATTTTAATGCACTTCCAAAAGGCATTAATTAATGATTCACGCCGCTCCAAGGACGTAAATCGTTTACGCCCTTGAAGGGCATAATTTTAATGCCTGTGTTTCACCAGTGTGTGGAGGTTGAGTTGACTCTTTTTACAATAGATTCTTAAGAAGACAAGTTGAGTTATCTCCTTACGCCATTTTGAGCAATTGAGTCATTTTGACCGAAGGCGGATTTAAAGAGTGCCTAGTGGAACTAGGGATGAGGATGCGCTCCGTTCACCACTCACTTGGCCTGGCGATCCGAGGCTCGAGCAAGACGAGGTGGACGGCGGCCATGATACAAGTCAGCACCTGTCGCAGCGTGGAGGCCAGAGCGTCCAGCACCGGTCCAAGGTACACGGCATCGCGCCAGGCCTCGTACGAGACTGCGCCCCGCCAGCACATCAGCACCCACACGAGGGCGAACACTACGTTGCCCATGGTCTGCAAGCGGTGAATGAAAATTACAAATTGTTCTGGCATCCACTGCACTGAAAAGGCGTCTTACTGACCCGACGCGGAAGTACAAGAACAAAACCGTAATGTGTTGAAAATAGGAGGATCTATCGTGAAAGTATACCGAAAAACTGTACCTAAACTTCACTGAGAATCCAAACGCTATGAGTATAGCGTCAATTGGTGCTATGCAAAAGCATTGCACATAAAGTGCAATGCCCCCCCCCCCATTCCCATGCATTAGCATAGGGCATTTTCGGGACGCATTGCACGTAAGGTGCAATATGGCCATGGCACTGCACGTATGGTGCGATATCTCAGCTGCATTGCACCATACGCGCTATACTCATAGCGTTTGGAATCTCAGTGTTCAGAAAAGTTAGCAGTTTTTTCAGACAACTATAGTTCACTGCCTGTTTTCTCTGTTTTAGAAACACGGTTGTAACAGTAAGTACTCTAAATTACACTCCAACTGCATGCTGTACACGTGTAATGTTAATGTACAATTTTGTACGTGATGTTGCATGACTTTTAACCTGTGTAAGGCTTTGACAAAAATGTTCTCAAACTAGTCAAAGTTTATGCTTTTTCACGCATATCATGCAAATTCCACATGTGCTCAAAGTGGTGCAAGTTACACGTACAAAATTCAACACAAACATTTAGTGTGTAGATTTACTAGCCGGGATAGGAGAGAAGCATCATATTTTAGATTGGCTTGGATAAGCTCGCCAGTGAGAAGTCCTTTCTGATTTCCGATTTTGTTCTTTTTACTTCGGCTGGAGCCACGAGTGAATTCACTTGATCACCATGTACAGAAACACCAGTGTACAATCGAACAGTTGCTCGTCACCTTGCTAATTTTAGCCGAGTAGGTGTCACGATAGAGAGATTTCACGAGAATTGCGGAGACGCCACCGAGAACGTAGGACAAAAGATGGATGCTCATGGGTGTGTATGGTCGGAACAGTTCTGGAGCGTTTTCTAGATGAGCGCAGGAGCTGCAAACATCATGCCAGAAAACTAAGTGAAAACACAACTTGTTCTGAAATTGCACTGTGATTCCAAACGCTGAACATTGCGCTGAGACGTTGAACAGTGGGGCATAACTTACGCGTGATCCATGGCAAGCACCAGAGGCCACTTGTAGTAGACCCCCATGCCTACACGGACAACTAGTGTCAGTGACAGAGCCAAGAGCGCTCCAAACAACTGCCCGTTCGGCCATCCTCCTGCGAACCGGCTTTTGACCTCTTGGCTGCCTTGGACCGACGGTGTTGACTTCTCGGCACCTCCCTATTCAACAGAGTTCAGGGATAACGTTCTGTTCGAGGCTGCTCCAAAAACTCAACATTGGAGAGGAGATTCCATGCATCAGGTTGAAAAGTGAACACTCCACCTGGAGCATGTCTGGAAGCGCTCCTCTCAAGGAGCCTCAGCAACGCAACCTCATGCAAGGCACGCTCCAGGTGGTCTGTACCAGTGGGCCAGAAACCCCGCGAGGTGACTGGTACGCATTTCTGCCAGACAGCCACTAGGGCAAAAAGCTATGGCAAATTCTGTAAACAATATGTGATTATTCTCCGTAGCCCTCTTATCAATATTTTCCGTATTACCTTACAAACTGTATTCTCCGTGAGACCGTACAGTCTCCTCCATGACCGCCTTGAGGTGGCCTCACAATGAGTGTCCAGCCATGTCCGTCCTCCGATTATTGGCACTATTTAAAGCACATGTTACAGGAATTTTATGCAAATTACTATTCTTTACCATTTGAAACCATCACATGTGAACTATTCTCAAGAAAACCCCAAATATTTGGACGTGGCCTTACCTGACGGCCACCTTTACAGACTTTATAGTAGTTCTTTCGAGAACACTGTCAAGTCCAACGGAGGAAACTGTGAGATCCTACGGAAAATACTGTTAGTTCCCGCGGAGAATATTGATAGGACTACGGAGAATCTTGGCAAACAAAATTAACAGAATTTTCCGTATCTTTTTGCTACAGTGGCAGCGGGCGTGTTTGGCAGGACTGCACATCTTTCATTTTGTCACGGGGCTTCTGGCCCACGTGGTACATGGGAGTCGAGGAATGCTCCAACATGAAGAATGCTTTGCACACACTTCTGAGTTAGAGTTACGGGAAGCGAGATGTTCTGACATGAAAGCTCCTTTGATCTGACCTGAAGTGGCTTCGGAGACCGACGCATCCACCGCGCCCATATCCACATGCTGAACTGGCACACGGCAAAACACTGCAAGTCCACTGCCATAGACCACAGCTGGATAACACACTGCACAAAAGACAAATACTACGTAATGCTAAAATAGGGAAGGCACATAAAATACAAACGAACAAAAACACTCAAAAAGAAATGTCATAGGATGATTTTAAAGAGATGATAGGCATATGATCAGAAACTGCAAACTCACAGTACTACTCCTGTTTTATTTTAACGCATGGCTTTATCACGAAATTGAGCGTACGCATGAGATGCCTGAATTAATGCGCAACAACGAACATTTTTGTTCTGTTAAATACGAACTCGTACATGTTAGAACGAATGCGTCATTTTGTTGAAAGTTATGCACAAAATACCACACAGTGACACGTAAAAGGTGGTTTGGAGACGCGATATTGTAATGCTATCCCTCCAGCTTAGTGCGGAACTCACAGTGGGCGCCCCCCGGGGCCCGAAGTTGTTGATATACAGGAGGGTGCGCCACCACGCCGCCCGGCAGTCGTCGCGTTCGAAGTCCATACGCCACCGCCACGCCGGGCCGCTGCTCCACGCGGGCAAGACCACAGCCTGCACCAGCGTCATGGCCGCCAGTTGCGGCAGAAACCTGATTCCATGCGGCAATGCCCAGAAATGTATCAACAGTGTGCTCGGTCACTGAAAACATTTCCCGGTTACCACAGTGCTGACGAAAAGCCAATTCTGTCATGTTTGATTTCATCTGCATCTCAGCAAGGCAAAGAGCTATAGCTTGCTTGCATGCACTGCTAGGAATCTAGGAGATTCCACACGGAAAATGAATGCATAATCTAAAATAAGTGCTTTTTCAGTAAGTTGAATTTGTGTGCTGTCAAACCTAATCGCTCGCCGGAGTGGTGCAAGAAGGCGTGCATCGTGTCCTGCGCGCACCATCAGGAAGCCGGAGAAGAAAAAGAAGTGCACCATGCCATTGTGAATGCAGTCCTGCATCCACGCGACCAGTAGAGGAGGACTTCCGTCCGCCTAAAGCACACAAACAGCAACGCGCATACTTTACTCTAAGAGTCCTTGATAGGTTGGTGATGAATAAACTCGAAAAGGTGGCCAAAATAACCGTAACTTTGAATACATTTTCATTTCCCGCCCAAATCACGAAATTTGTTGACATATCGTTTGTCTTGTCGAGATCATTTTATTGTAGTTGGGATATGTCTACTTCGGCAACTTCTAAAATTCAATGACATTTAAGGAGAAGTCTGCTATGAGAATGCAGAGAAGACTGAAACGTCTAGGTAAAAAATTGACAAGACAGCTACGGAAACATTTGGGTTTGAGGTACGGAGAGTCATTGCCAAAAAGATGGCGTTTGTATAGTTATTTTTTTGCCACAGTGATATTTGAGTTTGAATTGCGACTTACCGGAGCTGCGAACGAGTTGGCTCCTACGGAGAGGGCTTCTTGCAACAGGAAATGGTGGAAGACAACAACAACGACACACATGTATGTCTTAAAGCCTGCCAATCCAGGAATCGTGCCACTTCCCATGGGCTTCGTCAGATCAGCCCATTGGCGGCGCATCGAAAATGCAGACAGAACTTGCAGCCCTAAAATAGACCACAAAGGGAGTGGTTTCACAATTTACAAGCTACACTGAGAATGAAAAGGTCTTGATTAAGACCAAATTCTTGGTGAGGTATACTTTATCACCCAAAGCCAAGGTTTCCACACCCCAATTTACGCGATGAAGGATGTTTCAGCTGCATACATGGGATACATGGTAAGGTCGTGCTATCACCCAAATTTGGGTAATTATGGTTTTCTGGGTGATCAAATTATTCTCACCCAAATTTGGGCGATGAAGAATACCGCAACCCAAAGTTTAGTCATTCATTCTCAGTGCAGAGCTGTGCGGGTATGATAAATGATTCTCCGAGTTGCAGGCCGCAAGAGTTGGAATGTACGACAGTACCTTGAAACTTCTTCAGGTCAGCTACTCCATTTGGATCAAGCATGCTGCCAGCGAGGACCAGCAACCCGATGAGCACTGCTACACTGCAACAATAAGAATAGAAAAGTACTTCCACCTTCGGTACACTGCAATTTGGATGGAGAAACTTCACGCCAAAATATGGGCGAGACATTAAAGTCTCGCCAAGATTTGGTCAGACCTGAAAGTCTCGCCAAAATTTGGTCAGACAAAAAAGTCTCGCCACAAAACGGTCATACACAAAAGTCTGACCCCAAAATGGTGAGACTTTTGTGCCTGACCACGGCCTTTAGGCCGTAACCATCTGGCGCATTACGGCCTTGCGGTGGTGGTCAGACACAAAAGTCTCGCCATTCTGGGGTCAGACTTTTGTGTATGACCGTTTTGTGGCGATACTTTTTGACCCGCCCTTCTATTCAAAAAATAGGGGGAGGTGTTGTTGTTGTTGGCGTCTGTGTACAAGGAAGGAGTTGATAGAGTAACCAGATTTGGAGGGTACTTCAGGAGTACCGTCCAAACAAATAATCCGGTGGTGCAAATCCCGTCCGGGTCGCACAAGGGCTGCTGCAGATGCATCATGGTTTACATGAGCGGGAGGGGGATTTCCGGCATTATTGGTGCTAGCAGGGCACATAGGGGTATTTTTGGAATCGGGGCGACGAGACAAGATGAATGGACCTGGTCCCGACCCCATCGGCCGCTTTTACAACTTGGCCAGATCAGGATCTTCAAAAACGGGGGTCGACCGACTAAAAAAATTTATTGCAGATTTCGATTGGTCTCAGCAAGACCTTTTCAACGAGGGGTCGGAAAGGGGGTCCAGGAGCCCGACTTCGTCTATTAGTCACATCAGAATCTTGAAAAAAGGGAGTTGACCGACTGAAAATTTTTACTTTAGTTTTGGATAGGTCTTGGCAAGACCTCTTCAACGAGGGGTCGGAAGGGGGGTCCAGGAGCCCGCCTTCATGAGTTATGGGGAAAAGTGCGACGGTCTCGTTTTGCGCTCCTGCTGTGCCTCTATTGCAAGGAGTTGCAGTAGCATGGCAAATATGGGTATTTTCGGAATGAGGGCGAAGAGACAAATGAAACGGGCATATTCTTAGGACAGTTGGAGTAAAAAGTGTAAGGACTATTGCATATTGTGAATAGAAGGGCGGGCCTAAGTCACGATGGTACATCGATAACTTTGCTTTACCCGCTCACGGTGTGTGTGATGCGAGCGGGCCGAAGGCCCGGGCCTTCGACTGGCCAAGTTGGGTCTGATGCGAGGGCCGAAGGCCCGAGAAAAGGCCGCCGGCAGGCCAAGCTGGGCCGGCCCCCTGTCGAACCGAGTTGCCGGCGCAGCGAAGCGGAGCTGGCAACTCGGTTCTACGGAAGGGCGGGCCCTAGCTTGTTTTGTCTGACCAAATTTTGGCGAGACTTTCAGGTCTGACCAAATCTTGGCGAGACTTTTAAGTCTTGCCTCTGGAGTGGCGAGAAGTCTGACCTTGGGATTTGCAGTGTAATGACAGGATTCTGTGTACAACATTCATGTGAGTCAGGAAGAGACACCTATGCGGTAAGGCATGAATATCACCCGTTTTACAAGCTTTATCCATCCGTAAAAACTGCGTTTGAACAAAACTGTCCGCAGTACGGATGCTTGTGTCCGAAAGAAGCTAAGCGACTTCAGTGTGTCGAAGTCGAAGATATGCAACGAACTTGTTAAGACGTCACATTCGTTGTGTAGTGTAGGCAAAAAGCACTGCTTTAACGCCTCCCAAGGAACATTCTGGATCCGCGCTTGCACGAAAAACCTTAACTGCACTGGTAAAACTAAAGCGTAGTATTACCCACTGTTTTCAAGCGTAATCAGTTTACGCTTGAAATCAAGCGTAACAGGCTCATCCGCTAAGATTTCCCCTATCTAAATGCATGGGGGAATTTCTAGCCTATGCTTGATTTCAAGCGTAACGTCTTCAAGCATAACTTTATGCTTGACTCAAGCATAGAGTTACGCTTTAGTTTTACCAGTGTGGCTTGCAAGTACACACTTACAAATTCTTAGGCCAAGTACACACTTACATATGCATCTGCATGGCATGGAGTTATACGGCGCCGCATTTGTAAGTGCGCACTTGCCAAGCATGCATTCGTGTGTACTTGGCCGCGTTTGTGAGTACAGACAGTTACGTCTGTAAGCCGACTCACCCCGCGAGGACCATCCTGGTGCTGCTGCCGTCCGTGACGTGGTGGCGACGGGTGCAGAACTTGGCGTGCTCCACCGCCGCCGCCCAGCGCACGTCCCCGTCCGACTGGGGATGGCGCCGCGCCGCGCGGTTCACGGCCTCGGCGGAGCAGGACGCCGGCAGGCACACGCCGAAGCGCAGCCTGCCCAGCGGGACCACGGCACGGTGCTGCCCGTGGCCCTGCGGTCGGGAGAGGGAAAGTTGCCTCAGAGAGGGCTAACGCAAAATTTCAATGGGAACCTACTTCAATGGGAAATTTGTACACATTAACACTAGAAGCGCCGGGTTTTCCGATTATCGTAAAGCGCCGAGCGGGCCAATTTGACCCAAGGGCATTTTCGTCGTACATGTCAACTCTTGAACCGTCATTTCGACTCAAAGGGAACCTAAAACGGATTTAAAGACCCTTAGCTAGTCAAAGGATAAAATTTGGTGCACGGGGGTCACAGGGGGCGAGGTAGGCAACCCGCAAACCATGATTTGCTGTTCTTGGTGTTTTCTACTGTGCCTCGTTGCCGAAACGTTTTTGATGATAATAGATGGCATAATTGTAATCGCCTTGTGATCGAGATAGTGATTTTTAATCAAATTACTGAACGGTAGACCATTAAGACCTGACCAAACCTTCCAAGCGTAGCTGCAAGGCATGCCCGGAAACCTGGATTCATAGCAACGGAGAAGCTCATAGTAAGGAGGATTGAGTGCTCGATTGTGCGCTAAAAAGGCTGGAATGTAAGAGACATGTGTAAACACCCTCGGGTACTCAATAAACTCGCCATAGCCAGCAAGGCGCGTGGTGGGTTCTAATTTGCGTCCGTTCGTCAACTAGCATTCAATGATCTGTCCTAACCAGGTTTGCTCCTGGCATCCCGGAGGGAGATGGGTTTCCGTGTCGTCCATCGTCCTGACCGACTTGTGCAAACATCTAGGGATTTCCGAACTAGTTAAAATGTATGGAGGCAAGTGCCTTGCAACACTAGACACGCGAGCAACAAAGTGAACCTCGGCATTTTATTTATTTCTCTACGCGTGAGTAAAAGATGGAGTCCTTTCCCCCAAAGATTCGGGCTGAGCGTGCTATGAGTGCCACTGAAGGTAGACTAGCCAGGCGCGGATCCAGGATTTCCGTTTAGGGGGGGCACTTTTGGCAGATGTGTATCACAGGTTGCCTACCTACAGGGGCATGATCGCCGATATTGAGACGTTCCGCCGCATTGACCGTTAAAAGAGTATAGTGGGCCATTCTCGCAGCAAAGTACGCATTTGAATACTCTTAAGACTGTTAATCGAAGTGTGAGTGGATAGCAGGTTTTGAACTATACAACTCGCGTGGTTTGCGGCGATCAAAGCGAGCCGCAAGCTACCGACCTTGTTTAAATTTGGGCTGAATTTTTGATCTTTTTTAAGGTTTTTATGTGAAAACAACAGAGCAGAGCGAGCCACAAGCCACTGATGTTTCAAAATTAGGAGTGGCGTTTTATTAGATCTAGAAAGGTAATAAGTAACCCTACGGGTTTGTTTATGGGTTAAAGGATGGATTTAGTCATTGCCGGCGAGCGTAGCGAGCCGCAAGCTTCATACTTTTACAAAATCGAGGCTCAATTTTAACAAGAGTCCAAAGTTTTTAATCTAAAAAGCAAAGAGAAACACAGATACTTTGCGAGCGAAGCGAGCCCCAAGCCATGGGCCGTTCAAATTTAGACTGGCGTTTAGTTGAAGAGGTTTCTTATGAAACACTAAAACAATTTCCCGATAGCAGAACCAGCTACCCAAGTCCGCATCAAACCACCAGTACTATTCTATATTCCTACTCGTTTCAAGGCTATGACTTCGACCGAACCGGCAATTACTTGTGCACCAAGCCTGTTCCTTATTGCGAGCGAAGCGAGCTGAAAGCTCCGCACTTCAAATTCAAACTTTCCAATTTTTCCGCTTATCTTTACTCATTCTTTCCTTTTCTTCTCCTCTCCTCTTTCGTCCGTCCTCTCTTTCTCCCTTCTCTCCCTTTTTTCCCATGCGCGTCTGAGGTTTTGGGGGGGGCACTCGCCCCCGGTGCCCCCCCCTTGGATCCGCGCTTGAGACTAGCGCTTCAGTGTTCCAGAGACACCCTAGGGCGTTTCGAAGTCAATTGGGTTACCCAAAATGGCCAAGACATTGGCAGTTTGCGTCAAAAGAAGCTGCACGATGTCTCCAGCCAGAAAATGTATTGCGGGTTGCCTACTTCGCTATGAAGGCGGACCTAACGCATTCCTAATATGACGTTAGTTATTTTTAGTGGTGAAGAGTCAGTTCATAGCTCGTTACGCTGTGTAGAAACGCGAAAATGTGGTCAAAAATGCCGTGTGGGTCAATTTGGCCCGCTTGGCGCTTTATGTTAAAAGTCAATTTATCTCGGTCAAATATGGTCCGAGAACGTCCAGATTTCGAATTTAGACGCATTTCATCATTCTAGGAAAAGTCAGGAATTAGGGGGCTGCCACTTTCATTTTGAAAAGTCGAAATTACAGTTCGAAACTCAAAATGGGTCAAATTGGCCCGTTCGGCGCTTCTAGTGTTAATTCGTGGGATATCTTAGCTGCTGGTCAAAATTCTCCGAAATTCATGAAATTAAGTCGACAAAATAATTAAAAAATTACTGAAGAACATTCCTAAATTCGTGGAGTGTTTTACTTTCAAACGTGACACGCACGTGGTTCACATTGGTAAGCGTGGAATATTATTGGTTCACGATACAGTGAGACTGGGTAAGGTTTCATCACCCAAATTTAAGCGATAATAATCCTTTCCGACTATAGAGTGATAAGGTTCATCTGACCCCAAATTTAAGTCATCACACTAAATTGCTTCATACTTTTAGTGCGCACATAGGTTTTGCACAAAATCGAGCATGCGTGTGAAACGCGTGAATACGTGCATTTTAAAACGCATGCACACTTTTGTGCAAAGGTTATGCACGTAAAACTACTTAGTAATTTAGTGTGCTGCTGATGACTCATTCATCGCGAGTGGCACGTGAGGATCGATGCTGAGAGGTCGGCCCAGACGCCCCTCTTACTTAAAATGTTAATAACCCCAACACTGTGGCAAAAAACTACGGAAAATTCTGTAAACAGCTTGTGGTAATTCTCCGTAGCCTTCTGGTCAGTATTCTCCGTAGGCTCTTACAGTATTTTCCGTAGGACCGCACAGTATTCTCCGTAGGACCTTACAGTGATCTCCCTAGGACTATACAGTATTCCAGGTCCTACGGAGACGACTGTGCGGTCCTACGGAGAAGACTGTGCGGCCCTACGGAGAATACTGTAAGAGCCTACGGAGAATATTGATAAGAGGGCTACGGAGAATCCTGGCAAAAAAATTAACAGAATTTTCCGTACCTTTTTGCCACAGTGCGAGTGCGCGGCATCGCACGTATGGTGCGCGATGACATGGTAACTCGCTTGGGTCAAGCATAGACAGACATGCACTTGAAGATGTTACCAGGGGCGTAATTAGAGTCGACTAAAAGGGGGGGGGATGCGTTACATGATGCATACCTTTAGAGGCAAACTTTGTCAGTTTCATAGTGATGCATCAAAACAGTACGGTAAATATTAGCTCAATTACACAGTACCATATCGTTAAAGTTTCGTTAATTGCGTAAACAACGTCTACGCATCAATACAATGAAACAATCCGCGTAAAAGCCGAAATTTTTGTCTCATGCTTCTTAACGGAAGAGCCTCTTACGCTTGATTTCAATCGAAAACTGATAAAGCTTCAAAACAGGGGGTCAGACGTTGATTTTGGTTTTACCAGGCTATTGCTGTGTTCATAGCATTTGGAATCACAGTGCCCTACCTTCATCATGGCGTGGACGTTGGCGTAAGGGCCCACGTGATCCACGGTGCCCCAGGCTGCGGTCCCCGAGGCGGTGGAGGGGCGGAAGGGGTCGGTGCGCAGCGTCACCAGGCAGTACTGCGGCTCCACGGGTGCAGCGGTGGCGTGCGGCCAGGCCAAGCCCAGGCACTCGTCGAAGTCGCCCAGGCTGTCCGTCACGCCGCGCAGCAGGCCCGGCGAGGGGCCCGTGCTGCTGGCGTCCAGCACTGGGAGGGAGAGGCCATGCTCAAATCTTGCGCCTATGTCTAATGATCGTCGTGGAATGTCCTAGCTTGGAATTCCCACGACATTCACAGTGTGCAAACTTTATATGACTTTTACCGAAGGGCAAACAACTTCAAAAACTTTTGTACACCGTTCTTCCAAGTTATTTCACGTTATTGCACTTACTTCTAGACATTTTCCAGATACATCACGTTATTTCGCATTATCTAAGGTTATTTGCACGTAATTTCATGTCACGCTTGGTTATTTCAAGGCAAACGTACACAAAAATTCAAAAAGTCAACCTTACCTAGCCTCGGCATTATAAAACCGTACTGGCTGCATCACTGCTAGAAAAAACCAAAACAAAAGTACAGAAATTTCTGGCACATTTTTTAGTAATAACTTATTGAACTTTCAAAGTCTAACAATTGTTGTACAAAGTACAATGAAACCAGCATGACGAGTGCTGTGCAGTCCAGGCCTCGTTGTGGTTTGTACATTTCTCGTTCTACTTTATGCAATCCCTGATGTTCCTATTTTATACAGTTTTTGTTGTATTGTTGTTGTCCCATTCACACTTTCTTCTGCACTGCAGTGTGCTTGCAGGCCTGCTCCACCTGATCTAAGAGGACTTCCCGAAGGGTTTCTGGAGCTGCCAACCTGTTCTCTGTGGTTCACTGTCATGGACTTACTTCTCGCGGCCCAAGCCGAGTGGTTGTGAAAATGTTCCAAGACCAGGCGGCTATCCGCAGCGCACTGTCGATCCTCGGGGTGGATGTCTGCCTCGTCAGCCACGTCGGCAAGCCAGGTCCCGATCCACGATGGCCAAGGGACCAGACGGCTGGGAGCGAGCTGCCCTGCAGCCAGCGCACCTAGCGATCACAAAGAAAGGCTTGAAGATTCGGCTTCGCCGCGAACATTCAGACGCAACGTTCGCCGAGAGGAGCCCCAGGATTCCGGCTTAACCTGACATTCACGGAGAGCGAAGCCTCAAGATGTAGCCTCACCTATAACTAGATCGTTCACAGACTCATGATTCAGGTTCACATAATCACATAAGACGTTCAAAGAGAAAGGTCTCGGGATTTAGCTTCGCATATAAAAGGGTCACAGAGGGCCTCCAGGTTCAGCTTCACGTTTAACATTCACGATGAAGGGCCTCAAGACTTGACATCCAAGGGAGCCAGGCAGCCGCATCGATAACAAAGCACCTTCCTTTCACTGCAGAACTTTGATGAACTGACGGGGGTAACGGTTGTGAGAAGCTCCAGACAAAAAAAAACACTTGGTCGGCGACATCCTAGGAGCGGGCGCTTGTGGTGTTTTATCGGTTCATTGTATGTATACGAACTGCCGAAAAGACACTTGGACGAAATCCGACACCCCCTGTGGCTTTGGTACGGGTCTAAACACCCCAAAAACAGCTGTTTTCGAGGGTTTGGGACTAGATGGGTTCTCGCAAACCGAGATCCAAAAAAGTACCCAAATGGGTCTCAGATACTCAAAAAAATGCGCTCTTTCGAATGCCGTGTCGAACGAGGCTCTACGACGTCGGGTTTGGATGCTACGGGCTCTCAAAATTGCTCAATTTCACTATTTTTACTGAAGATTTGGGCATATCAGGGCCGTTTGAAGTAGACCATCGGCGATTTCGGTCCTCTTTGTCTTAAATGGTGCCTACCCATAGGTAAACACCCCCACAAAATTTCAGCCATGTCAGGCAATTATTAGAGGAACTGTGAACAATTTAAGTTTTGGGTCATTTTACCACTGGGCGTAGGTGGTTTTGGGTCCAGAAAAAAATATATTTTTTTTAGCTATCTACTTTTGATCAGCACCTCTTGAAACGCCTTTTTAACATGGTGCCTCAAAACTTTTTTTCGAGGACAAACTTGTCTTTTTCTAGCTGTAATTGGAACATAACTTGGAGAAAAAGACAAGTTTGTCCTCGAAAAAAAGTTTTGAGGCACCATGTTAAAAAGGCGTTTCAAGAGGTGCTGATCAAAAGTAGATAGCTAAAAAAAATATTTTTTTCTGGACCCAAAACCACCTACGCCCAGTGGTAAAATGACCCAAAACTTAAATTGTTCACAGTTCCTCTAATAATTGCCTGACATGGCTGAAATTTTGTGGGGGTGTTTACCTATGGGTAGGCACCATTTAAGACAAAGAGGACCGAAATCGCCGATGGTCTACTTCAAACGGCCCTGATATGCCCAAATCTTCAGTAAAAATAGTGAAATTGAGCAATTTTGAGAGCCCGTAGCATCCAAACCCGACGTCGTAGAGCCTCGTTCGACACGGCATTCGAAAGAGCGCATTTTTTTGAGTATCTGAGACCCATTTGGGTACTTTTTTGGATCTCGGTTTGCGAGAACCCATCTAGTCCCAAACCCTCGAAAACAGCTGTTTTTGGGGTGTTTAGACCCGTACCAAAGCCACAGGGGGTGTCGGATTTCGTCCAAGTGTCTTTTCGGCAGTTCGTATACATACAATGAACCGATAAAACACCACAAGCGCCCGCTCCTAGGATGTCGCCGACCAAGTGGTTTTTTTTGTCTGGAGCTTCTCTAAGCCGTATTCCACCTCCGAAATATTTTCCCAAAAAGGCTCAAGATCTGAAAGAGCCTGAAATCCGGCGAAATCCTACGAAATCTTGTGCGTGCTGCAGAAATCTAAACTGAAAACTTGAGTGTACTGAGTACATACATAGGTTCTCAGTGTAGTACATCCAAAGTAGTTTTCTCCTCGCAATGAACATGACCATTGAACATTTCACTCACCTGGTGAGAGCAGCATCCACACGAGCAGAAGCATCTTGGTACAATGCTGACTCGGAATGCTCTGAGTGGAGCTGATACTGCCAGCCCCGTCTGCCTTCTCAATCGATTCACGACGATGCCGATATTATATAGCGCTTTCCCCTTTCTCCCCAAATAAAGCTCGACGCGGGAATTGGAATTGTAATACGATAACCTCTGCCGACGTGACTTAAAGAAACGACTCCGACAGTCGTCGACTCTTGCACTCACGTCACGTGACCCTGACCCATGCGGAGAAAGCTCAGTTTTCTGATTTGAAACGCTTCTAATCCTTGCTAAAGAGTCGTACAGAGACCAAAAATTGCGGGAAAGTCAGTTAATTTTTATTTGCCATGATATCCCCACTCTCAGCCTCTAGTTGACTTTATCGTCAGTAACTAGGTACTGCAGGCTACAACAATAATACTTAGTATTTTCTTTTTAGATAAAAACAATTTACTGCATAAAATTATGTAGGAATTTTTTTGCCAATACGTACTAACAAAAATGCAGATAATACGAACAAAATTCCAAAGTACATATGTCTGTTGCACAAAAACCAGAGGTACTATCGACAAAATGTCAATACCATGTGGTAAAAGTCATTGTCTGTCTGAGAGTGCCCTCCACTGCGTATAGGATTTCTGACTTATTACTTTCCGTTTAAATGGAAAACAGAGATATCTCAACTTTTCCTAAACTAAGTGGAATTTGGAGACAAGTGGAACTATAGTCAGCAGAGAGTGTTGGTCCATCTGGTGCATCTTTTGGACGTACACTGTCAGAAAATTCCGAAAAAAATGGAAAAATCATGCAGTTTTTCCGAAACTTTTGCATGGAGCTCTCCATAAATGCAAATTCCGGGCTTTCTCCGAAAATTTTCGGAATTTTGAACAAAAATGCATGCTTCACTATCACGAAATCACGAAAAAAGGTTTGCAACCAGTTAAAAAATGAGGGAAAGGTAAACCCCTACTTGTTTACCTCAGTTTTCATAATATTAAGGGTAAGCTACAGGATATAAGTCAAATGAGCTCGAAAAAGATTGTCCCTTCTTTGACCATTTCAGACTAAAGAACGCTTCAGCGAAGCCCTCTTTAACCATTCTGAGAAAAGACATGCATTTTACCTCCCATCAGGACCCGATTAATGCTCCGAAGAACATCTGTTTAAGCCCTGGGAAAATCTCTCCGAAAAAAATGGAAAATGAATGGAGTCTCCATGTACGTGATTATAGGGTTTTTCTCCATAAAATTTCGGAGCTAATTTCTAACAGTGCATTGAAAAATTTTAATAATTACTTGGTAAGACATCAAATTTTTAACAAATTTTCACAGTGGACCTATTTAGGAGAAAATAGCATTTTCACCAGAACCTCCCCTTAACGGAGTCATGTTGACTTGATCGAGTTGTTTCCATTTTCCGCTAAATTGAGAGTGTAAAAGGGGTAAAGATGAGTTATATCTTTTTTCAAAGTGGATTTTCTCCTTGACTGCTTGGAATTGAGTCAAATAATTTGGTGCCATGATGCAAACCACTTAAGGCCCAACGATAGAAGTTCTGAACGCAAAGATGTGACTAAACTGAGTTTTTCCCACTTTGTTTCGGGCATCTGCAGGTCGTCAGTTTGCCGGATCGCTGGCGGTGGGACCTTGACCTGCCTCACTGATGCCACCGATGACGATATTCGTCGTTTAGCACTCGACTCACGCGTCACCACCTCAGCCGTTCGACCTGCTCCCGGGAGCAATGACTCCGTACCCGAAATGAGCGGGGTTCTCTAAACAGATATCTGAACACGAAGTAAATGTGACAGGGCAGGTACGATGATACTTTTACATTCTTATTCCACTGTCTGCCAACATTTTATTCAACTGTCTGCCATTGGGTGATTCCGTGCGTAGAGGGTCATTTTGGATGTACCAAATGTTCATTTTTAAAGTTCAACTTTAGGGGCTAAATTTGGTGTAGATGGCATACATAGTACCCCACAGTACCCCTCTGAGCGTGGCAGCGCTACAAGTTGACTTTTAATTTCTCCCCTTATGAAATACGGCGGAAATTACAGAAATAATGACGGCATTTACAGATTACGGAATTTACAAAGCGAAGTGTTTCGTCTCCTGACCAGCTGGGTTACAAGATAAGTAAAAACTGTTGACGGTGTCATTTTGAGCATCCAAAATAGCGTTTTTCAGCGAAGGTTGTGGAAATTTTCTCCCTCAGATATAGGAGCTACGGCCCGAAACGGAATTTACATCTATTTTTACACCCTTACCGTTTTGAACAATTCTGACGGCCTGAAAGCGTCGTTTGACCGCCCAATGTCCCGCGGGCACGGGCTTCTGGAAGCGTTTTTTATGTTCTTTCGATCCCAAGTGGTCGCGAGGTTCTAAAACGAAAAGGAACCCCAGTAGACCGTCAGTTGTGAAAGCAGCATAGGTCACATGGTCACACGGTGGACATTTTCCCATAGGCTGTTTCGGGTTTAACAAGTGATGATACAAAGGTCACCTTCCGTAATTTTGCAAAGAATAAGTCAGGGAAGAGAGTGAAATAGCCAGTTTTCTTTTGATGTGGCTGAGTCATATGCTACAGCATGGCAATGTTGTCTTATAGGTGTTGGTGACCATGACGGAACTTACAAAACGACACTTTAGCAGCTTACGAAACCTAGAAAAACAAAAGTTAGATTGACTTATCCACATGAGCACATGGTCTTCGTTTAGTAAAACAAATTTGAATTGCCAGAGCTACCAAATCAACCTCAGTTCAGGCGCAAGGCCCCGGTGACCTGAAATGACCCCCTACGCACGGAATCACCCCATTGCCATTAATCCTTATCTCTTGGGGTTCCACTTGATCGACTCATCGGTAGCTACAGCTTTCTGTGAGAAGTCTGTGGTGTTTCTCAATTCTCGGTTTCAATTTCTCATTACTTCAACAAGAGAACAACTTAGTTGTCACTAGAGTTCTGTAGGTTTGTTCCTGTCCCTTCACTATGTTCCTGGATGGCATGTAATAGCCCCTTACCTATCTCTTATGAATTAACTTTTTCTTAAAGAATTTAGATTGCATGTTCATATTATTTGAAAGCACTACGTAGTCTTCTAGTAGCCCCAGAATTCAGCCTCGCCGAGATTTCATTCAGAAATTTTCCATAGGATTTTGATGAGACTTTCTTAAGTCGTAGGACTTGAAACCGTGGTTAGCCCAACTGGCGTGGCTGTCTAACTGGCT